CTCTCTCTCTCTCTCTCTCTCTCTCTCTCTCTCTCTCTCTCTCTCTCCCCCTCCCCCCTCCCTCCCCCTCTCTCGCTCGCCGAGGCGTGGGCATATCGCGGGGGCCGTTTGGGAAACTGCCCGGTGCAACGCGCGCACTTTAATACACGGAGATTCACACGTGGCGGACCGTCGACTTCCTGCCGGCGACTGAGCGAGTCGCACGATATAACGCAACAAGCCGGATACAGAGTCGCGTAATTGCACATTCGGCGCGGCGTTTCAGCCGCGTTAAAATCTTCATCATACGAGACGCTGACCCTTAAGCCTGCGGAAGTGTAAAATTGGCCCGACGCGAGAGGGACAAAATTGTTCTGCGCGATTGCACGCGAAAGTGAACATGCGTAATGCTCGACGTGCTATATTGATCTCATGATCATATCGGTTTTCAACTGGAGACTACCGAAATCTGTCCGGTAAGATGAACTGAGCAGTGAAAGAAGTACATCCGATGAGGAAGAAGGAATCTTTACCGATCTATCAATTATATATTCATTTATTTATTTTTTTCCTTTGCTCAACTAAAGTTTGCTACGTACGTTTAAATAAGTTCTGATCTATGAACACAGTGCGATATATGAACACACTAATATATAAATACACTAGTAATAAATATCTCATTGATTTTACAGTGAAAGAGAGAATCGGAAACGGCATATCAGGTTTTTCGTGAATTCGTTGATTTTCTTGTGACGACGAGGTGGAAAGCTTCGCGAGTCATGGAAGACACTTTCATCGTAAATGTACAGATAAATTCACAACGAGCGAATTCCTTCGGTCGCGTTTTTCACTCTCTTCTGCAAAATTACCCAAAGTACCTAATTCTATCGAGCTATATGTTACTTAATATTGATATCCACCATTACCGCCGTTTTGTCTGTTATTTCCAACATCAGCGTTGTCGTTGCCTCCTTTGAACGCGTCACCGATATTATTGCTGAGAGCATTGGAGAAATATCCACCGATATCGCCGCTCAGGCTACCATCGTTATCTCGGCCAAAGGATTGTCCTCCTGCGGAAATACAAAGCCACTCTCAATCAAGCCAAATAAATTGTCAAGGTATGTTTGTGTATTATACAAGATGTCCCATCACTACCGCATTATCTCTTAAGGGCGGATTCCTGAAGTAATTTGAATAAGAAAATCCTAATACAAAAATGGCGAGGCTATAATACTTTTCAAATTATAAACGATTAAAGTTGACCAATTATACTGGCTAAAATACGCGTGCTCAGTACGGTACAACACACAGTGGTACAGGTGCATGCACATGTCGTCCCTTTTCCAAATATTAATACGGAAGTTTTATACATACAACAATATATGTAATAATAATCTACCTTTCCTATCATTTAAATAAACATATCGCAAATAATAACAATCTCGGCAAAATGTTATATAAAATAAAATAGAATAATATAGAATAAAATATCACACAATACATTTATGAGAATCAGTAAGCTGTCACACATCTAATGTTTCTTTCAGAGATTTACAACTAATTTCATATCTCATGCAAATTCTCACTTATGTGCATGCACCTGTACAGCGCGTACCTGAGCGCACGTACTTTAGTCAATATAATTGGTCAACTTTAATCGTTTATAATTTGAAAAGTATTATAGCCTCGACTCGATTTTCGCATTAGGATTTTTTCTTCAAATTACTTCAGGAACCCATCCTTAAGAGATAATGCGGTAGTGGCGGGATATCCTGTATACTTCAATAAGATATAATATCTAATATTATTACTTTAATTATTTCGTTGGAACAAGAATTTCTAAGAATGAAATAAGGATTATATTAGATAACTTATTATTAGATCACACAGAAAAAAACATTCGCACATGGTTGAACTGACATGTTTGGTTAAACAAGATTTAGTTGAATGAAATAAAATTTTTAGTTATTATAATGAAATATAGTATAACTAGAACATTTCTTATCTAAATGTTCAGAGTTTGATTATTACTGAGCCAGTTATAACACATCCAAGTATCTACTTATTATCACTACAAAAGCTGTGATAATAGATTGGATAAACGTGACATATTTGACCAACAACTGTTGATTGAACTAAAAAGTATTTCTGGTTATTATGATTAGAAATTATATATTCTTAATTATGTACTCAATTAATTATGTACTCAATGCTAGTTAAAACATAGATAGATAATATATAACAGATCTATCAATTTTCAGGAAGTGGCGTGGCACATAACGACTCACAATCCGAAGGGTGTACCGAGTTCGAATCCCACTAGAATAAAGGCGAGTTCTTCATATAACATTGAATTAATTAAATTTCATGCAAAACAATCATACTCTAACACCTTAAGAAACAACTTTCAGTTAAAAAAATAATAGAATTTCCAGTAAGAAATGTGAATATAATTTTGTTTAGTTTGGTTAAAGTAACCAAACTTGTCTGGTTACTTTAGCCAATCGCTTATAACCAAATTTGCCTGGTTACTTTAAATAAAAGTGTGGTTTATTCATGTCTCACCAAACAGTCTGGTGGATGTATTCTAAGTTCTAACTAATCCAACCAATTATTTTTCCATGTGAATAAAATGATAATTACATTAGATTCTGATATACAGATCAACGAGTTGAGTACTTGAAATATTAGAAAGTAGATCTTTCGCAACCCTGGACTTAATAAACGGGAACATTTAAATGATCCATCATGTCGCGATTACGCGATTTGAACGCTCTTTAACACATTCTTCGGGCAATCGCCATTTATCATTCGCGTCATTCCGACTCAATCACAGCAGACTGCAATCTTATCGCACCTGGTCTCCCCGATTGATAACCGTTGCCGCCTCCACCGTTAAATCCGGGTTTTCCCTCGGCTGGACCACCGTTTGGATAACCACCATTGCCGCCATCAGCACCTCCATTAAATCCTGAGTTATCCGCGAACCCGCTGCCTCCACTATCCGGTCTACCAGAAGAATAACCATCGTTACCATTCGACCCGCCGCCGCCGTATCCGCCGGTACTCGCTTCGCCCTCGTATCTAATTTGCGGTTTAAATCCATCCTGATCAGCTTCGTACTCGACAATCTGCTTCCTACCATCCGGAAGCAAAACGTTGAACTCGCCCTGGGCGCGATCGCCGTCTCTAGTTTCCGTGTGGCTGTAATCACTGCCGGATTGTTCGTCCTTCACCTCGTACGAAAATTCGTATTTTGCTGGTTCCTAAGTGTAAAGCAAAATCAGCTTTGTAAATGCACCTCTTATACATATTTAAGATCAAGTACAGTAGTCAACAAAAATAGAATACACTGAGAAAAAAGTATTTGAAAGATAAAAATACTTATTCGGTAAAAAAAAAGTAGTAATAATGTATTTACTTAAGTCTCTAAATTTTTGTTTACTGAATAAACAATTGCATTCATGAAAAGTTAAGGTTTTAAAAAAATATATATTTTCTTACTTGGAAAATATTTTATATTAGTATAAATAAATATATCATTAGTGCTCATCGAATAAATGTTTCTTATTTCTTAGATATTTTTTCTTACGGTGTAGAAATAGAAATAGAATTTTGAAAGAGACTTTGTAGATATCTGATAATAATCTTCATTGTTAACAAGTTCACAGTGAATTCTTCTATAATAGTAAATATAATTAAGCAAAAATTACGTTTTATGATATCAGTTGTAACTAAATATTTTAGGTAGCTAATCTCTGAAGAAAGATATTCAAGATGAACGCTTTCGACAATTGTCGTTTCTCATTCCTCAGCCGATTAATTTCTTCTACTCACGGTACTTTTATCCTGCGCGTCGTCGTTGTAACCACTGCCTCCACTTCCGAAACTACCACCACCATTTCCGAAACCGCTACCACCGTTTCCGAAATTGCCCGCGTTTCCATTCGGACCTCCAGACGGGTAACCGTTTGCACCGCCGTTCCCGTTTGATCCTCCAGATGGATAGCCGTTAGCCCTAGTATTACCGTTTGCACCTCCAGATGAATAGCCGTTATTGTTACCATTTCCACCTCTGTTCGGTGGACCATAACTACTGGATAAGGCTCCACCGCCGAATTCGTTTACCCCGTTCGTTCTATGTCCATTCCCGCCGCTCGGTGGCCCGTAGCTATCCGACGGTCCTCCACTATTATTCCCGCCGTTGAAGCGATTTTTGCCATTTCCATTTCCATTAGCACCTGGCACGCCATAGCTAGTGGACGGTCTCCTTCCATTGCCACCATTTCCAAAACCACCCCTGTTCCCATTGGCACCAGGAGCACCATAGCTAGTCGACGGTCTCCCTCCGTTGCCACCATTTCCAAAACCACCCCCGTTTCCATTAGCACCAGGAACACCATAGCTAGTCGACGGTCTTCCTCCGTTGCCACTGTTTCCAAAACCACTCCCGTTTCCATTAGCACCAGGAACACCATAGCTAGTCGACGGTCTTCCTCCGTTGCCACTGTTTCCAAAACCACTCCCGTTTCCATTAGCACCAGGAACACCATAGCTAGTCGACGGTCTTCCTCCGTTGCCACTGTTTCCAAAACCACTCCCGTTTCCATTAGCACCAGGAACACCATAGCTAGTCGACGGTCTTCCTCTGTTGCCACCGTTTCCAAAACCACCCCCGTTTCCATTGGCACCGGGAGCACCATAGCTTGTTGAGGGTCCTCCACTGTTGCCACCATTTCCAAAGCCACCTCCGTTGTTTCCGTTCGCGCCAGGTACACCGTAGGTGTTTAACGGTCTTCCAGCACCACTGGGAACGCCGTACGAGCCAGAAAGTGATCCACCCTCAAATCCGTTTCCTCGAGACCCGCCCAGGCTATTTCCAACGGCGTTTCCCCCGACAGGCACGTCGTAAAGCTTCGACGGACCATTACCTGCATTACCGCCAGGTCCGCTGATACTTGTTGCGCCGGCGTTTCTATTAACACCCCCGTTACCGAAACCTGGCGTCCCGTATTGTGTTGGCAGATCGGTTTGTGTGTGGCCGCCATTAGCACCGGAAGTCCCTGTCCTCGGAGGTAGATAAGAGTTGACCGGTGGCTCCGAATGCGCCACAGCCAGCGTCATGATGAACGTCGTTACCGCGATCTGCGTAGTAAGAATTTTGATTCAGCACGCTAAGAAAAACGGAGAAATTCTTCGGAAATTTTAAAACGCGCATCGTTGATTATAACGCGAACAGCCACGATCAGGACGTCAAACGTGCCGTTGAAATATCTCTTACGAAATATTCTCTGAAGAAATATTCAGCAGAAATTTCTGTTATACTCGAATTAATCAAATTAATCTTAATTGCCGAAATTACGTTCTTCTCGCTCTATGAAATCTTATTAACGAACAATTAACATAAAATCACGCAGTTTCATGTGGTATCTTTTGTCGATTGTAAATTTATCTAGAAATGAATTTATCTAAAAAGATTTTAGATGGACATGACAAATATTTATATATGTAAGAATAGATATATAAAGAGTATATAATTCTTAGATATCAATATTTATAATTAAATAACTAGCACGACTAGCCATCTCATTGTGCTTATGTAGCGAGCGCTGTTTGCAACACGTTCATATGCAATCTCTTTTATCCATGATCAAATTGTTCAAATTCCTTTCGACGTCTCGGTTATTGTAACAGTAATGAAATTAACATTGTCACTATATATCCAAAGGAATAATTACCGTGATTATATGCAAAATAGTAGAGAATTGTTTTTATAAACTCAATTAAACTCTATCCGAACATGAGCGTTGCTATGCGTTGTGTCAGTATATGTTTCAGTATATATTTCCAATGCCAATGGAAAAAATATGTAATAAGAAGATTGTGATAAGATACACAAAATTTGTTTTTTTTTTACATATCCATTAATTGCGCAAAGCATCTGAATTTAAATGATCGTGTGCAGATGGAGCTAGTTAAATTGAATAGAGAAATCTCTTTGATTTGGTATAGATATGGTATAGATATTGGTATAGATTTGATTTGGTTTCTCTTTCGTTTGGTATAGACTCTGTCATGGTAATTATTGAGACACTAATGGAAGAAAATTGATCAATCAATGCACTCGATGCAATGTATGCGGGATAAACTCTGTACAAAATTAATTCCTTACAAAATCGAATGCTCAGAATACACGTATATAAAATATTTAGAAACAGCTGCCACTTTCCTAGTTACTCGAATAAATGTGCACTTTTAATTTCAGCTTATAAATTTGTATCTCACAGCGAATACATTTTACTCGCGAACTCTTAGCAAGATGGCGAAAGGATAGTCTTTTAACTAAGTCAATCATTGAGATTTATCTGATATCACTAAAGCTCGTATTAATAGTCGTTATTTGTCCTACGTGAGACACTTAAATCTGAATTTAAAGTTAAATTAGAGTATTGTGAGTATTGATATAAATCAGAGTATTGTGAGTATTATATTTCTGATATAAATCAGAGTATATATTTGAATTTTATATATATATATATATATATATATATAATATGTACATAAAGAGAATGATTATTGAATCAAATAAATGTTTCTTTGGAATAGTCCAAACAATTTGGTTGACACAAATAATTTGGTGGCAAATCCATTTCTTTGGAACTAAGCCGCAAATATTTTTATTGCGTCAAACTTTTGTTCGATCAATCAAAAAATTCGTTTGGACCATTCCAAAGTAATGTTTATTTGATTCAACCAAATCGTTCTCTCTATATATGTGACATATTATATATATTTTTTGTAATCGCGATTCAACTGAGAAACATCTAACTCTAAATTCAAATCTAAGTGTCTCACTTGAGAGAAGTGTAACTTTCAAGTAACAACTATGAATACAAATCTTAGCCATTTTTTGCATACGAGTATGCCCAAAAGTATATGTCTACATCATCGATTCCGCATGTTACACACAGTGCGGTCTACACGTGTATCGTGTTTTACCTACCTTGAACATATCGATTCCCTTCTGCTCTCCAGCGTTGGTAGAAACGAATTTCCGCTACTCTATCCCTGCGAGAGAGACGCGCTCTCCCTGCTGTCTCTTTCTCTCTCTCTTTCTCTCTCTCTCTCGCTGCCGGTGCCACCCTTCCAGCACTGGATGGTCTCGAGGGAATGACAAACACAGAGTCTGCTCCGCTTTATATATCCCGGGACTCATCCTCGTTTCTAGATCATAGTTTGGTGCAATCGGCAAGATTTACAGCAACGTTCGATGCAAGTGTGTCACGAGATGCTGCGCGGGATCGACGGTGACGATGGAAAAGAGCCGGATCGGCGTGTGTGAGCGCGTTCGCGAGAGAGCAGATTCGCGCTCTATATCTCACCGATCGCGAGTCCCGCATTGCGCCGCCAATCGTTAACTCGTAATCATTCCAAGCGTCTCTAAATTGTCTCGCGGACGAGTCTTTGACGCTTCTCGATATAGATCACTCAGCTATATCGTTAGCTACGTTACGTCCTTCCTCATGCGAAACTTGAAGGCGAGCAAAGGAGGAAACCGTGTATAACTATTAAAAATAACTGAGAAATAACCCCTAAATATCGAGCGCGATCATTTAATTTATAGAGAGAACAAAAGCTCACACACAATGCGACGTGTGGACGAAAGGAACGCATCCAAATGTCAACCTAGATCATTAGATTTTCTTGCTTTATAATACAGACGTGAAATTGAAACGCGTGGCGTAATACGTTACGCTTAATTGATTCTGGCGCAGTGACGGTAACTTTGCGCAATTAATTTGATAAACGCACTCCGTACATATACAGTAGGCTCGAAAGAGGTACTGCCGCGTCGTCGACGCGTTAAAATGCCGATGACGTGCACGAAATGTATGTCCTCCAATTATAAAAAGCCTAAACGCGCCGGCTTCACCGCGCGTAGAACTGACGAAGCAGCGCTGATGCAACGTTCCCGTGATGCAAACTTGCATAACGTATCTCCGTCTCTCATCCAGCCTTACCGCGTACGTCGCCACCACCTGCATTCGAATGCTACGATTGCACAAATTTCCCCGGACAGGATGTGTGCACGTGCACATTTGCGCGCGTGTGTGAGCGCGTGTTTGTGTGTGTGTGGCGCATCAAAAAAGCGAACGAGATCGCGCGGTGAACTGCTATAAAACATTTAATTGCCTCGATTTGCCTCAATGTTGATCAATTTTATTTTACTTTATTTCAATTAATCCTGTCAGAATTGGATGTCGCGTGTAAAAACAGAATCTACGATTCACGATTGCAATTAACGCGAATATGCAATTTTCTCTCTCTATATTAATTTTAAAACTCTAAACATTAAACAATTACGTAAATTGCAAAGATGAATAAATTCTACCCAGCGCATTTTCATTTGCTCACTTCTGCAGAAATGACCGAGATTCAAACTATCTTTTTTTACCAGTGTAAGAAACGTCGAGGAATATGAATCAATTGATATTTTTGCATATCAATGAAATTGAAAAAGGTTATAATGAAAAAAACAAAACATTCATGCTTTTAATAACGGTTAGGTTTAAAAAGTTGGCCTGGGTAAGTTTGACTTATATTTAGGGTCTCAGAGTTAATCCTCGATTCTCGTAGTTTAATTTGAATATCGCATCTACATACAGAGAAAATATATGTAGGAAATAAAAAACATTTATTCGGTAAGTACTGATAATATATTTACTTATACTAATATGAAAAATATTTTTCCAAATAAGAAAATATAAATTTTCTTAAAATCTTAGTTTTCCATGAAAGCAATTCCATTTATAAATAAAAGAATTTAAATTTAAGTAAATATATTATTAGTACCTCTTCCCCCTAAATAAGTATCTGTTATTTCTCAGATACTTTTTTCTCTCAGTACAGTAGCAAAGTTTATTGCAGTAAAAATTAAAGGAAGATCGTAATATGAATATATAAGCATTTTCTTATTATATTAATATCTAGATGAATTTTTATTAATTGCGATTTTATTTCTCATTTCGATTGAAATGAAGAAAAAAAAGATTTCCTTCAACGAGATAAATTGTTTCATCCACTCAACACACGCGCGCGCGCACACATACACACACATGCGTACATACAATCCCTCGATTACATTTTATGTTGAGCAGACACCGCAGACGCAATCCGCTTGTGTGAATATACGTCGAGAGAGAAGATGTTTTGTATGGAACACGATTCCTCTCTAGATACATATCTCGGAGTGTACGGGCTTTGTGTCACCTGTGTAAATGAGAACACGTACTCGCTCTATACGACATACAAATTTCTACGCTACGTCCCAATCGCCATCAATTATCCGCGTGATCTACAACGCTAATGAATTCTCACGCTAAATTTTAATTAATTTATTATAGGCCTTTAAGTGCAGGAAAAAAGAATTGCCTATTTATATTTTCCAATCGTACATTAACAAGATCAATGGATACTCCTCTTTGGATTAACGTTAGTTTAATCCATCCAGTGTGTGAGTGTGTGATCCTGAAACAACGTATATATGCTCAGTTATATTTACAGAAAATTGATAATAAGTAATTTCATAAATTTTCAACTCTGAAGCAGTCATGCATCATGGCATATATCAACCAGCCGTTTTTTCTGCAGTTTGCAATCTTCAATGAAGTAACGTCATGCTCGACGAAGTAATGTCATGCTCGACGAACGACATAATGAAATAGATCACGTGAAGAATCCATTTAAAAACATTCATAGGCATTGTTTTGCACTCATAGGCAAAAATACAATGGCGCACGTAACGCGCCAACACGTCCGCTTGTACTTCTTGAGACGCGATTGTTCGATATTTATTAATATGCTGCTGATGGATTGCTCCATATTTATTAATATATTTTTGTATACTTATTCGGTGAAAATAATGCTTAATACTAAGCAGCGTGCATTTATTACATTTCTATTCTATTTCTGTCTCGCCGCGGTAAAACTTATTTTGCTGTTTGGTGTGCGCTCGTAAAGAGATGCAGATACATTCTCGCTCATCCTTGCGCTGCATCACGCTGCATCGCGCAGTTTCGTGCACTAGGATATGTGCGAAAGTCCAAGTTGTTCATGCATAATTCACGGGGCGTGTGTTTGATCCATGTGCCCAGGATATTAAAAGTTATCGTCACCGTAGAATGAATCACAGATATTTACGAATACGTAAAATTTGAAATATATTCCGCTGCAATGCAACGCGAGTGCATAAGTTTCCTCTTTTCGGCTGAACTTTCTGCACTTACATACTTACAAGAAATGTATAAAATTTAATAGGCTGTAACTTCCGCAGAAGCTGTAGTAATGCAACGATTTAAGAAACATTTTGCAGTTTGAAATCTATGTTGTATTTAGATATATCGAAAGATACACGAAACATCACATATAAATAACATTTATACATTATGAAAACGCAAACCTTTACCTTTGATTTGCATACGAATGCATTGTTATGCGATTCATTTTCAACAAGTTATTTAACATTAAAATAAAAACCATCACTAAATTTTAATTGCTTATAGAGAGTCAAGGAATTCATGCATGATATTCATTAGAAAGTGAATAGAGAGCTTAAAATTTCTTCTTTAAAATACATTTGTTTATTGATAAATGAATAAATTTATATAATACATATATATATACATATAATAAATAAAAAATAAATTTTTGAAGACTAAATGGTTGTTACTTTTTGTTTAACTCGATCTTTTATTTAACATATTTTCGCAAAAAACAATGACGGAATAATGATATTAATGTGATTAAAAACTAGAAACTTTAAGTCGTAAAATGCTCCTTAAACTATCTAAATAGTGTCATTTTTGTCAAAGTTATAACTCGTTAAATATTGCCTGTTATATAACAGACAGCCAAGTTAAACTTAACAATAAAGGTCTGTCTATGATATCTCAATTCTGTCACTATTTCAGTACCATCACTACTCAATTCTATCACTACCTCGGTTTAGTTTAGGAAGGTAGCGGCTCGTAACGGCGACTTCGGAACTAAAAAAACGGGTCTAATAGCCGTAACAGGTCTAAGATACTGCGAAAGAACTTTAGCCGAAACTCGAACCTTTCTTTAGTCAGGACTCAAATTTTTTTTTAGTCAGGATTCAAACCTTTTTAGCAAGACAAGCTTTTATTCGGCATCGGTAGATGACGCCAGAGTTTCCATAAAAAAAATAGCGGTTTTAAAATTCCTTAGCTCTATAACATAAGACAATGCTAAACTCGTTAAAATCATGGGACTAAAAAATATTACAAAAGTTATAATATTGAGACTGTCAAGAAACATTTTACAGCTAAAAATTTTTAGTTTTTAATCATATTAATATCATTATTTCGCTATCGTTTTTTGCCAAAATATGTCGAGTTAAACAAAAAGTAACAATTACTTGATTTTCTCATCTTTAAGTTAAATTCTACTGAAAATATACTTTTTCCTTCTATAAGCGATTAAAATCGAAAGAATACGTTTTATTTTAATGTTAAATAACGTGCTGAAAAAAATTATATCGCAATGTGCCAACAATATGTCGCAATATTAGACCTGTTATTTTTCTTATAGCGTTTTTCATTGGCAGAATTGGTGCGCACTGAGTGCGCACTAAGGCTTGTTTACAATACATTTTCATATTTAAGATCGTGTCTTAATACATATTTAAAAATATTTTAGGTTATAAAATGATTCATACGGATGTTATACATATTATATTACTGGTTAAAAATATTTGAGAATTTATTTAAGACAATCTTTCAATATAATAACATACTGTGAACAAGTCTGCACCAATTCTGCCAATGAAAAATGCTATTAGTTCCGAAGTCGCCGCTACAAGCTGCCACTTTCCTTAACGCAGAATCGAAGTAGTGATAAAGGGTCGGATAGGCTCAGTACCTAGACCCATACACTTTTTCGTATATCCTTTATTTCTAATAAAAAAAAAATTATTTCTAATAAAAAAACAAAGTAGTGATAGAGTCGAGTAGTGATAGAATCGAAAAAAGCAAATTAAAAAAAAACTGCGCTTTGAATAAACGTTATTTATGTGATGTTTCGGATAGTATAACTTGGACAACTTTATAAAAAACTCTTTTATTAAACGGATTTTAATTTATATTTATATAGTACTGTAAAAAATAAAAAGTTATATTTATAAATATATCTAAAAATTGTGTATATATATATATATATATATATATATATATATATATATATATATATAGAGAGAGAGAGAGAGAGAGAGAGAGAGAGAGAGAGAGAGAGACTTTAAGCTATAAAATGCTTCTTGAATCGTCTCATTATTATTCTGCGAAAATTATTGCCTATTAAATATTATTTCTGTAATAGAGAGAAGTAATCTTTTAATTTTATGCGTAGTGTAAAATTAAAAATATTAAGATTATTTTTTTATTGATGATGTAAAAATAACAATGCTTTCTTAATTATTACACTACTAAGTTTTTTTATTTTCTGTATTCTTATACAAATTTATGTTGTTCTCACGTATTCTTTCACGGTTCAAATGCACTTTTGATACAGTTTAAAAAAAAAGATGGTGCATTATTAAATTTTCCTCGATCAGCTGTTCAGATAAAATGGCCGCGAGGTGGAAGTATCGTCAAAGATGAGTAATATTCATTTTCACAATGGTTAAAATATACGTTCGTAAATTCTTACACACGTGTACTTTAATCATCTGTAGTCTCACAGACTTGGTAATCCGATATATAAAAAGTTATATGAAAATATTAATAAAAGATTTGGATGAGAAACATAGTCCTGTCAAGATTGTACATCGTAGTGAGAACTTTTTGGTAGTCAATAAGCCCTATGATATGTATATAAATAGTGACAATCCTGACAGAAAGGTGAGCTTGTTGTTATGCAAAGTGTAATATCTGTAAGTGTAATATATGAATCAAATATTATTTTCAAATATTATTTCCAGAATACTTTGCAGTTAGAATTAAAAAAGATGCTACCAGACTTGGTTAATCCAAAATTATGCCACGAATTTCACTTTGTGCATCGATTAGATTATCCCACGAGCGGTGTCATTTGCATAGCATTAAATAAGAAAGCTGCTAGAGCAGCATCAGTTGCCTTTGAAAATCATAAAGTGCAAAAATTCTACTTGGCATTGGTGCATGGCCATATACATGAGCCTTATATCATAATCAACAAAGCTATAGGTTAGCAATTGTATATAACAACATTGCAATAAGATTAGGCTAGAATTAATTTAGATATCACTGATTCCAAATTTAGATCTATGTTTCTTTTCTAGGTGATGATATTCGAGAGAAAAATGGTAATCACAAAATGTGTACAAGTGATAGTATTTTTTGTGAAAAGCCACGTAGATCCACTACTGTACTAGTAGTGTTAGAACATGGTTTTTGGAAAAATAAGGCTGCTACTAAAGTACTACTGGCACCTAGCACTGGTAGACGGCATCAACTAAGAGTGCATTGTCACTATATTGGACATACTATTATAGGAGATTATACTTACAGTGAAGGCAAAGACACAGAGCCACACAGAACTTACCTTCATTCTCTCAGGTATAATTTACACAGAGAACCTAAGCTTCCTAATTCATCACACTAAAATACATTGTATATTTTTTAATTATTATAATTTTTTATTTTTAAGGTTGATATTAAACTGTGATATTGAAAGTTTAGATGTAAGAACAGCAGATCCGTTTGATGTCTCTGTATTATCCGATTATAAGGCGACAAATATAACAAAGATTTTGGATGAGAATATATTTCGCGACATATACAAATTAATGGAATAAAATAGAGAGTTTTGTTAAAGCATCATAGAGATTTATTTAATTGCCTTAACTCCAGATCTATTAACTTCAAAATTGAAGGTAATCCTTGGCAAGTGTGAGGCTAGCATTATGCAAGCGTATCGTGTGGAATTTCTTCTATAAAAACGTATAGAAGAGGTAATCATGCTTAACCACGTAAGTCCTAGAGCTGGCTGCTCATCCACATAATCAGAAATAATATTGCTATTTATAATTGCAGAGACCTACAAATATATAAGGATTAATACATGATATATGACAGATGAATGCATATATAACATATTTTTTTTACCTGATTGATGCAGATTACACACAAGTCACCATTTTTACCTAATTCATGCAATTGTCTTCCAACTTTTCTTAAACTTTTGCCCCTTAATGGATCCTCCCAATCCTCCACTCTGTAAGGAGCAGCTATCGAATCAATGATTAGTAATCCTATTTTACGAGCTTTCATCAGTGCTGGAACCTTGTGATACAGGCAATATTCCAATTCATCCTTTAATGTATTTAATACAAAATCAGATAAATATAATCTTTATTATTATTTTTAAATCTTTATTATTATCTTTATTATTAAATTTCATGTAGTTTATAATTTAACAACTGTATTTTTTAATATTGTAAATTTTAATAAATTATAATGTGTTATTATATGACTATAATTACAATGGTAGATATATGGTCCACAAATATTACATCTCCATTCACAGAATAAGTTTTGGCTATTTCAGAATTCTCTATCAACTGCTGCAACCGCCTTGACGGAAAAAGAGCCTCTGTACAAATGTATATGGCACCTGTTGATATCAATAACTCCAGCATTTTTTTCTTATATTTAAAAACATTACATATTCAGATCAAGGATTTCAGAAATATTGTGACGTCGAACAGCTGCAGGAGAAAATCTTTCAGTTGCTGCTGCACAAGATCGCAAAATATTATTCCAAAATAACGCTAATTCTTACCAGCTTCGAGACCGCCCACGGTCACCGGCGATTGGACGGTAAGGCACAACTGCAAGGCCAATTGCGTTTTCCCAGTACCAGCTGCACCGTAAAACTGCGTGATACCACGACAGGGTATGCCGCCCTTTAATATCGCGTCCAAGTTTGAACAACCAGTTGTCACAAATCTCTCTTGTTCTCCAACAGCTTCCGTTACTGACATAATCACGCAGAGAAAAACATGTTACATGCAACTATAGAAATTTTCGTACAATTCAACATTTGGAAATAAAAATTTTTTTTTTTCAAAACAATACCTAACAAATGTTCCATTTCTAATTATATTTTTCGATATATCCGATATATCGCGCGGATATGTACATTATTTAGATAACTGGCTTTTGGTTCAACATATTTCAGTAAATCTTTGATGGATTGAGCATCAGATGATACTCTTTATTCTTATTGCTCTTATGGCGCCATCTTCCGTTCATGAGAGAAAATACATCTTCACATCCTTGAACGAAATATACAGGGTAAAAAAAGGATACTGAAAATTAATGAAAAAAGAGATATATTTTACACACGGTACAACCAAATCTCGCTTGAACATTATTAAATATTCGTGTTATAAAATTCTTTTGTACTTCTTTTAATATTTACAAAAATCTATTTAATTTTTTTTGTTTTACGTTTCTTCACGTGCTTTTTTATTTTGTTCTTTCTTTTCTTTGCTTGTTCTTCTTTGACTGCTTTCTTGCGCGCCTAAAATCGAACATGTATTATTTTAATACATACACATTAATATTCTTTATTGTGTAGGTAAGAAATATAATAGACATCTTACTTTTTTACTTTCTGGACTCTCGTCTTTGCGTCTAACTATATTTATTGATGTGCCCACATTCTTATGTTTATCATCTACTTCATCACTGTCATTTCCATTATCACTCTCACTATCATCGTAGTCTTCTTCTGTGTCATTGTCATCATCCTTACATTGTCTAGCAGCAAGAATCTCTGGTATTTCCGCAGGCTTGGATAAATCCGTTTTTAAACCGATCAATGTCTTGTAAATCAAATTTTCCTTGCCAGACTTCGCGAGATTGATATCGCGTTCAAAATCGATCACCTATGAAAGAATTCAGCTTAGAAGTTTCTACACAACTCCAATAAAAAAACCTCTCTGTTTCTAAGATTGTGCACTTTTATGCATCGCAATGATGAACAATACCTGAACTAATGATTGCGGGATATAAGCTTGTTTAAAGACTTGCTCCTCAAAATCGCTCTCTTGATCCGCTTTCTGCTTCTTCTTTTCGTCCATCACGTCCAGATATTCATCCATATTATTCTCGTTTATGGTTGGATCTGTTATGAAGTCAAATAACTCTTTGACCGTCATAACAGCTACATTATGCTTTTTGAAGAATTCTATTAGAAATAAAAGTAAAATGATTCAGATATATAAATATACAGGCCTATAGTAATATTCATTTTGTTTATAAGTCAAACTGTTTACAGAATGTTTGCCTGTGCCATGGTACCTGTGATATTAGTACAGTCCTTTCTGAGGAACTCTAACGCCATAGGATGATCGTGCTCCACAGACTGTGAGACATCGATGATTACCAGTGAACCATTGTGATATAACATATTGTACTCGCTCAGATCGGCGTGAACGAGCCTACATTTATTATACATCTTCCACATCATCTCTATGCATTCACGATACAGCATAGTCAACTTCGAGGCGGTCAGTACGACGTCCTTCAGTTTCGGTGACGCCCAGCCTTTCGCACCGATAAAATCCATCAGTAATACGTGGCTGCGCAATAAAATCGGCTTGGGTGCGCTTATGCCAGCTTGTTGTAGACGCACCAAATTCCGCATCTCCTTTTCCGCCCAAGTTCGCACCATTTTACGCGGATTGTGCTTAAAGTAAATATTCTATTAATTAAACATTATCCTAATGATTGAGACACTAATATATCTAAAAAAATATATATCTATATATATATATATTTTTTTTTGTCAAAATTTTGTCAAAAAATATTTCTTTTTATTTTTTACTTTATACCAATTGATAATATTCAATGAGCATTTGATCATTGAGTCTGTATTATTTAGTAATTAAGACATGATTCCATTTTTCAACTTAATTATTGGTTAACCAGTGTTATCTATCTCATTGAAATTATAATTGATATTTGGTGATTACTTTATCTTCTGTTATTAGCATTGAGACATCTATCTTGTCAGTTGCTTTATTTTCTACTACATCTTCTATCAACAAACCAAAGTTGACAAACCAAAGTTTTATATAGACATTGGTTTTGTTAGCAATTCCACTAATTATCTATTAACAAAAATATAAAACTGACCATGCTTTCTTATTGGTTCAGTCATCAGGGCATTTACCTTGGAGTAGCCGTGACGGAAACGGAATTCACCGTTCACATACTTGTCGCGATCTCGAAATTGTAAAATGGACGTCTTGTATATTTTGATGGCAACCTCCGTCCCCGTTGCTGAGAGCGCGTAATACACATTGGCCTCTTTCCCAGTCGAAATGCAACCGTCTATCCTCGCTATCAGTCCCTTGTTCAACAGCTTGAACAGAATCATTTTTGTGCGAGTGTCCAACACTTGCTCGACCGTCGCGCGATCCTGCTTGTCCTTCGTTCTTATGCGACCCTTCTCGGTACGTTTATTGTTCTCTATCAATACGTTTACTACATAATTAGACAATGAAGGACCCTCGTATTTCTCCATATTGATCTTATCTGCGTAACGGCGCAGCAACTTATTCATAGGCTGGTAATTCGCGACTTTGCTGGACACGTGTCGATTATTGGCAGTTTGTGCATTTGTCTTCACGACAGTATTCCCACGCATATTGTCCTCGTCCCAATCGCAGTGAGTGTCACTCTCAATGTCACTTTCACAGAGATCATCTTCACTGTTCACAATTTTCAATTTAGTTGCCACCTCCACGAGACTCGTCATGGGACTTGAGAAAGAGGCAGATTTTCCTTCATTCGTGGCTGTTTTGTAAACTTGGGTCTTCCTGAAAAAAGGGTCACTATAATATATAGTAAACAAATGATAGATAAATGTTTACATGTGAAGTGAATACAAGTGAAACGATTTTATAACAAAACTTACTCGCAAGTTACTTCTTCCTCTTCAGCGTCGCTAAATTGACCTTCTTCGAATATTTCTGCCATGATCGTGATTTCTACGAAGAACTCGTTAGGTAATGTTCACAGTATTGTCCTTTAAGTTGGCGATCTACAATAGGGGTAATAATTTTTAATAAATTGATCAATCATAGTCGAATTATAGAAGAATAATTAATCGTGATTAATTTCTTACGGCTTAAAGCTTATTACATCTATTATAGATCGGAACTAATAGCATCTGTTAAAATCACGTATAATCTCGCAATATAATGAAAACCTCAGGACCATACGGTGTGGTGCACACTGTTATATTCTAGTCAGTGCCACCTACATTTTTAAGGTTCTGCTATCTCTAGGGCGGCCATCTTGGTTTGATGACGTCAGAAGCGAGAAATGACATACTGAAAAATAGTTGCGTTTTATTGCTTTATTTTATTTTTCCTTGAAGAACCAAATATTTTCCTAATCCTGAAACCTGTAAAAAAAACAGCAAACTCAAATATCTGGCTGATATATCACGTAGCATCGTAAAATAATTCCTGAAATAGTGTTACATTTTTCGGCCGTCACGGTGGTTTGACAGCTGAGATACCACCCTGTATGAACACATTTAATTTCTCGATTTTCACAATGTATCACCAGTATCACTGAGTTTGCTGTACATTTTACGGCTGTGAGGATCACGATAATATACACACTTCACGGAAAAATTGCAAAATAAGGCGATAAAACGCAACTAATTTTCCAAGGTGTCAAACGAGGCCTAGCATGACGCTGACCTAGTGTTAGCCAATCAGCTACGCTGATATGGTTATTTCATGTTCTCGACACTGCTAGGCGCCACCGTCAACTCTGACTTTCTATACGGAGATAGCAGAGCCTAAATTCGATTTATCCGATAACCAACTATCAATGGGCTTTTGTATCAGCGTTTCTCCATCTATACGTTTCATAACTTGTGACTTAACGCTGACCGTTCTTTTGTTTACATCAATATATTTAAACTATGTGATTATGTTGAGATGACAGAGAGTAAGTTTTTTTCTAGAATTTCTATATTAACATTGTTTTCTAACGTATTTATCACGACTTATCTTAACACCATATTAATGTATACGTTGTCTACATGTGGAATTAATTAGTATCGTGTAGTTAATTATACTTTTTAATACTTCAGAAATATAAAGATGATTATGTTCTTGTTTAAACAACTAATTGGGACTAAAAACTTATTCCAAGAGTTTTTTAGTGTATAAGCGGAAAATTAAATGTAACGTTTTCTAAGCACACAAATAATTAACAAATATTTAACATTTTTATAGTATAATTAATATTATTTTACATAATACTGTATATAGATTTTACAAGTAATTAATGTATAAAGAAATATCCAGAAACATGCCACTTTGAAAGAAGTATTCTAATTTTATTATTTTAATTGTACAACTAAAAAGAAATAATGTTTCATATCAATATAATAAAGACTATATAAATCTGTATCTCAACACAAATTAAAATTCTTATATTTAAAAAATAATTTACAGATAAGTATCTAAAAACTCAGATTATCAACATTTAACCATGGAGAATATCATGAGATCTATGCAAGAATGTAATGCTATTCGTTATACATCTTATAGGACTGCCGCTAAGATGCAAATATTACACAGAGAACTAAATAGTAAGATTTTTCTTATCCAATTAACTACCCAGTGAGTTTGGTGTCTTCAACTGTTTTATTTTATTTAGTGCAACATGTACAGCTGGGATTAATAGCAGGAGTCTTTGAACGTCATAGACTATCTATCACAGAAAACTGTGTTAATCTAGATCCAAGTGAAATCGAGGATGTTCTGTCTGATATCTATTTTGCAGCACAAAAAGAAAGTAATTTCAATTTTGATGTTGATCTTGCATCAAAGCTTGCCACAAATTGTATCTTGCATACTTTTGACAAGTAAGTTTTTATATCCCTTTTTCATTACATTAATATTTTCAATCTTGCTGTATTCTCTTCAAATATCTTTATAATTTTTGATTACTTTAAATAAGCGATATGTGTATTATTGTAAAGAGTACCTTGTAATAACTACAGTGCTAATAACAAAAAATATTTTTGACATTGCAGACAAAATACTAGAAATATTTTAGTGTTCTCAGTAAAAGTTGTATTAATATTGCTGAGCAATGGCAGGTTGCAAGAAAAATATGGGTATCTGTACCAGCAATTAGCTGATCATAATGCATGTTTGTCTCGAGCTGGTTTGCATACATTATTAACAAATATCTGCAAAATAACAGAAATGCTTGGAGAAAATGTAGCATATGGATATGAACAGATTCAGCTGCACATAGATGCCTGTTTCGTGAAGGTATAACAAAATTACTGCTGTTATCATATATAAAAGTAGCCTATGTTAAACTACCTTGTTAATATTCTAAATTTTAGTCTCAAGGTTGTCTCGGAGTCACTGAAGCGGAGTTTGCCGCGTGGATCATGCAGGAACCTCCTCTACTGATCTGGATAACAACATTCAATCGAATAAAATCTGCAGAACATAGTAAGTCGCAACATTAAATGATCATGCACTTAAGTATGATTATAATATAAACCAGAGCTCGGAATAGTTTACCAATTTCGGCCGATTCTCGGGAGCTACGCCTTCTATCTCCTCTTTGTCGGGCCAATAAAGTGACAGTCGCGACCAGTCGCGGCTCCAAGCTTAGAGGCACGACCGTCACTTTCTTGGCCCGCCACGTGACCAGGGAGAGATAGAAGGCGTAGCTCCCAAGAATCGGCCGAAATTGGCAAACTGTTCCGAGCTCTGATATAAACAATTCTTCCAGTTGTGCACAACATCAGATGTTCCTCGTGTAAAGTAACACCCGTACAGGGACCAAAATACACATGCTTGAAATGCACAGGGTACCATCAATGCCAGAATTGCTTTCTCTTGGGCAAAACGTCAAACAAGCACAAGCTAAAACATCCAATTCGCGAATATTGCGTGAAGGTATGATATTTTGATTTTTGTGTTTTCATATATAAGTTATGCTCACGTCGCACATTCCTTTTCCAGACTTCACATCGCGAAGTTACAAAACTGATCATTGAGTTAATCAGGAATAAGCTGAGACTGTGTCCTACTAGAGCAGTTACGATAAACGCAGATGATTTAGTTGCGGATGCCGTTAGGTTGCTAATTACACTTCACTAATGCTAATTATATTTTTATACATATTTTCATAATATATGGTATAACTGTGATGCTTTTTCATACAGTAACGAGACAAGGCGTGCAGATTGTGGTTCATTAAGGAGTACGATTAGGCGAAAAATTCTCAGTGATCCACAGAAAGAATTACAAAGTATTATAACGCACTTGGAGGAGGAAAATCGGCAATTGCAGATCGAACTGTTGGACATACGAGGTACCAAAGCGGAGAGGCTGCAGCGTCATAGAACGACCATCGAATCTCAGTTGCAACGATTGAAAACACTTAAGGTACGGTAATCATCGAAAACTGTTTAAAGACGCATTTATTAATCCATTTAATTTTCTTGCAGAAATATTTATTTACCGACGCGGCTCAAGCACCGCATATTATCACTCGTATGCAAAGCACTCCGATGTTGCAGCCTTTATCGTCCAGGCTTACAGCCTTGCCGTTGGAATTTGAATTGAGTCCAATTATCAGACAAAATAATATTCAACAAGGGATTAAGCTGCACCATAGAAAAGACAAAATAACACCTGGTAGCTTCGATACATCGTTACCTATAGAACATACAATAAAAGAGCATAACGCTAACGGTCTTCCCTGTGTCGAGGAAGCCTCCACGAGTTCTGGATTTAATATACCAGAAAACAGTTGTATAGAATTAAGCACGTGGATCGGAGGCAAGTATAGAATGTGTCAATAGTGATTATTAACCAAAAATAATTATTAAGAGAAGTGTTTGTGAACGTATGTATTTAATTACCAGGAACAAGAAGGGGAGAATTGAATCCAACTGACAGTGGTTTCTCTCAGTGGTTGGCCGCCGGCAATCCGAATTGCAAAGAGGATAACTACACGGCTAATGCGGTTAGCAGTACAGATAACGACTTGTCACTGGCAGCTTCACAATCTCCCACCGGCATCCACAGGGACAATACTCCGTCTTCCTTACAACGTCCTGATAAACACTCGCAGCACAGTAGCTTGCAAAATATTCAAGGAGACCTCAATGATATATTGGAGAGACTGCAAAATATGGTTGCCAATGATTGCTTACTCGATGGTAAAGTATCACTTATTGTCGAAAGAAGATGCATGTATAAAAGAATATTATATTTACAAACAACCGTTTCGCGGTGAAATTATCTTGCTATATAAATACATCATGAATTGCAGAGTCGTACGATGGCAACGACAATTGTAAATTGAAACGTGCTACTACAGAGATGGAAGATTTATTAACTGGCCTTATCGAAGGTATGGAGTCTCGTAAAAGTAAACTTACTACAATTGTTTGAAGACTGCCTTAACTGTAAATCTAGATATTGCAACATTTAGAAATTTTTAGATCACATTCGATCTTTTCTCTTTCACTGCAATCGTAGGCACCTATTTTTTAATCCTTTTAATTCTGCTAAAAGTGATCTGTAAATATGCTATTTTTTTTACATCATTACATATATCTAAAAGGAAGAGATGAATGTGATCTAATTATTGTAAACGATAATAATTGATATGAAAATCGATATTATAAACCGTTAAATCAAATAGCCATACTTAGCACTAATTATAAAATGGCCATTTGAAATATTAAGTATTTTTTATATGTGTTGTATGTATATTTATATAATATCTGTGCAATCATGGAAAAGAAATAATCTATTTCGAAGATTTCTATCAATAACGAGGAACTATATTGCATAGTTTTTAAGACAATGTTCTTAAAATAGAACAGAAATTGGTAAATTTTATATACGTAAGTAATTTTAAAAGTAATTTTAATAATTAATAATTAATTTACTTACGATAATTATAGATTATAATATTTAGTTAAATTACACTACAACACGAAAAGTCATTTATAACTCCGTCCATACTTAAGTCTTTTATACATTGTCTCATTGTGTCGTAGCTATTTGCACATACATTCACTTTTACAAAATATGTTCTTACATCAAAGTACAATATAATTTATTTCTAGCAACATAAAAGTTTTATGTACGCGTTCTCGATCTTCCTGTCGCACGTTTTTTCAATATATATATATATATATATATATATATATATATATATATATATATATATATATATATATAATATAATATATAAAAAGTGATAGATATTCTCTCATCTCTGATTACATATAAAAACGAATACTTTACATTCTATGTTAAAAAATAACATGCGTTGTTGATCGAATTTAATGGGACCGACTAGATGATTGATTGTGACGTAATCTACATACAAGAGAGTAGAACAATTTGTACGTGTCTAATGTCAAGCATACAATACGAAAGTCTTTGTGTTTAATACTGAACGAATAACTTCGGATGTGTCACTACATATCCTTCTCTAGATGTAACGTATCAGTTAAATAAGTAACTTTAAGAACCTTCGAGAAATGGATTTTTTCCGACGGCCGATTCACCGTCCATGCCATTACGCGGACGTTGCGTTCGAACCATCGCTCTATCACGCGTCTAAAACGAGATTTATATCATAATTTTGTATTCTTCACTAAAGTACATATATATATTTGTCATAAATATAGAGAAAATTATATATATAAAATTACGAGAAATTTAATGTGTGACCGACTTACGGATTTACTATATCCTTGTGTAACAACATGACAGAGACACCTACGACGTAATAAACGAAGCGCGGTAACAGCCATTCGTATAAAGTCTCCAAAATGCAAACTGCCAAATGTTTAAACGGATTATGAAATCGTACAGAGCCGAGGCTTTCCAGGCCGGCGTACGACGTTCTCGTGAAATAATATGGTCTCCAACCGAGACTCGCCATGATGCGTGGCTCTTTTTTCCTTATCTACACGCGTTCGTATAAGAGCAAATTTTCACGTTAACTTAAGAAATATGAATTATTAAGGCTCCTGGCCACTCGCAGCGATCATCTTAATGTTTGATGTCAGAGGCGAGGAAATGCATGTCTAAAATTCCTACAAAGTACGTCAAAATGAAAAGATATATAAAAGATTGAAACTTGCAATTAATTAAGTACACCTCTAAAATACTTCCAAAACTTTCCTTCTACTCTAACAATCAATAACTGTAAAATTAACGTGACAAAATAATGAGGAAATATAAGTTAAAAAGAAAAGTTGCATGTCACGTTAATTTTAGTTATTTATTGATTAATTAGAGCAAAAGAAAAGTGCCTGAAATATTAGAGGTATGCTTAATTTATTCCAAGTATTATTTTTTGGATATACCTTTTTATTTTGACTTTGCTTCATAGAAGTTTTGAGCATGCATTCCCTCGCTTCTGACGTTATCAATCAAGAATTCCACGGAGAGTAGTCAGAAGTCTTAATTGTCGTAAAATACATACCATGTACAGAATGATTGGATTAAAACATGTCACGAATCCTCTCTTAAATAATTTCGGGTATTTCTTATACACATCGAGAACAACTTGCACAACATCTGTTTTAGTTTCCTTTATGTCTATGATTACTCTTAGCTCGTTGTCCAGACATTGTTGCAATGCGTCATGCAACAGCGGAATCTTCTCTCCGTCGGAAAATTTGTTCCTTTGGCAAAACAGTTATTTCTCTTTGCATGAGGCTACTCCAAATGATGTGGTTATAACACTATATATAAGACGCATTTTTCGTAAATTACAAGATTATAAATTGAAATATAACTGTACCTAAGTGGGTGATTATAACTTATATCTAAATTTCGCAGTTCTTCCCATGTCATTTCGCTGATTGTTCCTATTTGGCCTGTGAGTCTCTCAGTCGTTGAATCATGAAATACTATTGGAATGTTATCCTTTGTTAGTCTTACATCGAGTTCTACTGTAGTACAGCCCTTTCCTCTACTCTGCAAGACAGTGAAAATGACATGAGAAATTAGAATAATATATTTCTAAGGCAACATACATAAAATATACATATATATATATATATTATACATATATATATATATATATATATATATATATATATATATATATATATATATATATATATATATTTATGTATATATATATATTTATGTATATAAACAATATATACATAAAAAAAAAAACACAACTAAGAATACAGAAAAAATATTCAAGAATTTAAACATGTAGGACAATGAAGTATTAATATTATTAATAAGTAATATATATTAATTAGCTCACTTTCTGCAATTTACATTATCAAGCAGTAGCAATGTTAAATAAGCCAATCATAAAATTGAGAGACACACAAACATCTTAAGATATTGTAAGTATACTACTTTAAGCAATTTCTATTACAAAAGATCTATCATAGTTTCCATAGCAGAATACAACAATTATCAACATATAACTCAAGAGTCACACTCTTTCAATACATTTTAGGAAAACCAAAGGTCAGAGCTGATACCAATAAAAACATAATTAGGAATGAGAATGACTAGTAAGATTGTGAGACAGCACTGAAATATATAATTTTACATTTTTGAAAGCTGACAAACTGTTTTCAGGATAATCGTATCCTCCACCACGGTGGGCCACCACTCGCATGCAGTATTGCTCTCCGTTACCGTGATTCTCAGGCATGGAGTTATCTTTTTCCAGGTGGAGTGGATTTATACCCAATATTTCCTGCACAGCACTGGCAGCTGGAGGTGATATTCGCATCAGTTTGAGCGCAATTAAGATGATCAACAAACCCCAAACAATCCAAGGAACACTGAACTCGTACAGGACAGTAACCAACACACTCAGCGTCGTTTGCAGGAATATCCATAGCAAAGCGCTGTTTACGATTAACTCGACGATCTCGTGCATTTTGATGTTAATTCTCTATCCCGTCTAATTACGATGGTTACGGGCTTGCAGGATTGCGCTTGATGTTTTATCAGCGTCTCGTCATATAAAAAAAAAGAAGGATTTGTGGGACGAGTTATGGATCACGCGAATTTTAGTCGGATTTTTAGTTTTACTTAGATAAGATTATTACTTCGTAAATCACGATCGCAGCAAATTGTCATGAGATACGCGAAGGCGTGCAAGATTAATTCGTGACGCAAATATTTTGTCAGCCTTTCGCGCGCTGCGCATCATTCTTTTCGCTCGTGTGCCGTATCAATCTGTCACGCGGATATGCATTAATTGATACAGATTTTGGTGCCACTGAACCACCACGGAGTCGTGTGGAATCGTGAGATTTTAGATCAATCAATAGTAATGTGTTGCAAATCCACGTTATCACACACTTGTGATAAGTACATGACATATACACTATCCCGAAGCTCGTTATGCTGTTTCCACCGCCAAAATTGAGGTCGTGGTGCAACTCAATGGTAAGAGAGACGAACGTTAGGCCGGTTCTACATTAGTTGCAAATCGCAAGTTGTAAAAAAATTTACCAATCACAGTCAATTGTTCTTCTTACGACCAAAGAAGAATTGACTGTGATTGGTCAATTTTCTTGCGACCTTGAGCTTGCAATTAATGTAGAACAACTCTTATTTTCAAGTAGTACGACTCAATGGCAGATTGAACAAACATGTAAATATTATGTTTTAGTATCATATTTGTTTCTTTTTATAGCGTTTACTTTGAAAACGGTGTTCCTTGTTAGAAGATTCGTATAATTCGGGACATATATATATACACTTGTCTCACTGAAATTAAATTATTTTATTCTAGCCACACGGCGCAGTAACTTTTCTTATCACTTAGCATCTGTATCTACGTTTACCGACCTAGCATGGCAATTTATAACCTACTTGAGTGTATGTAATTTCATATATAATTGTTTATCGTTTAAACTTTTATTAGACTAAATAATAAACTAAATATATTTAATAGAATTACACCACATTTTTAAAGTTAAATCCAAATAATCGTTCAAATAAACAATAATGTTGAAGACGAGCATTACACACATATATGTAGACTTGTCATGTAAACGTCAAATATGGATTTCACCGATCTAATTCATAGGTTGTAAATTAAAATATGGCTCATAGTAATCAAAGCCAAGGAACAGGAGAACCAATAGATCTTTTAACAAAATACCACAATATTTCGAATAAATTAAAAAAGTAAGAGAATGTCTTTAAATAATCACACATAATTAGAAATCATTATCAACAATAGACTATAAATAACTATTTTATTAATCTTTTAGACGATTTTTGAGGAAACCAAATGTTGCAGAAGCATGCGATCAATTTAGTAAGTATTTAGTTTATAGCAATATGTGTATAATCTCTATAATGGTTAAATTTTTAATTGTATTAAAAGGATCAAACATGTAATAGATATATTTGTTCAAAGGTGCTTTAGCTACTGAATGTGAGCAGAAGGAATTATGGCAATATGCAGGATTATGTTGGCTAGCAGCTGCTAGATGTCAAGGTACATTGGAGAATGTATCTTCTGAAATAAATCTGTTAATAAAAGCAGGAAGACAATTTCTCACAGCTGAAAAGAAAGACAGTGATATAGGATGTCCCTCTATAGGTCAAGAAAATATACAGGTATTTGAATAATGTATTTTTATAGTGAAAATCAAGTGAAAATAAAGATCTGAAGTTACTTGTCATATGTTCTAGGCTGCTGTGAGTTGTTTCAGTCATTCCATGCTAAGATGTACTAACCAACCAGGATTTAATACGATATCTGCTGGTTTATCAGTAGAACTAGCATTAGCATTGGGTCCAAGTCCTGCTGGAATTCAACAGCTACGTAAAGCAATTGATATTTTTCCTACATCCAAAGCTATCAATACTTTGGTATCTTTCTACATAAATCAAGGTTAGCATTTATATAAAGTTCTTATCATGTTTTATGAATTTATACAATCATTTTATATCAACATTTAGCATTCAGTATTGTATATAACAATTTTATCTCCACAGGAGATTATGTAGCGGCACTTCAAATACTCAATGAATTTGTAGAATTTGTAGAAGCTTGTGTTGTGGCTGGTGCCAGGGGAAACTATAATGCTATTTTACATAGGTATTATAATGATTTATATAAAAATGGTAAAAATACATTTGTAATATATAAATAAAAATATATGATAAAATTGTTGGTAAAATATATGGTAAAATTTAGGTGTGAAGTGACGCGAGTATTGCTGCTACTCATTCTTCAGCCATCACCACAGAGACTAACACCCTCCCTCGCTCAAGTTCTCGAAAAATATGCATGGATAGAAGAAAATGTGAACAATGGTACAGTATTATTCTGTCTATTATGGTATTACAGTTAGTTCTATTTAATACAGTATCATTGTCTATTTTCAATTTTATGAGAGATTTACATTGCAGGTCTCAATATGAGCGAAGATGAATTATTATTACTGCAATCGCTCGTATTAGCGTGTCAGTCTCACGATTATCAAGCGGTATTAGAACTGGAGAGCGAATTGTATCCTTACTTGGATACGGAGCAAAAGGAATTGTTACATAAATTGATACAAGTACTATCGACGCAGTAAATATGCAACAAGACAACCTGATGCAACTTGTTTCTCTTCTTGATTCATTTGATATGTTCTATGGGTCGATGGTTTTTCTATGACGGCCGATACTGAGCAAAACATTAACGTACGAAGATCGTTCGTACAATAATATTTTGTTGAATTCGGGCAACGGTTTAGATCCCAACGTAGTGCTGATGATCTTAACGGATGAAGAGACATTTCTGCACTGTATCTTCGTTAAAAACAACGAGAATATAGAGATTTATTTTACGTCCTATCTACGTCTACGTTAACATTAGCGAATATACGTCTCAAAACTACATGTATTTAACGTTAATTATATTTTAGACACAAGAATGTAAATCGTGTCGCAATTCGCTATTAGTACTTTCGGCATAAGTACATAATAAGCTACTAAAAATCGTAATCTTCGTCATAGACCGCCCTCACACAAGTGCGGCTTCGCCGTAAACGCGCTCCGCTGAAATCGAAAATCGGAGCACATTCCTCGAGACGAATGGAGGATGCTTCGGCTCCTCGTCTTTCTTTTTTTTTTCACGCGATTACGTTATTAGTCTCTTCGAAACAGGTTCCTGCGTCTAGACGAGCGATTGCTCAACTGATGATGAGCCGCGTTCTTACAAATCGAGTAGTGTTGTAAGTGGTGAATGCGGTCGACGCGATGCGGGAGCGAAGCGTCGCTTCGTGTGATCTCGTTCGCGGTATGAGCGGTAAGTTGGCGTGAAAGGTGAAGAAGGAACTCTTTAGACGAGAATCATATAACGGAGCGGAGCGAAGCTGGAAGGAAGGGTATAGTGTGCGTGCCGGTATGGCGACGTGTACGGGGGCATTATAGAGGAGGGGATGTCTCGCGTCCCACGATAAAGTCCTTCGTTCCTCCACGGCTACTATTCAAGGCAGAGGCTCAGTCATCACGCGAAAGTTCCTCGGAGTCCTTCGGATCGAAATCGTTGCATTTCGCTGAATTGTCTAGCACTTAAACCGCGATCTGAGGTAATAAACTCTTCATTATATTGCTTAATATTTTTATAAAAAGCTCGAAAGTCTTTACTGGCCCTACGTAACAAGTAAAATAATAAAAACTGCACTGTATATATTCGTGAGAAAAATTGTCAGAGCGACGCGTTAATCTGTTCATTTAAATGTGAGTAATAAGCAGGTTCTTCACGCGAACAATCTCTTGTGATCTAAAAAATCCCAAGGACGCCTGTTAATTCCTCAATTTAAAAATCAAGGTGTAATAGAGACTCGCGATTTCAAATCAATGTTGCTGAATGTTGAAAAAATATATGATATCAGAAATTAATGAAAAATTTGAATCACTTAACGGTATTCGAAATCGAATACCGTTAAGTAATTATGCGAGAATTGACTCGCGATTTTGATAAATTAAGAAAATTTCCAGTTACGCATCGTATGCAGACACACGTATATAACATTCGAAAGCGAAACAATTTCCGAGACACTTAAAATTTAATCAGTCAAGTACTAATTGCTCGTTGTATATACGAGCAGATATTTATTAGATATTCGTCTCTCCGCGTACACGTTCTTCTTCATTTCATCAAATGATACTAATACAATACCGCGTTCATACTGCCACAATGATTTACCACGTGTTTCAACGACCTTGAACTCTCTTTGCTCACTTGAAAGAAGGTGAATGCCCCAAGCACCTGCATTCGTTGGCTTGCAAGTATAGTGTTTCCCTATAGACAAGTTCGGTTCGTACCTTCAATAGCTTTATCACCTTAAAAAAGTTTTGAATCGATACATATTTTTTACATTTACATACAAAATAGAAAGAAGAACGGAGGGAAAAATCCGTTAGTTAAAAGTCAATTATTCTTGTCAGGAAGATGACGGGAGATTGGAGGACCATTTTTGTAACCGGCGGCGCCGGTTACATCGGCAGTCATTGCATCGTCGAGCTTCTGGAGTGCGGATACGACGTGGTAGCCATAGATAACTTTGCAAACAGCGTGACAGAAACCGATGGTGAATCCGCGGCGCTCAAGAAGGTCGAGCAAATAACAGGAAAGAAAGTTACGTTCTACAATTGCGACCTGCTCGACAGAGAGAAGCTCGAATCCGTCTTCAACAAGGTATTACGAAAATCGTATTTCCTATATCTTTAAAATGTTTGCGAACTACATATTTGCGCGTAAATACCTTTAATTATGATTATTCTTTTGTGTAACACAAAATCGAAGCAAACGAATGATTCTATTGGTTGTAAATACAAGTTATAATTTTTCCTCTTCAGCACAAAATAGATTGTGTAATACATTTTGCGGCTATCAAAGCAGTCGGCGAGTCGATGCAAGTTCCGCTTCATTACTACCGGAACAACATAATCGGTGCTATCAATCTGTTAGAGGTAAAAAAAAGTGGAATATATTACATGAACGCTTTTGAAACATTCTCATAGTCCGACACATCTCTTCGGTCATAGGTGATGAAAGCGGCTGGCTGTTTTCAATTAGTATTCAGTAGCTCTTGCACGGTGTATGGGGAGCCTACAGAATTGCCAATTACGGAAAACCACGTGACCGGCAATATTACTAATGTGTACGGCCGTACGAAATACTTCATCGAAGAAATGCTGAAGGATATATCTAGAGCTGAAAAGGTGCGTACACAAAAAAATCTCGAATTCATGCAAAACATAAAACACATCAATTAAATCGGCACTTAAATTTTTAGGATTAATTATTAGACAAGAAATTTTGCGTATCGCATTACTTATACTTTCCTTTTTTATTAAAAACTCCTTTTGTTTTTTACACAGAGTTGGAACATTATATCTCTAAGATATTTCAACCCGGTAGGAGCGCATAGTAGCGGATTAATCGGGGAAGATCCGACGAAGCCATTTACCAATCTGATGCCGTATATCGCTCAAGTCGCCTTAAGGCACAAGCCGGAACTGATTATATTCGGCGGAGACTATCCTACGAAAGATGGCACAGGTTTATATCGTATTCGGTATCGAGTGAGCATAAAAGTGTAATTTAATTGCGTGCGTAATATAATAATTTTATTTCGTCCTTCCCGTAGGTATCCGTGATTACATTCACGTTATGGATTTAGCATCGGGTCACGTGGCGGCGCTGAACGCTTTGCACAAAGAGCATCTCAGGCTAAAAATTTACAACTTAGGTACTGGCAAGGGTGTATCTGTATTGGAATTAATAAAGACGTTTGAAAAGGTTACTGGTACTACCGTACCGTACGTCATGAAAGAAAGGAGAGAGGGTGACATTGTGTCCATGTACGCTAACACAGATCTGGCGAAGAAAGAATTGGGATGGACAGCGAAATACAATGTCGAGCAAATGTGTAAGTGACATTTTCAATCGGATACGCGTGTTCTCATTAATTTAGATAATTTCTAACGAACGATAAATGCAGGTCAAGACTTTTGGAGGTGGCAAACGATGAATCCGCACGGTTATCGGACTCCATTAAAGAACGGTATTAATGCAAATAACATATTGTAACGATGAATTGTATTGAGGGGATTATACAGAAACGAAATTTGTAATAAAGAATCAAGATGCGTTATAAAACTTACGTGTTTATGATCTATGTCAGCTTGTTTTTACACTTTACATTTAATTTCTGCTCTCAGTCTCGCCTTTTATATTGTCAGTATTGTTTTCAACTTTCTTACTTTCGTCGAAAATTTGATACAGTGACAAATGCTGAAACTTCAAAATTTCCAAACCCCAACTCGTCCATCCAGGTAGCAAATATCTTGCAAAAATTTCTAGACATTTTGGTTCATTCGGAAGGTACTCCTTTATAATTTCTTAAAATATAAACAAGTTTACTTCAACATATTATCACAAATATTATATGCAACATAATTTTTATCGACTTAGTTTTTACACCTGTCACAGGTGGTTTGTGAGAGTGGACTGCACTGGGTACGCTAATCACCAATTTGCCGTCAGGAATATTAATTTTGTCTTCTTTCAATGCAGAACCTAATATTAATAATTCATAAGGTTGCTTTCCAGGTGCCAAGTTAAAATTGCATATTGTATCTCCTGTCTGTGTTACCTAAAAAAAGGTATATAGTTATATGTTATTTCATATTGATTACATGTTGAGTTATCATGTATTAAACAAAAATTTTACTAAAAATATAACTTACTTTGATCCAGTACCACTTAGCTCTGTAAGTAACACCCCAAGATGGAAACATCTCATTGGAAATACTATTCAAATGACTAGGTGCATTAGTACACCATACAGCCACAATACCAGTAGAATGTAACAGTTTACCTACTGGTATTTTGGCTAATTCCTCATTGTACATCATTTTATAGCTGTAAAAATAAATAGTACATCATTTCTTACAGAGTATTTAACATAGTTAAAAATTATATACTTATTCTCTCACAAAAATTTAAAAATAAATTAAATATATGATTATATAAAATCAACTATTCTCTTTGAGTTAAAATTCTATTATTTCTCTAGTTTATATTGAATTATTCAAGATTACCTAGCTTCAGCATATTTCATCTTTTTCCTTCTGATCGACTTGTTCCACCAAGGTGGATCTAAAAGTATGAAGTCAAACTGTTTATTCAACTCCATTTTCTTTTCGATGTCTCCTACATCGTAGCAATAAAATGTGCATTTTTTTGGAAATACATATTTTTTATTGTGAGCCTCAGATATAATAGCATCATCTGTATCATTGGAGCCATACAAGTTCTCATCTTTATGGCAATAAGTATCCATATAAAATTTCTTAGAAGCTAAACGTGCTACTTCATTGTTATCTGAAGAAATATTTCCACAAAAGAGTCCTTCTATTCTTGCAGCAGATATTATTATATTAAATGTTTCTTTAATATGGTGAACCTGTCACAAAAAGTACTTAAGATAAAAATCATAAGCATGTATAAGTCTTGTATATTTGGAAGATCAGAAATTTATTTCAAAAATTGAAAAAACAAATTTAAATTAAATATATTTTTTATTGAAACCTACTTCTTCCAAATCCTTTTGTGGCAATGTATTTGAACGTTTTCTTCTTTTACTTTTACCATGTAACAAAGCAGCATTATCTTGAGAAGTCTGAGCTATTTGATTTTGCCTCAAATATTGTGAATTAATTTCGAATATCATTTTATTAAATTTCAGAGAACAAAATGCATTGTCATTAAAAACTTTTTTGTAAATATCATTAAGATACTGCAAATGAGATATAATCCAACCTTCTTTACTAGTAAAAAGGAGACTCATGTTTTATTCTAGAAAGTAATATATACTACTAAGCACACATACTATTTATTATTATATAGTTTTAATATATATTCTCTATTTCACCATTATAAAATCTTCTGATAATTATCTATTCATTAGTACTACATACTATATGTCGACGAATACTACATACAGAGATTATGGTTATAAATATATACATATATTTCATAAATGAAATAATGCCATGAATTTGTTCGTTTAAAAAATCTATATTATATGAAGTTCATTTTTTGCCTGTTTTATAACCTGCGTTCTCTTACACTTTCTGTGTTAAGAATGAGACAAGTATATTTTAATACTTTGAAGTGAGAAAGAGGGCAGAACAGAAATAAAATGCAAAAGGTGCAATGCTTTAACCACGATATCGGCCGCTATAACCGCCATTTGCCGGTGTCACACTCGTATTCGTCATTGAATTTTGCCTTGATAATTCCATTTACTAATAAAACTTTGTAGTATTTGCATTGTTATAAGGTTAAAATTACAATAGCACTATGGTTCTATTAGGTGAAATATTTCCAGACTTTACGGCAGACACGCAGATAGGCACGATCAAGTTCCATGAGTGGCTAGGCGACTCGTAAGCACACTTACCGTACTATAACCTATACTATTTACTCTGTCACATTGATGTGTATGTAAATAAGATATTAATGATTATATTATACACACCTCACACACATAGAACAAAATATTTGTAGCACTTTTATTGTTGCATTCATTTAGTCACATATTTTGTAATTATTTGCAACTTGTAAATTATATAAATTTATTAAGCATAGGTGTGTTTCACATAACATTTTTTTTTAAATAGGTGGGCTATTTTGTTTTCCCACCCTAATGACTTCACACCAGTGTGCACAACTGAATTAGCACGAGTTGCAAAATTGATGCCTGAATTTAAGAGGTTGGGAGTGAAAGTCATTGCACTCTCTTGCAATTCCATTGATTCCCATCGTAAATGGATAGAAGTATGCTTAAAATAAATAGTTGTAATATACTTGGCTCTATAAATATCAACATTTATATTTCTTATTGTGCATATATATTACAAATATCATTAGAACATATTAGTATTATAAGAAATGATATAATATTCCAGGATATAAAAAGTTATGGGGAGATAACAGACAAAGAGTTTCCATACCCGATAATAGAAGATGAAGCCAGAAAACTAGCTACATTGCTAGGAATGTTGGATCCTATGGAGGTGGATAGCCAAGGATTACCAATGTCAGCACGAGCAGTGTTTATAATTGATCCCGCTAAAAAGATGCGACTATCAATTTTATATCCAGCTACTACTGGACGAAATTTCGAGTAAGAATTAATATTATGTTCTATCTTATGATATATCTTGTCATGTAATGTTACTACTTTATATTTTAACTTATAGTGAAATAATAAGAGTAATTGAATCACTCCAGCTTACGGAGAAGTACAAAGTAGCAACTCCTGTGGATTGGAAGGTAAATATTAGAAACTTGAATCTTTTTTTATTGAACGAATTTTTTGTATTCTTTGGAACTGAGTAAAATACATGTGATGTTTATCGACAAAAAAGTTATGAACATTACATATATATTTTAAATTTTAGAAAGGAGACGATGTAATGATTCAGCCGAATATATCGGAAAACGAAGCCAAAGCTTGCTACAACAATATAAAAACTGTGATGTTGCCTTCTGGTAAAACGTACCTGCGAATTGTGCCACAACCAATCGATACATAAAAGGATTCTTGTATATCTTCAATGTGGTGTTGACTAAAGTCTATGAGACATAAAATTTGAACCATACTAATTTGTATTCGGGTTGACAGAGAATTAAATGTTCTCATCCTTGGTATTTGCAAACAACAAAAGAAGCTGTTTATTGTTTCACCTAATGTAATTAAAAGTACATTGCGTTATATACATCTTATTTTCCAAGTACATTGTTGCTTAATGTTTCTAAGCATAATGCGTATATGTACATTCCGTTCTTTTTTCGTTTGTTTTATTAAGTTATTACTGTAATTACTTTCTCTACATTACGGTTATATCTTGCTTTGTGTTACTTGCTTTTAATTGCTCTTACGCGCAACAGCGAGTACACAATTTTATATATATAATGCATTATTTTTTTCTTTTATATATAAAACAGTTCTTTCTTGTTAAAACCAATAAGATATAGTATAAGATAATAAATTTAACAAAACTATACCTTTCTTATACTGTACCATATTACGCAATTAAAAATTAATTACCACGCAAACTATCGAGTGATAAAATACTATCGCAGCCTTCATATTGAGAAATTCTTTATTTTTTTCCGCAACGTTCGGTAAATACATTCAAACACTCCGTCGCCGGATGAATAATACGCATTACATCTCCCGTTAAATAAAGGAGTCCCGTTTATTCCTTCACACATATACGTGCGTGAGACACATCACACATTCACTACCAAGAATTGGAAGAGAAACTACGAGGCAAAATATGATACCAATGTCTGTAGTTTTCTCTTCATTTACACTTGTGCTCCGTCGACGATCCGTCCAAAAATTAACATACTTATGGCTTTCGCTTTCAGTTTCAGCGCCAACGGCGAACAGGGAATTATCTTACATCCAGATCTTCGTTGTGCGAGCAGTGTCGAATCAGTGGAATAGAAAAAATCGTGGACAGCAAACTGCAACGTCAGAATCTCTCCCGGCCGTCTCCTCCTCCTCGTCGAACAGATTATCGCCGTTTTGCCGCGGTGGTTCGACGAACCCTTTTGGCCACGACTCACTCACCGGCCGTATGACCCTCTTGTTGTTGCTCGGAAGAGTGCATCTCACCCTCCATTCGCGCTTGCCGTTCTGCAGCTGCTCGTGCTTGTCTGCCGGCACTAGAACGCAGATTCTTGCGCTCAGGAGGAGGTTCTACGTTCAGCCGTTTGCCGCTGCGAGCCTTCTTCCCCTTGGTACCACCTTTACTGTCTTCCTCTACTTCCGACGGTGTGGCAGCGGCAGTTTTATTGGCATCAGCCGCCTTCGACGGTGTTCCGGTGGAGCATTGAGTGGGCGGTGACGTCGTGTTCGCGACGGCTGGTGTCGAAGATGATGACGATGATGATGATGATAACGATGACGCTGTTATCGCAGTTGTCGTTGTTGTTGCCGCCGCCGCCACCACCGTCGTCTCGTTAACTTCCTTCTTGCTCGCACTCACTGGAGTCTCCGACGGCGAGGTAACGTTGCTGCTTTCCTCTTGCAAGGGCTGTGTCACAGCTTTCGCCGGAGTCGTCGGCAACGATCTTGTTATAGGTTCTATTTCTATTATCGGCGTATCGTTATTCGCCGTGGATTTTGTGCTCACGTCCGCAGTTTCGGTACGCGATTTTTTTGCAACAGGCTCCAGAGTCACTTCGAGTGGCAACGGCGTTGATTGATGTTGCGGCTGTTCGGAGCTTTGATTAACGTCCATATTACTGCGACTCCTTTTCTCATTTACTCGCGGTGGCGTGTCATCGATGTTTCGTGTCACCAGTTCAGCACTGGTTCTACTCAAATGCTCGAGCGCCTCCTTCATTTCCTGCTCCTTGCTTTTGCGTTCTATCTTTTTTTCCGACAAATCAGCTATCATTACATCAGCTTGCTCTATAATCGCCGTTTCTCTCTTCTCGTGTTGTTGCGGTTGCGGTTGCTGCTGTTGCTGATCAACACGACGTCTGTCTTCACTGTGCAATGCCGCCAAATCCGTGTATTGCTGCAAAGTGACGGCTGGATCTACCGAATACCTAGATGACTTTTTCTCAGACTCCTTTCGCTTCGTCGACGACGAAGAGGAGGACGACGACGGGGACGCGTCCGGTATAGTGTCTCGCTGCTGCCTCGAGCTGCTCGTCGATGAAACGGGTTTGCGCACCGCGGAAGTAACCGCGGAAGAAGTTGGTGGGTTTAAGAGGCCGCATTGCGCGAGGCTCTCGTAGGCCGACGAAACGCTACCGGGCTGCATGGAAAACGGATTCAGACCGCCTAAGCCCAGCGGCGTGTAGAGGAGACCGGGATTCGGGAAAAAGAATGGAAATGGCGTAGTAGTTGGTAGGCCCGATGAGGAGCCGGATGAAGTCGACGGTACCGACGATTTTCCACTCGTACTTGGCTGATCTAACTTGCTGCTGCGTGACTTGCTGCCACCGCTGCTGCTCATACCAGACGAACTAGTTCCGCCACTCTTGCCACCGCCACCTCCGCCGCCAGACGAACTCACGGATGGATTGTTCGTATCCGCACTACTGGTCGCTGCCGCGGTCGCGCTCAATGCTGCCTCCATGCCCGCTAACGACGGCAGACCGAGACCGGCCAGATTGGCGAACAGTGAATTCGTCAGACTCATGTTGCTGAGATTACCCAAATTGCCAAGACCACTTAGCGCGCCAAGATTCGGCAAACCACCGAACGGCATCAGCAGTGGGTTGTTCTTCGGATCGAAGTTGCCGAGCGACAGGCCCGACAGCAACGAGCTGTTGAGATTGCCCAGTGACGGGAAGTTTAATCCTGATGCCATCGACGTGGCCGCTAAATTAGCAGGATTTGTCGATTGTTGAGCACTCGTAGGGCTCGGCATCATAGGTGGTCTGCCAGGACTCTTGCCCTTGTTTACGCCACCTCGATCGTTACCGGGTAGTCTTTTCTGCAAATCATGCGGTAAATTACCACGCTCCTTTACGAGTTCTGCCCATTTAGGATCTACGTCGAACATTGGATTCTCAATGAGCCATTGGCCAAGCCGCTTTAATTGAGGCGCTTTGCTGCCGGTTACCTGAAAGAGAATTTTGACATAAACATGATAATCGAAGTTAAAATCCAAAAAGTAGCAAGTAATACTCAACGAAATGCAATTTCACTTTGCAAGCGTAAAAATGAGTGATTTTTCTCTTCTCCCGCTCTTTCTTTTTTTGAACCGCCATAGTAATAAATTTAAAAACCAATAAGATTGAAGTTGTAGATTTTAAAATTGGCGTACCTTCTTGCCCGTTAATCGGTTAATAACTGCGACGTTTTCTTCACCGGTGAGCTTTTTCCAATCCAACAAAGATGGGTCGACACGCGGTCTTCGTCGCCTGGGCGCACTCAGATATTCCGCACTCAATTGTTCTGCCGACATGGCTGTCTGATCCGCTAGCCACTTGTTCACTTTCGCTTCATGCGAGTAAGAGCTGATCTTGGATGAGTATTCAGCAACTTTATTGATATCGGCAATCATCGCCTCGTAATTCTTTCTGTGGCTGCTTGAAGAAGACGGATGGGTCGAGTTGAACGCTTGCTGCTGCTGTTGTTGATGCTGTTGTTGTTGTTGCTGCTGCTGTTGCTGCTGCTGCTGCTGTTGTTTCTTCAGTTCTCGCGACTGCTCCGCTTGTGCCAATAAAGCGGAGAAGCTATCCTTGTGAGAATGCAATGACGGCGGTGGCAAAACAGGATTGTTCGAGCTCGACGCACGCGACGATGGAATGGACGTGACGGTAATGGAGAATGGCTTTTGAGCGCTCGTGGGAGGATTGGGAAGTCCGATCGGCGCCGATGTCGGAGTCACGGTCACATTAGGCGTGATCGTATTCTTCTTACTGTGCTCGGGATAATGGCTGCTCTGCTGCTCCTTCGCGGCGCTGAGACCTAATACTATTTCGTCCAATTTCCTACGTTTCTTTTCTTTTCCAATCACCGGTTCTTCCGTTGGCTAATGAGAAATAAAACACATATTGAAGAATTTAAAATGATATTTAGACGTTAAAACGGAATATTGAAAAACCAAGTCATAAAAATTACTCACGCAAGATTTTCTTTTCATGAGTTTGTCCAGCATACTATCCAGTTTTCCTTTGTTGCTGCTAACTTGCTTATTCTTGTTTGGCATAGAGAAATCTTGCACTTCATTCATTATGTCTTTATTCATGTCTTTTATAATGTTAGTATCAGAAGTTGATTTTGGATATCTGAAAGATGAATGCAATCATTGCAACAATTTTTTGAAGATATTCACAATGACATATTAACTATGAGCAATTATATTTATATTTGCAATATTTCATCAAGTGACTTACCCAGCAGATAGATCGATGGGCGTCAATGTACTGGATGTACCAGGTATGACGGTCGTTTTTCCTGGAACGGTGTACTTCAGATCAAAAGGTATAGTCGGTGTTCGTGTCGGTTGATGCGCCGGCGGTGGCTGGACCGGTGTGGAACGTCGCGATTCTTCCGACTGGGACTCCTCGTTAATTTCCCAGGTGGTTGAACCAGAAAGTACGACTGGTTTGCTGAGAGGCGCAGGTGACGGCGTGCTCAAGTGACTGCTGTTGAGCAGCGCGTGAAGCTTGGCTGCGTAATAATGAGATATTAGTAATGTTATTACCAATAATAAAACGCATGTAATTAACAACGTTAAAACATATAATTACACTACGATCAATTGCGTGTATTATTTACCTCGTTCGGTTTCCACGTCGATGGCGATATGCCTTTTGCGTTTCTTCGAGGCGGAAATATTGTTACCACTCGATATAGACCTAGATACGCCATGATCCGTAGTGATTGTTATCACCTCTGAACATTCTTTCTCACTTGGAGTAACCTCCAGCTCTTCGCCGGCACTGAAGTTCACTGATACCGGCCATTCCTTGTGCTCGATTGCGTGCACGATGTGCATTAAACGAGCTTCAATCGCGTGTTCCTGAAAAATAAGGTAAAATTAGTTTAGTATGATAAGACTCAATATATATAATTACGTAAATCAAATATTTACATCGTGCTATACTTAATGAGTGCGACTTTTTTTCCTTAAGACTTTTTTTCCTAATTCTCTCGTTAATATCAAGATAGATGAATTTTTAAAGAAGACAATTTCATATTCAAATCAGGAATTATATGAAATTGTCACACACACATACATCATACACCATGTACACACACGCGCGCGCACACACACACACACAAATAAGCGTGAAAAAAAAGAAAAGCTAGTTTACCTTTGGCCATTTTATCGATGTACTGCCGCAGCCATGCGCCAAAAGTTGCACTACCGTAGGTTCGTTACTATAATCTATCGTCTTGTCTCGCAAAACGAATGTATCGATCTGTGGTAGTCTCGATAATGGTTGTATCACTTCTAGATCCGGAAACATCGCCTTTAGTTCCGCAGCTTGGACACTGCACTTATCCTCAATCTGACACGCCTTGGTTTTCTCTCTGACAATGTCTGTGCTCTTAACATCCTGTGATTCGACCTCTTCCTTGGCATTATCTGGTTTTGCGTTCTTGTTATCATCTTCGGCAGCAAGTTCGGCAGTCTCGGTGTTTTTCTCAATACTTTCTTTCTCTTTAGCATCCGTGTCATTTTTCTCAGTTGTTTCTGTCACTGAGTCCTTCGCTTGCGACTCCTCGGGTTTTTCGGCGGAATCAGTTTTCTGTTTCACTTCCTTTTCTTGAGTTTTCTCTTCCATTTCCACTTCCATGATAGCAGGACCCTCGGTGCTTTCCACATTAGTTTCCTTTACAGATTTCTCATCAGTCGATTTACTAGCGTCAGTCTGATTGGTTTTGATGCTCTCGCATTTAACTGGCTCGCTAATTATCGCTAATTCGTTCTTCTCTTCACTCTTCACAGTAATATTCTCTACGTCCGACGATGCACTGCCACTTTTCGTGACAGTGGTGATCGTCAACGAGTTATTAATGGATTTTTCCTCGGGTTTAGCTTCTGATTTCACGATAGTCAACTCCACTTGACTCTTCTCGGAATCAGGATTCTCGAGCTTTTTATCACCAGTGACTTGATCCTTATCTTTCTTCGCTCCAACCTTTTCAATTTTCAAAGTTCCTTCGCCTTTCTCCAATTTAACAAGTATCTCGTCCTTATCGAATTTTAGAATATCTTCTCTACTTTCGATTTTTATCGCTTTCTCACACTTATCCATCATTTTAGGAGTCTGCGTGCCCGCGTATATACCTCTCGTGAGTAGTTTGTGAAATGAAAAGTCCGGATCGTTCAGTATAGTTATGTCAGTACGTCCGAGACCGTGTTTCGCAGCTCCCAGTAACAGTTCTTTATCATGTTTACCTAGCTGCCACCAATCCGGAGTGTCTCCCGACGGTTGGCACAGCGACAATCGTTCCTCGAGATGCGGATGCGACAGGATCTCCTCTCGAATCTTGCTCAAGAGGTCGACGCGATCCAGTATTTGTCTTGCTTTGGCCGGACTCAATTGATCGACAGGAACATCTATAATAACATCAATAATATCAACCAAGTGCGACAATTTATATAGGACAAATATCTTAATATTCAATTGCAATAGAAATATAATTGAACATAGTAAGATATTGATCCGTTGCAAAAGTATACGTACCTTCGTCCTCGTTCATCTTTGCGTTACAGACTTTCTTGCACATTGCTCTGAACGACATGTAATAATCCGTAAGGTCATTGTCCGTCTTCTTATCAAATCTAGCGATGCTCTTGAACTTTGTCCAATCATATTGGGCTTTTTTTCTGTCGTAATTGACACCGTATGTGGACACCACCCGCAAGAACTCGCTTTCCTCACGGCGCGTCCATTTTGCTTTTTGTTCCTCGATACGAGTGCGTTCTCGTTCCTTCACCATAGCTTCCATTTTTTCTCTCCTCTCCATTTTCTATAAACATCAGCAGCAAGTTAATGCTTGTGAGATATTCTTTTTCTTCTATAAGTGATACAAATGAACGATACGCAAGATAAATATCGATGATTATACCAACCAGAAGGTACATCGCCAATTGTTGCAAATCCCATCCTTGCATGTTCAAAGGCGGCTCGTGCATCGTGCTAGTATGATTCATGATCGGATGATTAGGAGTCTCACTTTCCATGCCCATTTTGCCGCCTTTCGGGATAACTTTGATGTCCTCTTTCTTGTTTCGCTGGAAAGTAGATATTACGCGGCGCAATCGTGTATTGAGATCCACTACAGACGGCCAGGTCTTCTCATCGTCCGGTAGAAGACCGTCATTCCCATCGTGACTGCTGCTGGCTTCCGGTATCGGTGTGTCCGCCTTGCTGGAGATGGCAGGTGAATCTGCCGGCGTTTCTCGGCTAAACTTATCAGAATCCTTCGAGTCTTTTGTCATACCGGCGGATTCGCCATCCTCAACATCGTTTTCTAAGCTATTATCGTCCCGACTGCTGCTGCTGTAATTTCGGAAATAGTCTACTGTATCGCTAATGACAATCATAAAGAAGTGATGAATAATCTCGAGTATTTTTTCCCAACGAGATAAACAAAACACTCTTTTTAACACACGTAGGTAACTTTGAAACTATATTTTACACGATATTCTCATCAACAGCTCACGTTACGATTTGAGAACTAGAAAAAAAAGGAAAGTTGTATCCGTTCGTTTCATTTCTCGATGTTTCGCAACGTCAATTATAAATAGCAAGGCGGCGAAGTCAGGTGATCTATTTTAACGCGCGCAAGCTTTTTCACGTATACGATAAAATGTATCTAACAGAAGAGCTTGAAGATATAATAGTATACATCGTGTTCCCAACATCGTACGTGTTTTGATAAAATCCTGTCTCTTAATTCTTGTTGCAGGTAACATTTCGCAAAGATATCGAGAGATATCGAGAGATGTTAGCGAGTATGCATGTAAAATGAACATTATATACGCGCCATTCTGCTGCTGAAAATAAAAGCTATGACCGTATAAGCATATATATAGAAAGCGATGCAAGCGGCATATGTTAGGACAGTTAGCAGCGCATAAGGAGACGATATATAGAGAAAGAGATAGAGAGAGGTAGAGATAGAGGAAAAAGAGATAAAGAGAAAAGAGAGAAAGAAAGAAATAAACGAATGACGTATATAAAGAGAGAAAAAAAAATACTAAGGTACTCACTCGGCACTCTTTCTCTGAGACTGGGAAGGGGGAGGACAGCTTGTAATGAAAGAAAGCGCGGGGTCAGTCCTCATCTGGTCGTAATTCTCATAGCCGTGTTTGTAGCAGCCGACTATTAAGGATATATCTGCTGTCGAATCCCACCATTTCGCCGGTCGATCCGTCAATTGTGGAGGGTCTATCGGCAACGCACTGTAGGGCGGTTTCATTTACAAATTTGCCAATTTACTTGCGTGCCGATCAGTGTGTATTGATAATTTGAAAAAATTTATAAATTATTAGATTTCTTCCAAGAGAGATCCTACTCAGGATCTCTCTCTCTCTCTTTCTTTCTGCTTGACAATACGCAGCGACACAGTGCGCTCGTTCTTTATCACGGAAAATTTTCCAAAATATATTATCCCGTAACAAACGTCCGGACTCTCGGATCTTAAAACCGTACGTTTTGTCATCACTGTTCCTTTTCTTTTGATTACAGTGCACTGCTTAACGACAAATCCCTACGCCTTACCACTCTCTGTTGCAGATTTGACCATCCTCGCGACCGTTTTACCGCGTGCAAGTGTGTCTCTCGCTGCTATTCGTGAACGCGCGAGTATATAAATATATGTGATACATCATACGTGTATGTGCGTGTATGAAACAGGACATAGGAAAACGATTTCATATTAGTAGCGTAGGGTAGCAAACGGATTGCTAGTCGTTTTACAGAGCTACGTAGATCAACGTGACTCGGCTCTATGAGCATTCCTCATACATGTACAGCTCCCAGGATCAACAAATACATCTTGCACATGCAACTATGAAAGCTCCGTGGTAAGCACATATGTGAGTATACACGAGTCCGTGATAGATGGTTTCGGGCGAAGAATGTAACGGAGGTTTATGGTACGAAAAAGCATGAGAAGAAAAGCTACGCGCTACTCACCTAACGTGAACGCCGTCGGAAATGTGCTGCACCAGATCGCCGATGATCTCGTGCTTAATATAATATAGCATTCGTACGCGTAACAGCACTCTGGAAAGGTAAATCCGTCAACTGAATGTTTCCCCGATGAGAGATTGCTTAAGAATCTATATTTATCTCATTACGTACTTATTAGCGTGACGGCTCAGATGCTTCCTGTAGTTGCTCTCGAGGAAGATATCACCGTCGAACTTTTCAGCATTGCTCCAGTGATTTGGGTCGCTCGGTCCCCCGTTGACAACCGATCCTCGAGTCTCTCTGCCTTCACGCACGCGACCCTTCTTCTTTTGCCTGCTGTTCCTACCACCGGTGTTCATCGACACGCTTTTCACCTTTTCGCCGTTCTCCATAGGTGTGATCAAGTCCCAGATGAAGCTGCGAATCTTCTCATCGCCGCGATAATAACGTAAGCAGTATAACAGGATGACGCGCGCGCAATCCTCAACATCGATCTCGCGCCAACCGCGTCTGAATTGACTGTGCTGCAGGATCTCTTCCCAACGACCCCAACCGAATGTCAGTAGTCCTCGCTCCACCTTGAAGCACTCGCTTCGCGCCCAACTGCCATATACTACTTCTCCTTCGCGCGGCACGTATTCATCGTAGAATTTGCGTGTCTTCTTGTTGAACTTGTCGCGACGCTTCTTGCCTCTGCCGGACAGACCAATGCCCGTATCGTCGTCGCTGTTCTCGTCCGAGCTGTCCAACTCTGACATGTCGACCACGGACTCGTCGTGGCCATAACGTTTAATCTGTGTCCTTCGTCGGGGTTCAGATATAACCAGTTCGTCTTCTTCTTTCTTCTCCGTTGTGTCGATTTCCGCTTTCTTCGCCCACTTCTTCCAAAAGTCGGGATCGTCGATATTGATGTCCGATCGATTCGAGGAGCAGGCGAAGCTTGCCTTAGAGAACGTCGAACCTTTCTCCGCCTCGATTGTAATGACTTGCGTTCTTCGCTCGAGTATCTGCTCGATGTCCTCCTCGCAGAATTTGTCTCCGGCGTTATCGTCGTCCATAATAGCACCGTATGCACCTTTCTTCAGTAGATCTTCTATTTCCTTCTTTGTCAACTGTTTATTGCTAGGATCTTTCCCACCTTGACTGGTGTTCATGGATTGCAGGATCGCTTTGTCCAGCCCCAACTTCATGGAAGCTTTGTCGAACATCTCCCTCTCATAAGTGTTGCGGCACAGCAAACGGTATACCTTGACCATTTTCTGCTGGCCGATTCGATGACAACGAGCTTGTGCTTGCAAGTCGTTCTGTGGATTCCAATCGCTGTCGTAGATGATGACAGTATCGGCCGCGGTGAGATTGATACCGAGACCGCCTGCCTTTGTACAGAGCAAGAAAACGAAACGATCGGAGTCAGGTTTGCTGTAACGATCGATAGCTGCCTGTCGCAAATTACCACGAATTCGGCCGTCGATTCTCTCATATGGGTATTTCTTGTATAGCAAGTAGTCCTCCAGCAGATCTAAACATTTCACCATCTGGCTGAAGATCAAGACTCGGTGACCGCTGGCTTTCAGTTTCGGTAATAATTTGTCGATCAATACCATCTTGCCAGAGCTGTTTACCAATGCGTGATAATACGCCTCGGAGTCTTCCTTCTCACTAGTCTTGTAATCCAACTGTATCTGATCTTCGGCGCCGTTAAGCAGAAATGGATGGATGCAACACTTTCGTAGTTCCATCATAGTGTTCATGAGATTCGGAATGTTGGCCGACGTAGTGCCTTTCGCGAGAAACGAAAAATTTCTCTCCAGTATACCGCGGTAATATTTCTTTTGTATATTCGTCAATTCTACTTCGACGACAGTCTCTTCCTTCGGCGCTAACGATTTCTCAACGTCTTCTTTCAAACGACGTAACATCATCGGCTTCAGGAGAAGTTGTAGCTTATGCACTTCACCCTCGCTGCTTAGATTGCCGAATTCTTTGAGGAATGCTTCGCTACTCGAGAACTGTACTGGCTCAAGGAAGTTCAACAAAGAGAACAGTTCATTAACATTATTTTGCAGCGGCGTACCCGACAGGAGCACCCTGTGTTCTAAATTCAATTGCCTGAGACCTTCTAAGAGCTTGCAGTTTCGGTTTTTTAACCGATGAGCTTCGTCTATAACGCAGAGTCTCCAATTATATCCACGTAATTCGTTGAAGTCGGTTATAATAATCTCAAATGTAGTGATTAATACGTTAAATTTGACTAAATCTTTGATTTGCTGTCCTTTCTCATTCTTGTAATAAACCTCATACTCCTGAAGCATAGTGCGACTTGCCGCGCTGTAATTCAAACGCACGTCAATGACAAATTATTCGGTTTATACTTACAGATATGTACGAGAGAAACTATATCAATGTGTATATACTTACGACCCGTGATATACTACGACATTCATGTCAGTCCAGCTTTCAAACTCTCGCTGCCAATTTGGAATGGTTGACAATGGAGCTATGATCAAGAACGGTCCTCGAATTCCATATTTATAGACCGCATCCACGAACGTCAGAGATTGAATCGTCTTCCCCAAGCCCATCTCATCAGCGAGAATGCAATTATGTCCGTTATACCACGAGAACAGCAACCAGTTCAATCCTTCTAATTGATATGGTCTCAAACTATTATTGCTTTTGTAAATTGGTGATTCTTCTAATTTTACCCAAGCTGCAGCATTAGGTTTCTTTTTCGGCTACAATAAAATCGTATTATAAGTGTTTATATGAACAACATAAATAGTAATAGTAGTAGAAATGCAATTTTAAGTGTTGTACAATATATAAGCATTAATATATTTTTACCTTCCACTGATCTTTAGGTGGCAGTTTATTAAATCTTGCAAATTGTGCTATCTTTTCAGAATCAACATCCTCCTCCAATTCCCACGTAGAATCTTCATATTGAAGAGATCGCCACTTGACCAAGAAATGTCGGACCGTTTCCCCAGTTGTTGGATCAGTGTGAGTTGCTTCGTCCAAGACTCTGTCAACTTCGACAAAGTCTGGATTGAAAGGATCATCCTCGGTCTGAAAAGAAAAATAAAAATATCTTTTTATAGATATATACATGATATGTTCTGTATGAATTCTTATCAATGCAAATTTTTATTAATTATTAGAGAAAGAAAGTTACATATATTAGAGAGAGTTACATATATTATATAAATTTTTAAGTAGTAAACTTTAAGTACATTTTCGAAGATATTAGTGTTCTGCTGTTGTTTTTGCTTGAATCTTTTTAGTTTTGCTTGAATACGTTTATCTCCTTTGTACATTTCCTCTTCTGTTCTCCATTCACAGTGAAGATATGAAAAATTCCGGTATTTAACGAAATATTCTTCAATTTCAATCATCTGCGGTTTCGTCTCAGGGACAGGAGGGTCGGTTGATTTAGAATCCACAGGAAGTTCATCCGATTTCTTCGAGTCCTCCTTTTTCACGTTATCGCTCTCATTCTTCTTTTCCTCCTCCTCTTCTTCTTCCTCCGTCGCATCCTCAGTCTTTATTTCTTTCTCAGTCGTTTCGGATACCACACCCTCCTCCTCTTTTACGGGATCGTCGATCGCAGTATCCTTGTCTTCAGCGGACTCTTCTTTGTCCGTATTCTTCTCCGCAGTAGGTTCCGTCTTCGGTATAACAGGTACCACTGGCTTAACCTCTCTCTTTCCCAATCGAGAGCATAAAATATGTTGCACAACCATAGAATCTTCATCGGTGGTATTCTACAAGGGGAAAAAGCAAAATTATCATTGTACAATAATTCAATCTTAAAGATATGTTAGCAATCTGGAAAATACATACAATATACACGAAGTTAGGTTTATTCGGTCCAACTTCACTACCCTCATTCTCCTTTTTAGCGGCAGTAGGTTTAGAAGTGTTTGCACCCTCCACTTTTTTCGAAAGTTGAGCTTCTTGCATGGGAACGTCATCGTCCGAAAATCGTAACATCACATCGTCCACGTACTTCTTGCGGTGAGTATTTCTTGCGGAACGCCGCTTGTTAACGTCATCGCCGGCCTCTGGTGATGGCGGAGGAGTCGCTGCTAACTCTTCACCATCGGAATCAGGCGCGATGCGGCTTTTACGTTTCCTGCAAACATACGAAAAATTATAAAGTTGTATTTATAACTTTCCACACACATATATATGAAATATTCTTGAATTATCTAATATACATATTTTAATTAAAAATGCTACTTACTTAGAACTTCTGGGAGATTTCCCTAAGGAAACCTTGCCGGTGTTCGATCGTTTTCTAGCCGCGGGTTTCTTTTTACTGGAAGTCGGATTTTCAGTAGTCACAGTAGTCGCTTCTGAAGTCTCTTCTTTCTTGTCTTCCTCCGGAGTATCATCCGCTCCTGTTTTCTCTTTTCCCTCTTCCTTTACCTCAGTTAACAGAGGTTCAGTAGTAGAAGAGTCTACCTGTTCCTGATCACCTTGAATGGACGGTTCACAGACTTTTGTTTCGGTGTCCTTAACAGCACTGGAATCCGAAACGGTAGTTTCTTCGTTTTCGCGTACTACTTCATCATCGGCGGACTCAGATTGATTAGTTTTTCTATAAGAGTAATAACAAATATATTGTTGCTTTGTGAAAATATCTTATTCTGTGCATCATACTCACTTCCTGTTACGTTTCGTAGAATCCTTGTCCTTATTCCTCTTCCTCGCCACCTTCGGAGATTTAGGTTCTTTCGGTGGTTTTGGTTCCTTCTTGGGTTTCGGCTCTTTCGGCTCCTTCGGTTCTTTCGGTTTTCGCGGCTTTCGAGGCGATCGCGATTTTCTACTCTTATTCCATTCCTCCTCCATATCTCCAGATGATGGTTTCATGTCTTCCGAATCTGCAACGCTGTCTACAACGTTACTACTATCGCCCGGGGTAACTTTATTGTCTGACAAGGGCTGTTCAGGTTGCTGCTGAGTGATGGTGGTAGGCGCAGACGCCTCTTTGTCAGCTTTTTTCCGACTTTTCTTAGCGCGCGGTGTACCTTTGCTACGACCACGCCCGGTAGTACTAGAAACCTATTTTAAATAACAACATTTAGTAAAAAGAATAAGTATCTTTCTTTAAATTCTAAAAACAATTCACAAAAACATATTCACTTGTGGACTATCGACTACAGCAGCTGTGAACATTGGCGTTTGTAGTATGCACTGCGGGCCGCCATTACACTGGTCGTTTGTCTCATGCTGCTGCAGTGCCTGCAACTTCTCTTGCAAGGAAACTATCTTCTCTTGATTCTCCGGAATCGGAGGCATGCAGAACAGTTCTTGTAATTGCTGCTGCAATGCGGCTCTCTCCTGATGATGCGTAACCGGTGCGCAAGATGTGCCGAAACCACTCGCTGGGGCTGGTGCTTGCGTCGGGTTAGTCGGCATACTATACATGTTTGGCATGGTATTGCCGGTGATTATATCACTTCCAGGATGATACTGGAACCAAGATAATTAGAATACATACATCATACGTTCCAAGTAAACTTTATTTTAAACAACATTGTATAAACGCATAAAATACATAATGTAATATACTAACTTTATGATTATATGATTGTGGAAATTGGATAATACCTGATGTGGTGTTTGTGAATTTGGCACAGGAACAGCAGGTTGATGAGTTGGCAGCACCATACCAGCGGTCTGACTGACCGTGGGTATCTGTTGAGCGTTCAGATGCGTCGCTGGAACTGGCGCACTTTGAGTTTGCATTGGAGGTACTGGATTTTGCATTGGTGGCGGCGCTTGCAACTGCGGCATTTGAGGCGGGATCATTGCGGCGTTTTGAGGCATCATACCGACTTGCTGTGGCATGTGAGACGGTTGTGCCTGCGGTGTCGTCGGTTGCGCTTGCTGCGTAATACAAGTTGGACCTTGCTGAGCCGCCGATTGTCCCAATTGAGACTGTGCTGGTGCCAATTGAGGCTGCGGCTGTCCCAGTTGAGGCTGTGGTTGTCCCAATTGGGATTGCGGCTGTCCTAATTGAGATTGTTGCTGCCCCAATTGCGGCTGTGGTTGTCCTAGTTGAGGTTGCGGTGCTGACGGCATTTGCTGAGGTTGCACTGCTTGAGTTTGACTCAGTACGGGTTGTTGAGGTTGCGGAATTTGTGGTTGCTGAGTCGAAGTTAACTGTTGTATCTGTTGTTGTTGCTGCTGCGGTTGAGATATCGGCTGCTGTGGCTGCAGCTGCTGATTCAATTGAGCAGTTGGCGAATGATCTATCTGTGACTGTTGCGGCGATTGCAAGGGCTGAGCTGGCGGTATCGTCGACTGCGACGAAACCATTTGCGACTGAGGCATGTGAAGCTGCTGCACCGGCTGTTGCACCGGCTGCTGCACCGGTTGTTGTACTGGTTGCTGTGGAGGACAATTAATAGATTGTTGCTGCTGTGATGCCTGCGGTTGTCCCATAGTTGGTTGCGGAATATTCGTACTACTCAACGGTTGCTGATGATGTACAGCACCGACTTCCATATTTTGCTCCTGAGGTTTTGCCTCGCACGTGTTTTGACTGTCGATACTAGGAACGGGATTCTGCATTGGCGCAGAAACCGCTTGCGGTGGCGGTGGCGGCTGTTGTTGCAACGATCCAGACATATTTGCACATTCCATGTTTCCGCTTGTACTCGACGCTGGAAGAGACTGCACTGTTTCCACCTGAGATATATTTGCCGATGTGGATGTATGATCCAAAGGTAGACTGCTCTGCGCGTTATTTTGTGCTGAGCTATCCACCTGTGATGATACCAGCGCGGCATCCGGCTGCTGGTTCTGAGCGCTTTGATGTAGGGCTTCGGCCTCCGGTTGCTTCGGGGTTTCAATCGGATTCTGCACATTCTCTGTCGGTGTCGTCGTTGTCGTCGCTGTTGTCGGATCTCTCGTCGTCGTTGTGTTTGTTGTTGTCGCTGGTTCCGCAACATTGTGGGCAGACTCTGGTCCGGACACGGGAAACATCGAAGGAGCACTCTGTTCGGATGTTACAGGTGCTTGCTGAGACTCCACCACACCACTTCCTCTATCCTCGCTGACACCAATGCTCGGCCTGATTTGGGACTGTTGTTGCTGTGATTGCGGCTGTTGTTGCTGCTGCGGATGCGACCATTGAGCAGGCATTGGCACTCGGGGTCCGGTAACCGCCGGAGGCATAGGACTCTGCGCCGTCGACTGTGGCATCACGTTCGGTGTCTGCGACATCGGCGGACGCGTTTGGAATTGATTGTATTGGTCTGAAGCTGAGACAGGCACGGAGTTGGACACAGCAACTCCCGGCATCACCATTTGCTCCAGAGCTTGTAGGGTGCTCTGCTGCGACGACGGATTCATTTGCATGGACGTAGGCGGGCAAGGCGATACAGACATGGCGTTCGATTGATTACCCTGCTGATGAGGCAGTTGAACATGTGGATGTGGCGACAATGTAGTTGATTTCGCAGGTGACATTATAGGTCTAGGTGACATTTGTTGTTGCACCGCCGGCGGACGCGGAGACATCTGCGGTCTCGGCGACATTTGCGGCGACAATTGCGGGAACGTAGCCCGATACTGAGGACTGGTGGCGTGTTTGGCCGTGCCAAATTGCTGCGGGGGCGCCGAGTGCTGCGGCTGATTGAACATCGACGTTGCATGATGAGGATATTGAGGGTCCATCGTCGGTTGTTGTTGCGTGTTGGCATGCTGAGTGTGCTGAGGATACTGTTGTGGATGAGATGGATGCGGTTGATGAGTCGGATGTTGCGGATGATGATGCGGCATCCGTTGAGGTGCTTGTTGAGCTTGTTGTTGCTGATGAATTGCCGATGGGAAAGCAGGATAACCGGGAGATGCCTGATACAGCGCCACCGAGTTACCTTGCTGGTAATGCTGCTGTTGTCCGACCATGTGTTGATAGACACCACTGGTCGCACCGGTTTGCATCGATTGATGCAGTACACCCATGTTTCCTATCATTCCTTGTTGACTACTAAAGTGTTGCTGCTGTTGTTGCTGTTGTTGCTGTATCTTTTGATTAATAACGCCAGCCTGATCCTGCTGATGAGAATACTGTGGTGGCATGTGTTGCCTGTATGTGCCAGGCTGCGGAGCCATCTGATTGTAATGCCTCTGTATCTGAGGATAAGCACTACCGTTGCCCGGCCAACCTTGCTGGCTAGGATCTATGCTCATGTTGGCCCTAGCCATTGAGTGTTGTTGCTCCATGGAATACATATTGTCGTTATAGCTAGGATACTGACCACTACTACCCGGATGAGGTCCCCTATGCTGTGGTGCAATACTACGGGCCTGGTTTTGAAAAGCACCCGGCACCATCGCACGCTGAGGCGTGTTGCTATCGAACGTTCCGAGATTTTGGTTAAACATACTGCGCTGCGACGGATTTTGCAACTGATTGGAACCACCAAATTCAGATCCGCCGAATGAAGTTAATTTTTGTAGTGGAGATTCTTGAGAAATATTGTAAGACTGGTTAATGTAACTCCCTCCTCCATTAGGGCCAGAATTCAAACTGTCCCTGGACACAGCTACGGAATTATTCGCAGGCGCAGGATCGAAATGATCATTCCCTCCGAGATCAGGAAGAGCGTCGAGCATCGAGCCACTGCCATCTTCACCAAACAGATCGTACGACTCCATGTCTACGCTAAAGGACTCTTCGCCTCCATTCCAGGCTTAAGAGAATACTGTACGATCTTTTCTATAGCCAGTAACGTGCCCATGGTAAATCCAAGCTTTTGTCCTCTGTAACAATCAGAAATTCACGATATAGACGTTTCAGCGAACTAAAAAGAAACCAAGTAAATATATACAATATAATAATAATTCCTTACAGTACCAAATATTTCTTGTTGTGGTGACATACGCTAAAGGGGAAAAGCTATACGCTTATGTTTCAATTGTGCATAATCGCAATAACTTCTCCCCCTCAGAATACATCTCAATTTAAAAAGATATTCCTATAGTATCGCGCATATAAGTACCCTTTAAAAGTGAGTTAATTCCTGCACGCAGTAAAAATATGTTACGAAATCTCATAGAGGACAAGAAGCAATAAAATGTTAATAACAATAAAGAAGTAGAAAATCAAAATGGAATATGTTATCTATAATAATGTGTGGGCGTATATCTGAAGATAATAGAAATATTTACAAAAATCGAAGACGATATAATTACGCTGTAGCCGAGGCATCATAATTTGTATCATTTTTTTGCATGAAACTATTCTATTTTGTATTCTACTCCTTATTTTATAATATAAATGATAAAATATATTGATATATCAAGAGTGATACATTAAGGTTACTCAAATTGTTTCTGTATATCATAAAACTTATATTCAGGGATATATTTTATTACATTTTTACCTCTAATGGGTAAAATTATTCTAAAAAATGAATGAAAACTTTAAATTTCTTAGTGAGAAAGATGAAATAAGAATTATTCTTGTCCCCGCGTATAATTAAATTGACTCCTGAACCAAATAGAATAGTATGAAAAGATATTGATCCGCTCTTTTGAATACGAAAGGTGAAATCTAATTGTCGATAGGTATCGCGGTGCCCAACTTTTTCGAAACAGCGATTGCGCGGCGTAGAATGCTGACACACAAACAATAGTGTAATTTTTTTTTAAATGCGAGAACCGAAAATCGGTGCGGCATCGCCGATCGATATACAATGTCGAATCGAAGGAAGCGAGCGAGGCTCGAGTACGGAAAAAGAGAGAAGGGAGAAAAACAAATAAAACCAAAAAATTGAAGCGGCACACGAACCTGATATACACTGACAAATACAGCGCAACGCACGACAGAGAACGGGAAAGAGGCAAAAGGAGAGGGAGGAAGAGAGAAAGAGAAAAAGGAGAATGTCCTAGCGTAGGGATGGGACGAAGTTCAATATGTACTCATGAATCTCAGTCAATTCAATACCTAGATATCGTTTCACTGAAATTGAGTATAGTACTTTGAAAAATCGTGAATGCACTTCACGTACTTGTGAAGAATCTGATACAATGAGATCGGATAACGAATGATAGTGACGCGAGTGGTATCGTCTGTAACATATTGAGACCTCTTACAAGTACTGCGAGACATAACAATATCAAAATATAATGATGATCTTATGAAATATGTTGGAATGTTTTGCGTTTATATTTCGAAGTATCCATGAAAGGTTCGGACATAACACGGATATTGATGATATTACTTGACGTGCATAGTCAATTCCATCCCTATTCTCCTGTCTCACGGAAAACGAACAAAAATACGCTTACTCGATGCGTATGTGCGAGGAAGACAGCAATAGTGCAAGCAAGAGAACGAATGAACGGTCGAAACTGCACCGAACGAACGGCGGCGAGGAAAAAAGGGGAAAAAGGAGCTACTGCTCTCTTTCTCTCTGCAGCGGTTCGCGCGACGCTCGGCCGTATATCATCGGTCGCGTCTTTACCGCCGTAAATTGGAAGTCGCTTCTGCGGTCTATTCGTCGTGGGGTTATGGCATACGCTGAAATCGACGTCGAGTCTCTCGCACGAGCGTCGTCAGATCACTCGCGCCGACGAGAGAAACGACGACGAGCGAGAGAGCGGGTGAAAGAGGGAGTGAGAAAAAACGACGGGCCGACTACGACGGAAAGTACGCCATTATCACGAGAAAGAGAGAGAGGAGAGTGCAACGCGGGTAAGAGAGAGAGAGAGATTTCCGTTCGGGGCCACCGCGAAAGAGAATTCGTCGTCGCGCGGCCACCGCGACGCTCGATATTCCGACATCGGGCGGGTAGCGCGTCACTTTGCTTCACCGGCCGACCGATTCTGTCCACGGAGCACTCTTTTCAGCAGTGGCACTTTCTTGCGGCGCCCAGGCGAGCAAGCAAGCAAGCAAGTAGGCAGGCAGGCAAGCAAGTAAACGGGCGGGCGGGCGGGCAGGCGGATGGATGGATGGATGGATAGATGAGAGGGAGAGAGATAGAAACAGAAAGAGAGCGCACCGTCGCTTCAAACTCTCGTCCTGTCGTCGCGTTGCTCGCGGCTAAAGGACGCGCCACTGCGCGCCCGCGTTTCCTCGGAAAACCACCCTTGTTAGCGCGTGCGTTCACGCAGTTTTCACTGACGGTGGCTTTGACGGCGACACGAAGACCGCGGTCGAGATGTGAGCGTGTCCATGTAGACTCGAATCATTCTACACACATACACATATAACGCGCGCACACACACACACACATGTGTCTCTATCTCTCTCGCTACGTCTTCCTCCCCCCCACCACTCGCGGAGGACTACACTTCTCTCCGTTCTTCGCTTACCCTATTCTGTCCCGTCCGCGTCTACACGCAGGAGAGCCGTCACTACACCACTGGCACAAACGTACGCTTTCCGGACTATCGCCGGTATGTTACGGCCGCCGAGAGAGTGAGCACCTCTCGCGTGCGCAGTCAGGGCACACGCGCGCGCGGCTGCGGCGACGACGACGACCGCACACGCTCGCTCGACGCACCACCTGGCGGCGTGCGCATCTCCCGACCTCTCTCGCGCGAGCGCGCCGCCGTGTGCAGCTGTGTGCGCGGCGTGCGATCGTCGTCCGTCCGTTCGTTCGTTTCTTCGTGCCGGCCACCGTGCCGTGCCATGTGCACGTGTGTGCGTGTTATGTAGTAAGCGGGCGAGCGCTCTCGGAAGGTGTGCAGCGGCCGCAGGAACGTACTACTCGCTCTCGAGATCTGCTCTGTTTATCTGCGCTTTCCGTACTATCTCGCGTGAACTTCTATTTTCTCTCCATCGCGTCTCAAATGAGAGACCTCCGTATGTCCCGAAATGACAGCGCCAAGGAAAAAAATGTCATACACTTTCAGTGTATGCACAGGTGCTCGATCTTGCAAAAAATTTTGCGTATTGCGGATAAAGAGAACAGACTAATGAGCCTACTCTGGAACTTTTAACGATTGTTTCGTTATTATTAGACTGTCCTTGCGTAGGTGTAATATATGGTACAAAAAAGGTACGCAACAATACCATGCTTTGTAAATGTCCTTAGGAAGTTATAGAATAGATCTATAACGGACGAGCGTTCGTTCCGCCAGCTCGACCTGCGCTTCTTTTTGCCAACTACTGCATCTTTTAAATGTGATAAATGTGTGTCCTCGTCAGTTAACGCGAAAAGACGCATTAATTTCGAATACATTTCTCGTTATGTTATCATTCAAGTGTCGGAAAGTATCACTAAAATGTAGTTGTTTCTAGACAATTTGTGCAGTCAATTAAGTGTTTCAAGCGTGCCGAATGGGTAGATGGGACATGTTAGAAACTGGAGTTCATCTTGTTACAGACACTCGAAATTTCGAACTCAGAACCCAAGAAGGGACGACGGAACAAGAAATTTATGATCTTGTAGAGAAAAGATGCAAGTTTCAGGAAGTACGATTAAAACGTACAAGCTATTGACCGTCCTTTACAAGATGTTTGAATTATCTAAGCTTTTCTACATTTCTTGCGAAATTCCAAAACAACATGAGCACATACACATTCCAGACATGGGAGGTGATGAGGCAAAGGAAAGTGTCGGACCTTTGTACATCTGTTTTCGTTTTCTTCTCGTTACAATTCTCTCGAAATTCCATTTTGGTCTTCGTTATTCTTCTGTCTCCTCCACACGGTTGCAAATGTTTATTGTATTTTATGAGTGCGAGAAGTGACATATTACGCACGACGTCATTAATGCTTTCGAATGCCGTTTTAGATATGTTCGGGTTGGTTGCATTGTATCAAGTTATCTTATCGAAATATTCATGCGTCATAACCTCGAGTCAAGATTCCAAAACTGTGTTCGAACGATTAGAATTGTGTTCGTGTGTACAGGACAAAAATCTGTGAATTAAGAAAAAAATAAACGAACTCGACTGATCAAATTAGTATTGCGCGACCTGTTACTTATTCTTTAACTTTACATTTAATTTTCTGTATATATACATCTTAAATACGTAGAGCACATTGTCAAGCCGTCAGACACGACTATGTTGTACGAATATATTCGTGCTTGACGCGAAAATTTCTAAACCAGAATTGAGTGAAATTAATGATTGCGCGTAATATAATTAAAAACGCAGAATTAATAACGAAAAGAATAGATCTTTTATCCCTTCTTTTCGTGATTTTTTCTTATCGCGCACTCCAAAGACGCCGATTGGATTTTCCATAAACGCGTTCGTGACGGACCAATCTGACAATTGATATAAAACTAGAAAAGCATAGCACTTTTTTCCCTATAATTTAAACAAGAGACAATCGTCTCGGAAATCGTCCTCGTACAGTTTCTCTTTTCTTAAGAGGCCGTAGCTCCTAACAGACTTTAACTAAGTAAATTTCATCCCTCTGTCACACAGATAAAATTGTAAATTAAACAATGACTCTCCCGAACAGCTAAGTGAAACATATTGAACTCGAATTATAGCGTCTATTCGATCTATGTCTATTTACAATTCGTCTATTTACGTTATCTACCGTGTCACACTATCCTTATGTATCTCTATTTTTCCTCGTAACGCATTACACAGCAGACAATGTTTTGCTTAGAATGTCGATTATTACAATAAGAGGAAATACGGTAATTATAATGTAATACGATAAATACGACTACATTAATATAGCGATAAAAAATTAATTTGCTCAATTATTGTGATATTCTTACTCGTACATATGAAATTCTAATTGCGGCACACGTTACTCGTCGGCGATGTAAGGAAAAATGGAGCAAGGCTCGCGAAGTGCTCGAACTCTCTTTACGACGGACAAATTTACGGGCGAGCGTGTCGCGCGCGTAGTATGTGTGCGTGTATCAGTATATGTGCACGGAGTCGTGCGAATTTAGTGAAAGGATAGGCAATAACGGTGCGAGAGGGAGGGAGGAAGAGAGGGAGGAAGGGAGAGATAGAAAGAGAGAGAGAGAGAGAAAGAAAAAGAGACGAGGGAGAGAGGGAGAGACAGACACGGCGAGAACAACGTTACGGACGAATCACACTGGCAACGCATCGAGTATTCAATATCGCGGTAAAGGCGCACCGCGCAATTGGTAGCGACAAGACAGGAGTCGAAATTACACCAGAAAGAGGACCAATCAGATTCTAGCTTATAAAGTCCGATAGCCGTCGTAGGATATTCGATTAACCAATCGTATTCCGCAGGTATCGATTCGAATATATCTCTCGATACCCACCGCTCGAATGGCAGCCGAATGCGCGACGAGTGCAAAAGGATCATACGACGTGCGGCACCGAAATTGCGCGTGGCTGGTCGTCCTGAATCGTACTCAAACCGGAAAACTGTTAGCCCCGCGGAGACCGTGTCCTTCGTTATTTCAAGGCTAACGAACCTTCGTGTGAAACGGGCAATTCTCGCTCGCTCTCTCTCTTTCCCGTCATGCTTGATCGCGGTTCTTTAGGATTTTTTCGGTGAAAGCTGCACCATTTGAAGCACGGTCGTTACGTTTGTCTGCAGTGGATTCACACTTTTCGTGCATGCACAACTAAAAATTCAACAAGTTTTGTTGTTTCCCACGAGGGAAGTAACAATATAACTTCCTCTGTTCGATGGCTTTTATTCGGAAAAATTGCTGAACAAGCTACGAGTACCTGGGATGTGCTCGTGGAAAATCATGCAATCGCGATTTTGTGGATATATATATATATATATATATATATATATATATATATATATATGCATGCATACATACATACATACACAGACGTAAAAATACTATGCAATTATACGCGAGCGATCGACTACTATATCATCAACGAGCCTGCACGATCGTTTCAAGAAAGACATGTAACGTTACACTTACGGTCGATCCGAAATCTTACACCATGTGCACAATGTAACAATCTTGCGTATGCTGGCATGCGAGATTCGCGCACGGTATGTGTGTCGTCGATATCAACGAAATAGCGCCGCGACTGACAAGAATTCGCGTAACCGACTTATGACTTTGCGGGAAACAATAAGCTATGCAGGAACGTCATGCCGGATGACCCGTATGCTAGACAAAAGAAACAAATCGGCAAGCCGATCGTAACTCACCGAGAGATATCTCTCTCTCTCTCTCAGAAGGTCCGTTCCCCTCGACTGTTACATCGTCGCCTCACATACACTCGAAATTCTCACCGAACGCGAATATTCACGAAGAGGTGAGAGCCTACGAGAAAGAGCGCGAGGAAGCGCGGCCAAGGGGAACGTCGGCATCGCGAGTATCGCCGCAGACGCGATCGGCGCGCGTACATCGCGGCTACTCGCGGACAGGTGAGTGTCGTCCGGCGATTTATTCTCGATAATGATCGATAAGGAGAGACTTACAGTTGCATGAACGGTGGCCTCGTCGTCTCTCCGAGATGCCATCTAAGGAAAACGATAACAAAAAGAAATCCAACGTACGTAGAAACACACACAGGCACACAGAGAAATACAGCGCGAGCGAGGGAGGGAGGGAGACTACCATACGAATGTTCGCTCAATCGTTATCTCGGTGTCCATTTTGTTTGGTTAATTACTGAAGAGGCGTCGGTGGTGGTGCTGCTGCTGCTCTGCTACCGCCGCCGTCGCCGCTGCCGTGGGTTACGTTGACACAACACGACGGCCCTTCGATAGTAGCCGTTTCTATTGCTACCTTCGTGCAATGAGAAATATCGAGAAAGAGCCACGCACTCACACACACACCTACACGCGTAGAGAAAGAGAGAGGGCGGGAGGGGAGGAGGAAAAGAGCGAGAGAGCGAGCGAGCGAGAGAGAGAGAACGAGGGAGACACGCAAGAGAGCGAGATGCAACATCGAACGCGGACATGGTCGAAAAATCCGCGCGCGGATGAAAAAACAAAAATGTACGAGAGAGAGAGAGAGAGAGAAAGAGAGAGAGGAAAAAGGAAAACCGTAAACGAGACTCACGAGACACTTGCTTCCTTCGCGGCTGTTGCGACGGCACACATTTCCGTGTACGTTTCACATTGCCTCGTCGTAACGACCGTCCATCTGATAGTATGTAGTCGACCGAGAATTGTAACCTAATTCCATGGAGAAACTACAACGACTCGTACTATCACGCCCGTTTTTCCGACTTGCGAGATTCTCGCGTGCTCTCGTAAAACGTACTCGAACGTATCGTTGTCGCGACGACGCCACACCGGACGTACACTCTTCCTCCTCTTCTGCTGTTACTACTGCTGCTGCTGTTGCTGCTGCTGCCACTACTGCTGCTCTCTTTCACACTGCTTCCTCACGTCCGTCCGTCTATTCGACGCTTCACGCACACGATGGTCGCCGCCGCGACGCCAGTGTCGCGCTCCTCCGAAAAATGGCGTGAAAATTATGTACGGTACTCGCCGACCCTTTCGCCGGACGCCTACAGCCGCTCGTCGTTCATAAGCCTGTTCTTTTGAGTCGTGCACTTCCGGCACTTCCTTCTAATTTTTCTCTTTCCCACTCCTCACCATAGAGTCTTAAATATATATCTATCTTGTTTCAAGCAGTGCAGGAAGTGTAGCGTAGTGCAATTGAAAGAGACAAACTTGTCAGTTTCCATGGATTAATCAGGATTAGTCTCTGTAAAATATATAATAATGGTATTATAACAGAGAGAAAGAGAGGGGAGAGCGGCTATTGTAATGTGTTTGTAAAAGGCGGATTTAAATGAATTTAGTGAAAAAAAAATTAAAAAGCACACAAAAGCAAACTATTCAAATTTATAAAAGAATCAATAAAACAAAGAATTATTATGAAAGTAAATTATAAATAAAGATGAAGTATATCACAATACTGTACAGTGGAAATATTAAAAGAAAGCTTAATTTTTAAATAAATTTATACCTATGTGTAAATGATAAATAGATTTATATAAATTTTTGTAAACTGCTAATTTCTTCTATTTAAAAAATATTTTTAGTTAGTTTGAAATGCATAAATACAACTTCTCTCTCTCTCTCTCTATATATATATATATATATATATATATATATATATATATATATATATATATATATATATATATATGTATATAAAACTTAGAAAAGAATTTATTGTTTTTTGGTATACCTATTAATACAATGCTATATGTAATGTATTTATCACATGATACAATCAATGTATGTCAAAAGGCAAATTTGTTACTCTAATTACAGTACACAAGTCTTATTATGGTATCACATTTTAGTCCCACTTATTTAAATTTGATCTTTGAAACTGTTTCAAATGCTGCTGATTTGTGTAACTAATTTTTCTATTTTAAATCGGTTCAATCGCTTGAAAACTTCTTTTAATAGACACATGCGGATATTGTTGCCGCCATTCGTGGATCTTGGAATCGCTGATACTTTCGCAGAAACTCAGGTCGATCATCTCCAGTTTAGGGCAACACAATAAGAAACCGTAACATATATCTGGCGTTAGAGATCGAGCACCCAATAGGTCTAATTGTTGCAAGTGTTGACACAGCAACAAAGGTTCCAAGTCGCGATCCGTGAGTCCTCGAAGAGCGGCCAGAAAGACCTTTTCTAAGTGTTGGCAGGAAGATAACAATGTGCGTAAAGAATCTCCAGGAGCACCCATACCACCACTGTAAAGCAGAAATTCCACATTACCATATATATTGTCCATAATATTTTATAATTTATAATATTTATTATATTTTTCCTATCATGATCGTTGATGCATACCACCAGCCAAAATCCACTTCCCGCAGATTCTTACAACGAGCGAGAGCACGAAGACCATGCGGTGTAAAAGTTTGTGCTTTCCAAAAATCCACGCTTTCCAAATACGGACACGAATTTCCCAACTCCACCGCGATCTCATCCACGTTTAAACGCTCGTGCATTCCCGCTACATTCAAGTGCCGCATTCGAGGGTTCCTTCGCAATATCGAACATAATGTCGGAGTTTCTATAGCTGTTCTATAAAGCTCTAAACGCTCCAGGAACTCCAGATTCTCGAGCTTTGAAAAACCTTCGTTTGTTACTCCCACGCAATTACGTAAGCATAATTCTGAAACAGATATGCTAATATTACAAATATGTTTGTATTACAGAAATCATTATATAGTAAGTTAGAGATCGTAGCGAATTTTCACGTACCTTTTAAATTTTTACATATCTTTGACACTTCGAAGATAACGATATCGTTAACAATATGGCAGCAATTTAACCGTAAGTGCGTCAAGAGACTGCCGCATGTGTTGAGAAAGTTCACGATATTTTGATACTTAAACATATTGTAGTTGCCGCACCATGAGAGGTCTAATTGTCGTAAATATTGACATCTAGGTGCCAAATTGTTCAATGCTTCTGTGTCGAGGCAGTGCCAGTACGGCTTCAAGTTCAAACATGTGTAGAGCAAAGCATCCCGTGCTATATTGTTAAAATGCTTGTTTACTCTGCACAAGCGACACAGTGATGTCAAATCTAAATTTTTCAGTATTTTTAGCACCGTTTCATCCTGCAAAATTTACAAAATAAATCACATTAAGTGTTATCAACTACGAAAGATGAATCTCTTAGTATATACTTTACAGGAAGTGCAGAAAAACTGCCGCATGGTGGTTCCTCGGTCTCATTCAAAGTTGATGAACTTTTATTAGACGACAATTTCGATCCGTACAAAGAGGTCGATGAAGAGAGATAAATATCTTTTATAAGCTTCGGAAATTCTTCCTGTAAAAATTGTTGCAGGCTGTTGAATGCCTCCTCAACTGGCGGTACGCAGCGGTAATGTTGTCCTAACTTTGATATTAGCTTGCTCTTGGGGAAATTTTCTATTATTTTGCTTTAAACAAACATTACATTTTGTCATTATCGTGCAAATGAATAAGTTTAATATTATACATCAATTATTATTATATTGGTACCTTTTATACATTGTACAATGTGTATGCAACGTTTTCTTCAGGATAGCTAAATCCTGGTTTGCGTTTGAATAATCTGGTGTTAAATTATGAACATCCTCATTGTGTGGATCAATGCAACTCAGTTCTTGCAATAGATTGCTTAAGTTCTGATTATGCTGTCGATCGTTAGGAATGATCAATTCAGATGTACCAATTAATAACACAGCATCTAATTCTGTGTAGTAATCTAATAGGCTATGGTTAAACTCCAGTCTCAGCATTTTAGTCTTGAAGTTGCACAGTTGTAAACGTGGGGAAAATATTCGTGGTTTATGAGGGACAACCTGAGGTGGTCCATTCCATAACTGAAACCACTGCCCATTACAGTCTTGCGCCCAGATTGCAATTACACTCCCAGGATTGTATGTCTCATACACAGAGACCTTTATCGGATATACTTCTTGGTAATATTCAACATCTTGAAATTAGAACAATAGTTATTATTATAATCTTAACAAAGGACTTCTTTCCTTACGAAAGTTCTTATCTATTGCTCTCAACATTGCATACCGATATAATCTTGACTCACAATATCTTCATTATTCTGTGGCATATAATCTATCAATTTTGAAGGTGCTTTGTCCCACCATGGCCCATAAGTTCTCTAAAAATATATTAAGCAAAAAAGTTAAAAGAAAATACCAGATTTGTTCATTTAATTAAACTTATAACATTAAATTAAACTGATGAAATAACAAAATAGTTGTATAATTGTAAACAAAGCAAAAATAAATAGTAGAATCACAAAACATACCATAACAAATGCTTGTGGAAAATCTCCATAGTCTGGAAATTTACTGGGATTACCAGCTATGTTATAAGCAGTGTAAGATATGCTGATGTTGCTGCCATACTGAGAACTAAAGTCACAAACATCTTTGACGAACTGTTCAATGAAGACAATAGATTCCTTCTTTCCAGTGGTTGCTTCTTCGTTGATGGGTACTACCTCAAGTTTAGTCTCGTCATGAGATATCATGTCATTTAAGGGGAAAATATAGTCTGTTAAAAAATGATAATTGTTCATATATTATTTACACACACATACACATACACACACACACACACACACACACACATATATATATATGTATTTGTATACATATATGAATATCTAATATATATTATATTGTTGCATCACAATAATATAGCTGCAATATTAGTAATAAATGTGATAATTATACAATATTACGTTGTTTATTGAGGTTATAAAACATACGACATATAAAAATGATAAATGATTCAAACAAAACAATGGCTTTCCCGTCAAAAATAACAATTGTTCTCATTCTTGGGTCTGTTCGAAAACGCTCCATGCTCACATCGTATGATGGATATGTGGGACTGGTTCCGAAGAGCTCGCTATCGACTGGAGTTATCGGACGGCCGGTGTATGTTGTATTATTTAGAAAGAAAAATGGCTGATGCAAATAATATTATTATTCGTCGGGGACGCGCTCGGAAACTCCACTCGGGTGCTTTCCCTCTCACTTTATCGCACTGATATATCTTTCTCATTCGAACACAGCGGGTGTATCCGGGTGGAGTTTCCGAACGTGCTCTAACTCTTTCTTGCGCTCCACCACGATTTCTACTGAATCATACTGCGAAAAAGAAGATATCTGGGCCTCTATTCTTGAAATAGTTGCGTATAGTAAGTTTTACTGCGTAGGTTTAATCATACTATAAAATAGCTGCGTAATGAAAATTACATATACGCAAAAATTTCAAGAATAAGGGCCCTATTCTTTGTAGCTGCATTGCTGAACTGGTGAAATATATTGAAGTGAGACAAATATACGTTTTCTCACTCTAACTTATTGCACTAGTTCAGCAGTGCAGCTACAAAGAACAGAGCCCCTATTCTTGAAATTTTTGCATAACGTAATTTTCACTGCGCAGCTATTTTATGGTATGATTAAACCTGTGCAGTAAAACTTATGTATACGCAACTATTTCAAGAATAAAGTCCATTCTACAATTGCGTGAACGTGGTGTGAGTGGTTGTAAGTGATTATGACAACCAATCAAAGTAAAGCAATCAGTGAATAAAATATTTGAATTGGTTGACTCTTACGTTCACGACTACACTTACGCAATTATAGAATGGGCTTAAGGGCCATGGCCTAATAGCGTATTCGACTGGCTTACGTTGAGTGGTGTTGGGGGTACGCCTTTTGGTTGCCTGAAGCCATATTGAGAGAAAGAGAGAGTATTCGACTGGCTCTGGGTTAATCGCTCCGAGAGCGATTAATGACGTCATAAGTCTCTACTAGCCAATCATAAAGCTTATAAGTATTGTTCGACCAATAAACATAGACTGAATGACCCAGAGTGGGTTAACCCAGAGCCAGTCTTACATGCTATTAGTTGCAAGTTGATTGCAACTCTTGTTGCGACAACCAAACAGAAGCATCAATAGCACCATTGATGTTTCTGATTGGCTGTCGCAATAAGAATTGCGCTGCTTGCGATCGGCTTGCAACTAATATAGAACGACCTTTACGAACTATAGGTATTGAGTAAAATTTTCCTCAAAAAGAACATTTTGGAATGCAACTTTAGTATATAATTTAAATATAATTAATAATTATAAATTAAAAAAATAAATAAAATAATATATTATACATACTCACGCAACTTCTATTTATATAACGTATAAACTGTCATTTTTTTGTCTCTGTAAAATGAACTTAAACTTTAGTATAAAAATGAATAAAAGGAGCAAAAAAATTCAAAATTTTGCATTGTAATTGAATATATTTTTTCATATATTTTTTATACGTTAACAAATATTTTCTATCTTGCACAATTATCTTCTCTTCCTACTAGGAAATGTGAAGTTTGTTGTGAACGGTTCCGTTGAAGTTTGAATTTTCATTATTGGAAATTTTTTCCATTTTTTCTGATTTTTTATTATTGGAAATTTTTTCCATTTTTTCGAGTAACTTTGACGTATTATTTAATTTTTTCTGTAACATTTGTTCTCTGGACTGTTTTAACTTTCTAGTTGGCACATGTTGGAATGCTTGCTCCCAACTTCTTGTGTACTTCAAGTCTAACATTATACAAAGCATCTGATTGAGTGTAAAACTTTTTGTTGAACTACGACCCCAATCAAGATATTTCTCTATAGGTAGTTTTGCCATACGAAGACCTTCTTTTTTCGCCTTTGCTAAAGATAAAGGTCTTGGATTTACCTGTAAACAAAGAAACAACTGAATATAATAAATATTATGGATTAATAATATGTAACATTTGAAAAACTTACCTTATCTACCATTGCCCCTATGATATATACCATGTCAGGATCATATTCAACTAAATCTGTTTTACAGTGTGGAGTCAGATATACTAATTGATCCTTTGGAAATAAATCCAAGTAAGACTGAGATGTCACAATAGCTGGGAAATCTTGATCAAATAAATTTGGCATGAAGCGTTGGAAGTAATGACTAAGTAAACTTTCTTTCTTTAGATTACAAAAATTAAGAGACATAGGATTATTATGGTTACGATTAACAGAAAAGGCCAAAGTCAATTGCTTTGCGCAATTGTGATTTTCCCTTCTGTTCATATAATCCTCATAGCCACAATCAAACACAATTTTAGGTTCAAACATCATGTTCCAGATTAATTTAGAATTATAGTAATGACTGATAGTATGTGGATATATACGCATAAACATTGTATTATTTGTAAGACCATATTTAATTTCACCAGTATCTTCTGCCTGTTTCTCTTCTGCTAATTTGATTAGCCTTTCAGCCTTTTTTTGCGCTGCCTTTGCCTTCTTCGTCTCGTCCATTTTCTCATTAATAAATAAGTAATGAAGAAACTTCCTATGCAGTGTCACAAAACACATAATATAATAAAGAACCATTTAAAGATATATTTTATGAAAATAAACACTTACTTTCTTTGCGATTTACTCTGCATATGTAACAGTTCCAACCATGCTTTCGGTTCAACATTTGTTGGAACTTTTTCAGCATTATGTCGCATAACGTCTATTTCTAATTCTAATACTTGAAAGATTTTTTTGTTGTCAGGATTAGATATAAATTCATCGAGTTTTCGCTGTTCTTCGTTTCTTCGGTCCATCGGGATATTTACGTTCTGAGTTGCAACTTGACAATAAAATCGTTTGCTAGTATTATTCCAAAACCATGAAATATTTGTGCAGTGTGCATTACTACATACTGTAGTCCTATTACAAATCGCTTGTATGAAAAATTTATTATTTTTTACACAGTTCAACAGACATCTTTTCATGTAACTAGACATTTTACAAGTATAATTTTTCTTAATAGCAATTATTACTGTTAATGTTAATGTCAATAGAATAATATGACTATAACATTAACCTAAAATATGTTGATAACTATGTCGATAATAATCAAATGTGTACTCAAACGCAAATTATGTAGAATAGAAACTCTCTCTTTTTCTGTACGACTGTTTTTGACCTGGACTGCGTTCAGATTCCCCACTCACTCTAATGCAGGATTCACATTGCGTCGATGTCCGACGTACGACATCCGATATTCAAGAAAAGAATAGCTTTCCAATGGAGAATTGAATCCTCTACAGGAATCTGTTCTCCTATTGGATATCGGACGTCGTATATCGGACATTGGACGCGGTGTGAATCCTGCATAATACTAGGGCCGGTATTCATAACTCGGTATTTATGGCCTGGTTTACATCATGCACTTGATACGCGTACTAAATAGTAACTTTCTATTAGATAATCTTAATATCGATATATATAAACAACGGTATATTAAGCTGGTATAATACTCATCAACAAAACATATTGTATTGATAGAATGCGTCGCTGTGATATGCATTGTCGATATTAAGATTATCTAATAGAAAGTTACTATTTAGTACGTGTATCAAGTGCACGATGTAAACCAAGCATAGTCGAATCTTAAGCCAGCAACACACGGTGCTTGTTTTCATGCTGGATTGCTTGCTGGATGTAAATACTCTATTTTGATTGGTATATTTCTGAAGATGGATTGAAATGCACCAATCAAAACAGAGTATTTACATCCAGCAAGCAATCCAACACAAAAACAAGCACCGTGTACCATTGGCTTAATGTCTTAAGATACGAATACAGCTCTGTGATTGGTTCATGACATCTTAATGGCTCCTGCACACAGGACGCGGTAATGCTTGCCACGTGGCGGAAGTCCGCGCTACAGCCAATCAATATGTTGTTTTTCCGTAAGAGCTATAAGGTTATTACGGAAAGCAGCATATTGATTGGCTGTCGCGCGAACTTCTGCCGCGCGGCAAGCATTACCGCGTCCTGTGTGCAGGAGCCATAAGACAGTACTTAAGATGATGTTAAATATAAGATCTAATTATGAATACCGGCCTGTGATTGGTTCATGACATCTTAAGACATTACTTTAGATATAAGATCTTAGATATAAGATTCGGCTATGAATACCGACCTATGAAAATCAGCCTAGAAGTGGGGGGCCTATAGCCCTGGGGCTTGATTCTCTAACTAGTTGTGTATACGTAAATTTTACTGCGCAGGTTTAATCATACCATAAAATAGCTGCGCAGTAAAGCTTACGTATACGCTACTAGTTAGAGAATCGGTCCCTGGTTTACATCGTGCACTTGATACGTGTACTAAATAGTAACTTTCTATTAAATAATCTTAATATTGACAATGCATATTAATGACGACGCATTCAATCGATACAATACGTCTTCTTGATGAGTATTACACCAGCTTAATATACCATTGTTTATATCCTTACGAAAAAATCTTCAATTTTGAGTGTAAAAACCCAAAAACTGGGGATAAACACCTAAATTTGTTAACACCCAAAATTGAGGGTTTTTTCGTACCTTTTTCGTAAGGGTATACATCGTCGATATTAAGATTATTTAAAAGTCGTTCTATATTAGTTGCAAGCCAATCGCAAGCAGACGCAATTCTTATTGCGACAGCCAATCAGAAGCATTAATGGTGCAAGAGTTGCAAACAGCCAATCGCATGATTACAAGCAGCACTATTTCCGACTGTAAGTTATAGCATGTTCGACTGGCTCAGGGCTGGTATTCCGTTACCGTAGTTCCGACAGTTGTCGGATCGGTAGGCGTCGTTGCGCAATTTTTCCACGGTATAAAAAAGCTGCGCAACGACGCCTACCGATTCGACAACTGTCGGTACGCGGGAACGGAATAGTAGCCCTGGGTTAATCCATTCTGGGTTATTCAGCCTATGTTTATTGGTCGAACAAGTACTGATAAGCTTTATGATTGGCTAGTAGAGACTTATGACGTCATTAATCGCTCTCGGAGCGATTAACCCAGGGCCAGTCGAACACGCTATAACATTGCTCTACTCTAGCATCGGAAAGCAGTATTGAATTGTCTTGAACCATGAAGATACTAGATGGTTATGCCTATTACATTTTTCGACCCTAATGGAACTAACTCGTACTCGATTTAACGTAAATTCCCATTAAGCCCATTCTACAATTGCGTGAACGTGGTGTAAGTGGGATGTGATACGACAACCAATCAGAATAAAGCAATCAGTAAATAAAACATTCGGATTGGTTGACTCTCAAGCCCATTCTACAATTGCGTGAACGTGGTGTAAGTGGGATGTGATACGACAACCAATCAGAATAAAGCAATCAGTAAATAAAACATTCGGATTGGTTGACTCTCAAGCCCATTCTACAATTGCGTGAATGGGGATGTAAGTGGTGTAAGTGATTACGACACCAATCAGAGTAAAGCAATCAATGAAACATTCGGATTGGTTGATTTTACGTTCACGACTACGCTTACGCAATTGTAGAATGGGCTTTATGTGCGCACTACTAGACGATAGACGTTGGAGTGAGCAAAATACAAGAGTGAGATCAAAAGAGAGGGAGAGTACTCGAGTGATGTTTCCGAACGCAGCCATAAGCACAACGTTTTGAGCAAGATGGATGTCTTCAATTTTATAGAAGCACAATATATATATATATAATATATATATAATATATATATATATATATATATATATATATATATATATATATATATTTATATACTTATATATTTATATATAGCGCTGACATGCCCCCAAAGAGCGTTCAGCAGAACAGCTAAACTGTTGCAATGTATCATTAAACCGTTTACAAAGCGCTGAGTTCTGCTGAACGCAGCCAATAATCGCTGATTGCTCATTGAGCGCTTTTTTCGTTGAACGCGCCCGTTGCCTGTTGCCTGGCATTCTGCCACGGCCCATAACATAAACTATAGATAAGTGCGCGCATATATACATGACACGGAACGCGGCCTAGTATCGTTCGATTGCACGATAAAAAATATTTCATTATACTTTCGTTACTGATTAATAATTAAGTGAGAAGATTGCTTACACATAGGTTTACATTATAAATGAACATGTATATTTATAACTCATTCCTGATAGTCACTTTGAGTTAATATTACCACTCATTGCCACGTCGTAAGTCGTGAGTCTTTGAAACTTCGTTAAAAGATATTCATGTAAATATGATCGGAACAAAATCCAAAAAACCTGGTATTTTTGGAAAACTTTATTTGGCATTATATAATTTTATACAAACTCTGGGGTAAGTTAATTTCGCCTGTCATATTTTCAGAATGACAAACATGTTAAGTCATTGCTCTTTTTAAGATAGTCTGCATTTTATAGACATCCTGTATGAGAAATATTTTTTCCTCCTGATATAAATATCCTTTTAAAATATTCTTGAATATAAAATTCTTTTTTATTTCAGATGGAGTTATATATTGTATCAGGTTATACAATATTATATCAATCCTTTAAATAATACCTTATGGAATAAAGCAGAACTGTCTGTAGTTGTTTTCCAGAATGCAGCTGTTTTAGAAGTATTTATAATAAGATCAATTATATTATTAAGTTTTAATATAAGAAAATTAAATATAACTAAAAATTAATAGAAGTTTTCATTGAAATTTTTGGAGTTGATAACTTTTTATAATCTTTTCGTAAAAGATTTAAAAAAAGTATATAACTAAAAAACTTGAAATTGTTAAATTTAAAAGAATTAATTTTTGATCTTTTTTTTTAAATGAAATTTATTGAAAAGTATACTTAAATAATATGTAATTTCTTAATAGTTTAGAAATTATATTAGTTTTCATTTTGTATCTGTCTGTTTAGCAAAATAAATTAGTAATATTTTTTATAACTTATTTATTATAAAATTTTTTTCTTTTCAGGTAATACATACAACAATTGGATTGGTACCATCAAATGTCATAATCACAACATTCCAGGTTTTGAGTCGTGTTATGGTTGTAGTTGGAGTCATTTTAGCTACTCCTTATACATATGCTGCTGCATCTCCAGGACTTCCATTGCTTCTCATAGCATGGTCCATCACAGAAGTAATTAGATATTTCTATTACTTTCTGAATCTCTTTGCTATTGTACCACACATAATGATATGGCTGAGGTAATATATATTTTTATTATGATTAAAAACATTTTGTACAAATTGCAATTCTAAACAAACTTTATGATATTCTAACTTTAACTTAACTTTAACTATACAAAATTATATTAATGAGAATCTAAAAATGTTTTAGATATACCACATTTATCATATTATATCCGATCGGTGTAACTGGTGAATTATTGTGTTTCTATGCTGCTGTAAGATATGCCAGTACTTATCCTCATGCGTGGAGTTATGTTCTGCCAAACACATGGAATTTTACTTTTAGCTATTTATATGTGCTGATAGGAATTATGTTATTATACATTCCACGTAAGTATCCCAAATATATATATATATATATATGGAAAAATTGTTAAATTATTAATATTACTTATTAATTATACACTATAATTTTTGCAGTTTTCCCTAAGCTTTATATGCATATGTTCGCGCAAAGACGTAAAATGTTAAACTCCAATGCTGCAGTGAAAAAAACCGATTAGCATGTAAATTTATTATTTATTTTTCTCCAATATCTTAATAAACTAATAACATTAAAAATATGCTAAAAAAATATATATATATATATATATATATATATATATATAAAATATTTTGTTATACATTTGTAACAATGGATTTCAATGGTAAATATTGTTTTATTAAATTTTCGCCTTACTAAATAAATTTATAATATACCAAAAATAATTCTTTATATTTTTTACCTGGAGAACTTATCCCTTTTATGTGTGGCCAATCATACACAACTGAAAATAATGGATATTGAAAAAATTAACAAAACTCTTAAGTAAAATAGAACGTATTATAAATCATACTTAAAAGCATAGCATGTATTTTACATGTTATGTAAGATTTACATACTTCTGTTTTTATTATAATTTGTTTTTTAACGGCTTCGCCCTTTGGACCTTTCGTACTCGACAAATTCGCGCATTTTTTGCATGCGTATATGGCCATGAAGTATGTGATATCGCTACATTTTGTCGCTATGTGTCGCTGACAGATTTCATAATCTGTCATACTCGTTAACAATTAATATCTCGTTTTACGGGGCAGTACAACGATTTTAATACTAACATTTAATTTTCATATTAGATTTCTATTGAAAATACAAAATATTGTTGAATTTTAGTCAAATCGGAGGTGAGGACTCTAAACTATAATTACATTTAATAAATATTAATACGTATTATATCCGTTTCTACCAACTTTGGTTAACTTAACCAGCTGGTTATTTCAACAGAATTGAATCCATCGCATTTCTCTTTGTCAGAATTAAGGGGCGCCGAACACGAATTGACATAACAGTACGAAGCGTACCGTAAGGGCCGTGGCACACAGAAAAACTTAAGTAGTAAAACGTAGAAGTAAGCAAATTGACCAATCACAGTCGTTGATTTTTGAACCGTAAGAAGAATCAATGACTGTGATTGGTCAATTTGCTTACTGCTTACGTCTTATTGCTTAAGTTTTTCAATGTGCCATCAGCTTAAAGGGACGTCTACATTGGAAGTAAATAGCAAGAAGTAGGAAGTAATAGTAAGAAATTGACCAACCACAGTCGAATGTGAGAAGAATAATCAACTATGATTGGTCAATTTCTTATTCTTATTTCCTACTTCTTACTGTTTACTTCCAATGTAGACGTCCCTTTAAGAATTGACCAATCACTTTGAGATCGTCGAATGTAAGATCGCCATTTTTGTGAATACTCGATTGTAATTGGTCCATTTTTACAGTACATCTTAAGGGACGTCTACATTGGAAGTAAACAGTAAGAAGTAGGAAATAAGAATAAGAAATTGACCAATCATAGTTGATTATTCTTCTCACATTCGTCTGTGGTTGGTCAATTTCTTACTATTACTTCCTACTTCTTGCTATTTACTTCCAATGTAGACATCCCTTTACATTATTGTTATGTCAATTCGTGTGCGGCGCCCCTTAATTCTGACGAAAAGGATTCTGAAGAAAAGGTTAATTTCTAAAAGTAAAAAAAAGAATTGCAATAATAAATGCAATAAAATATTATGAAAATGGTTTTGTAACAATTCGTCTAGGAAAGGTTATTTTATGAAACTATTTCCGAAAAATCCCGTACGTCGAGCATTATGGGCACGGAACGTACTTCGCGAAAATTAAACACTAACAAATAATTCTTGTCTTTGCGAGGTAAGCAAATGTATGATAAAGTGTATTATGAGGAAATAATATGTATAGTATAAATTATAAATAATGCAACACAATTTAATAGTACGGGTAAGGTTATCGTGATTTAAATATGAGTGGGAGTAGCCAGAAATTGCCGGACCAATCAAAAACTGCGTTCTGATGGCCAGACTCTTATTAGAAGGCCTCTAGAATTTCGCTATATCTTACAGTACATTCTTTCCCGTAAGGAGCATAACCTTAAATTGCTCCCCACACGCTTTATATTTTACATTATTTATTTATTTTAGATAAAGTACACATACAATGAAGTTTACACAGATATTGTTTAAGCAACATTTAGGTAGGATGATTAGAAGCATATGGCATGTAAAGCAAGAACGTAAAATTGGTATTACATATGCAGAAAAGAATTTGTCAGCACTTGGTTTTAAAGTGAAAGATCCTTTAGAAATATTAAAACCAAAAAAAGTATTACCAAGGTATTTTATTTCCCATATTGTGTTTTTTACAAAGTATGTACTATATGTACTAAATACATCAAATTATATTATATCAGGATTGTAATAGAACCTCCATTTATATCAAACGTTGTATTCAATGAGACACATCCTGATTGGAATGCTAAAGCATGCTTGACATTTAAAGATCACAATGTTCTACAAGAAGGATTTTCCCAAGCACAGATATTAACAAACACTGTATGTCTACCAGAAGGTTCTTTAAGTCATATTGAAAATTTGCTTCCTGAACTCCCAGAAAATATAGACAATATAGTAAAAAGGTATATCAAGAATCATGTGTTTAGAACCACTAATTAAAATTGTATTTCATATTTTTCTTGGTATTTTCAGGGCAGTTTATACTTCGAACATATTTGATGCTCATCAAGAGAAGCTACCAAAAAGGAAAGATCCTAATAGACCTGCGTGGGTGTTTCCCAGAGATTATGGTATTACCAACGCGAGAAAGATGTTAGTAAGATAAAATAATTAAGTACATATTTTTTTTAATTATGTAAATATATACATTTGTTTTTCTAGGCAGAATATGTCTAGGAAATTTGTACAACTTTGTGAATCTTTATCTGGTCCTGATATAGCACGAAAACGATGTATACTATATGATGCAGTTACAAAACTAGATTTAGGTAACTTATTCATATAATAAAAAATATTCAAACATTGTATTATGTAGCTAACTACTTGAATATGAAAATGTTTTCCAGATAAGGAATCTGATCTCATCCAGTTTACTCTGAAATCTGACGTGATGATCATGTCAGCAAGCCCTTTGAAACCAATAGAAAGTTCTATCAATAATATAGATATTGATCTCCCGGATATTTATCCCATACATTACACTATCAGTTTTAATATGACAAATTTCTATAAAACTGGGGACATTTATCGTAAGTTTAATACATTTTGCATATACAGAGTGTCTGATACTAAACATCCCATGTTTCATATATAGACTATATATGATGTATAATATAGATTAGATATCATTTGTCGCGTGCAATTATTCACCAAATTTTAATAACTAAAAAATCTACGTGGTTATTTGCAAAATAGAATCTTTTTGTTCAATTCAAGAACGACGGAAAGTGTCGCTATCAATTCATCTGCCGTAACGCGGCATATGATTATTCGCCAATCTTCTTTAATTAATAACTCAATTTTACATCATTGTTTGCGAAATGGTAAAGAAATTTTGTGTTCAATTTGGCCTAATTTACATATACATAAAGTATGGACACCTTGTATACACGTTATAATATACAGGGTAGAGTAATAACTCTGTTTACTTTAAATATCTCTGCTATTTCAAACAATATAGGAGAATAATTTCTCCTAGGGTTTTATAGGAGACATAATATAGTGATAATGATTCTTTTATAAATGACTCTTAAATTTTTTTAAGTACAATCATATAGTTTTTCTGATATAGGATCGATTTTTTTGATCATTTTGCATATAAAAGTGTTGGGACAAAATCATAGAAAAGTGATTTGTTCAACAGGTATTTCATATCTTTGTAAAAGAGGTATCAGAATAAAATGAAAAATACCTCAGAAAAGTATTCACTTTTCATTAACTTTACTTCAATACTTTTATAGGCAGAATAATCAGAGGAATTAACTTATATTAGAAAAACCATATGATTTTATTTAAAACATTGAAGATCCCATTTCAAAAATTGAATCTCCTTTATACTTCTACTTGTAAAAGAATTATTGTTACTTCAAAACCATAAAACTTTTGTAAGTATAATTTTTCTATATTTAGATACAGTAGAGATATTTGAAGTAACGGAATTATTGCTCCACTCTGTATAATTCAATTATATATTCAATTATTGTTGTATGATAATATATACATATATATTTTTATTAATATATTACTATATAATATAATATAAGATGCGATCACATATTATTATATTATTAATTGCAGCTATCAGTACAACATCGCCTTGGATAAACGTCCACACCATCTTTGTGCACTATGACCCAGAGAAAGTTATAAATCTGACGGAGTTGGCTGTGAGGGAAGATCAGATTATCGGTCGTGCTATGCTAAAAACATACACTGTGGCGGCATCTTGCGCACGTCGAAGATTCGGATTATCCGTAAAAAAATTACCAGAGCCTGTTACTGTGCAGTGTATTCACACAGATGGAAAACATTATCACTTTTTCGTATACCAACTTAACACGTTAGACGCCAACGACGACAGTACGAAAAATTTCTGGTGTGCTCTGAAGCCTTTAAGACTCTTCCGGGATGCTCACTACGATAATGGCAAGCCGGTAATCGAGGATTATAATCCGGAAGTGTTCCGGAGGATACTTGCATTTTACAAGAATGGCAGTTGAAGCGACGAAACACAAAAGTATGTTAATTTGAATAAAATTATAAACTTGCTTTTTTATCTTTTTCTTATAAATGACATCTGTGTAGACTAAAAGTAAAAGAAACCAATTGTCCATTTTCTTTCAAGATATACAAAAATAATCTACATCCATATAAATGCCGTTGACACATTGCGACAAATGTGTGTCAGACAATGCTTAAAAGGTTCTCGAAGAGCGTATTTGGTTGCACGTTCGGATTGATTTCTTTCGGTTTCACGCTTAAACGATGATCCTGTGGTGGTTTTATCAAATTCCTTAATGATGGATAGGGTTTCGAGTAAAAGTATACGTGACATAATGCCTGCGTGACAAATCGAAGAACTAAGTTATAAGTCTTGTTTTCGATAAAAGAGGGTAATTATTGTACGTCACCTGATCTGCCGTGAGGCGTTCTGACGAGTTGTAAATCAAAATATGCCTAATCAGGTCAATAGCTTCCGGTTGCGCATCCTGAATGATACTTTCCCACGTTATTCCCTTGTGGTAAGGAAACGTAATCTTATTGTAATCTGGTAATGTAGTTAATTCTGGCCAGGATTCTGACGTAGGCGAGCCCAGATACTTCAAAACTATAGCCAGTTGCTCGATGTCGGTCTCGCCCTTTCGTTATATTTATAGAACAATGAATACATGGTTCAATAATTTATATTTCAATTGAGTAAAGTATTTACCGGAAATAACGGAGAAGTGTTAAACATTTCACCGAATATGCAACCGATCGACCACATATCGATCGCAGATGAGTAATATTGTGAACCAAAGAGTAACTCCGGTGCTCGGTACCATCGTGTGGCGACCTGATGTGAATATGGCTTCGTGCCATCCGGCCACATTAGCCTACTTAAACCGAAATCCGCGATCTTCAAGATACCTTTGCCATTGATCAGCAAATTCGCCGGCTTCAGGTCCTAAAACGTTATCCGAGCTTTTCATTGGGAGAAAAATAAGAGAGATTACTTTCAAACTGACTTAAGTCCATGTTTAAAAGAAAATGGATATTATACAAGATTGTAAATAATTAATAGTAAACTCATCTTTTTCGTATAAAATGCTTGATAGTTTGAGAATACAGACTTGTGCTGCAATTCTAAACAGAATCATAAGTCTCGTAATTTGTCCTCGTAAAATACGTAAGAACTTATGAGTAGATTTACAATTCTATGCAATATCATATCTCGTACAATTACTCGTAAATATCTACGATTTTATGTAGTTTACGATACTTACAAATGATTGTACGACATATGATATTGCATAGAATTGTAAATATACTTATAAGTTCTTATGAATTTTACGAGAATAAGTTACGAGACTTACGATTCTGCTTAGAATTGCAGTATTAAACTGGTTTAAAAACAAACTTATCAATTGTATTCCAGTTAGAGCCTAAGAGGATAAGAGTATGTTATCATACCCTGTGTATTATATTCTTCCCATGTACGTACGCTATACCCTCTAGCAACATTTTCATATAAGTTTTAATTTGCGACAGTGTCAGTGTCACGTTAGCGTCCTTCAATACCTCCCATAAGCCTGTTGGCATATATTCGAAAACCATCACAAAGTCTAAGCCGTTTGGAAAGGCATCTAGCAATTCAACAACCTTCAAATAACCGCAATAACATTACGATTTTTTTAATTAAATTCAAATTCATAAAATTTAAATTTATAATAATTAGGAAACGTGATAACGTTTTTAAAAGATTAAAGAAATAATTTAAAAAATTAACTATTAATTTAATATAAATAAATTATATATATATATATATAAATAAAATTGTTACTAAAAAAATAACGAATTATTTCTTGTTATTTTTGCACTGAATATAAAACTTTTCTTTTAAGAGATTAATTAGTTTAAAAATATAATAGCGTTATCATTACCATCATTAACATTAGATTTACGGGATCCGTCAATTTGACGAATTTCACAAGCAAAATTACAGAAACTATTATTATTATTTTCTAGCAATTTTTGTTGACTTTTATTAATGGAGTTTTGTTAATAACATTGTTATTTACGTAATAGCGTTATTACAAGAATAACGTTGTTATTTACGTAATAACGTTATTACAAGAATAACGTTGTTATCGCAATATGTTACTCTTCACAACTTTGATTTTTAATTTTAAATGAAGAGAATGTTTTTCTTTTTGTAATAACATTTTAAATAGAGCAATACCAATATAGTTTGCTGCAAAGATGAGAAAAATAAAGGTACTTACATAAGGATGTTTTAACTGCTGTAAACTTTTTACTTCGCGTATAATGGACACGGGTAGACCGTCTTCGATTTTTTTTATTAAAATCTTTTTTAAAGCTACTTCGCGATCCCTGGACGTGTCGTGTGCTTTCAAAACTAAGCCTTGCGCTCCTTCGCCGATTTGTCCGTTGATGACGTATTTATCCATGTTTTAAATATTTGTACTTCGTGAATATTACAAAACATCATACAGTATTAATGATGGTGTGATGGTGTGATGATGATAATGATAATAATAATATATAATTATACATATTATATATATTCAATTACTACACTTATTTATATCACAAATTACATAAAGTGATTGATAGGAACGTTATTTATTATATATATTTATACATACATTTCGGATTTTTGGTAAACAGTAAAATTGGTAACAACAAAATTTTTTTCTTTATTTCACATATGCTTATTACTTTATAATTATTGTAGCTTTTGTATATCATGGATAAGCGTACTTTGCTGTTTCCATAGTTACTAATATAGTACACTGTATTATCAAGTTTGTTGCGCATGGCAAGTAAAATGTAAAAGGCCATTTACAATAGAGCATCGTACGTTGTAACAGTAAGAAATTGACCAATCATACTGGAGTTTTACAAGAATAATCAATTGTGATTGGTCAATTTCTTACTGCTATGACGTACGATGCTCTATTATAGATAGCCTTTAACCTCTTGTCCACAACATTGCTTTAATTCTTAAGCCGTAAGAAATTGACTAACTACAGTTGATTATTTTTAAAATAATCTCACCAAACTTGAGCTTAGTGAATTTTGCTCTGATTGCCTAAATTTCAATTCAATCTTAATCCTAATTTATAATCTGAAATGGGCTTTACATATATATTTGTTTCACTCTACTTATTGCACCAATGCAGTAGTGCAGATAACAGACTTATGCGTCGTCTACAATGGCATGGTTTACATCGTGCACTTGATACGCGTACTAAATAATAATTTTCTATTAGATAATCTTAATATCGACGATATATATAAACAACGATATATTAAGTTGGTATAATACATCAACAAAACGTATTGTATTGATTGAATGTATCGCCGTCGATATTAAGATTATATAATAGAAAGTTACTATTTAGTACGTGTATCAAGTGCATAATGTAAACCAAGCCAATGGCAGTAGAAGTAGTAGTAAGAAATAAGCAGTAAGTAAATGGACCAATCACAATCGATTATTCTTGAATCGTGAGAATGGTATTGGTCAATTTACTTACTGCTTATTTCTTACTACTACTCCTACTGCCATTGTAGAAGACGCTTTACCGCGTTCTGTGTGCAGAAGCCATCAGATATTGATCAATTATAGTTGATTATTTTTAAAATAATCGACTGTGATTAGTCAATTTCTTACGGCTTAAAGATTATGGCTACGTTCCGAAATGCACTGCCAGACTGAAAATCTATAGTTCATGTTACGTATATTATAGAATTTCAGTACTGGCAGTGAATTTCGGAACGCAGCCTATATTAAGGTTGTGGACAAGGGGCTAATGTTATATTGTTTTATACCTGCACACGTGATGTAAACATTGCCAAAAGGTTACAAAGATCGTACACTTTGTGTTACAAAAGTTGAAAATAAGGATTTTCTTCATCGTATATGGTTATACATTCTCTAATTAAGTGACCATGTCTAATGCCAAATTTCTTGATATTGATGAATCTCTCAAGACGAAAAATTTGTTATTGCCTGTAAGTAATATATGAGTATAAAATTAATATCCCAATAAACAAAAAATATATTATCATTTTGATATATTGATATTATATATATCTCTTGCTCATATTTTGCTCAATATTTTAAAAATATCTCAAAGATATTACTAAGAATAATATGATCTTTTCAAATATAGTAAAATAATGCTTTAGATATATACTGAAGTATCAAATTGTAATAATGTTAATACATTAAAAACTACACATTAGAAAATATTAATGCTATTAAATATTAATGCTATTAAATATTACTGCAATAATGTTTTATTAATAATTTTTTGCTTACTGGAATATAAGTAATAGCTAGACTAAATAGAAATGTTCAATATTTTTAATAGGACAAGGAGAGAGATGCTTTGGATGATAAACTAAATAAGTTAAAAGAGAAACTTGATACAAGATCAACCATTCTTGTACAACCTGCACCTGGTTTGTTGAACATTTTTTCATATATTGTCACAAATAAATTCTATAGTGTAATTGTATTAATTATAATATTGTTATACAGGTATCTGTGTAAAAACTAAAACAACTAGTGGAGAAAAGGTTTTTGTGAATATATGTACGTCGGATAAAATTCAAGCTCCAGAAGATATATCTGAAGACAAATTATTTAATCTTTTGAATCATGAACAATCTGATTATACTATACCGGTAAATTTAGGTGCTGAGGGTGAAAGGATGGAGATGGATAAATGTAATAAAAATAAGAATGATGTGAAAATAATATGATCTGAGCAAATGTTTTATAAGCTATATTTTCTTACAGCAAATGTACCTTGTGCCACATTTGACGTTATGATAAATACAACTTACTTCAAGAAATGTCAAGAAAAAGAACATTTCATGGCGTTTACAATATTGGCTATATTGAGTGGTCTGTCAGAGAAATCTGGCAAAGAAATTAACTGTGAGAATTTTGTTATTCTCAAAAATCGAACAGTAAGTATATGGAGATACTCCAAGATTTATCCTAAGGTTTGTTTCTAAACTTTGGACAATATTGCAGGTAATGGGCAAACTACAGCAACAGTACATACAAAAACGATGGTTACAGGATATAAAAAAACCAGAAGAAAAAAAGCCATTAATCGAGATAATCCCACAGGTCAAGAAACCTGTCAGTAAGGAAGTTTGTTTACAGGATAGCACACAAGTGGATACAGGTTACATGATTTTGAAACAACCACTTGAAGATCCAGTTGAAAGTTTAATTGCTTTATTCGACATGCCGAAGACTGTGAGTCATATACAGCTAACTTAATGACCAATGATGTTTAATCAGATAAAAATTTTGATATGTTCTATCACTTGCAGGTGTCGATCGATGACGTAGTAGTACTCGTCAATTCTGATCGCATAAATGTTACAGATGAAAAAACTTGTTCACGTGATGTTTTACTTCCATATGCCGTAAAGAAAGACAGTGCAAAGGCCTATTTCGATTACAATCTTGGGGTACGAAGTTACATTTTTTCTTTCTATATAGAACCATTTCCTAATTTTCTTCTTATTAATATATTTTTGTATATTTCAGATATTACGAGTAGATGTATTAGTGCAATAAATGTGACGCAAATGTTCGAGACTATGCTTTGGCGTTTTTCCTTTTTATAATACTAAAACAAGATTTTCTATTTTTAGTTTCCTATTTTTATATCTTAATATACTAAAAAATTTTAATTATACGTTAAAGCTTTTACTCTCAAACATTACTGTTCAAGATATATGCTCTATCTTGGCAAAATAGATTCAAAATATCGTAAGAAAACGATTGTTCAATAGAGTTACGGCAAATTGGAGATCATCGATTACGTAAATTTAAGATCGAACAGTATGTAAATAAACGAGATATAAAATCTATTTCATATAGCAATATAAATTAGATAACAAGTTACGTATTAAGTTTCTCATATTTCTGTATAGAAAGTCGGTCGCTCGATACCCAACATACCGAACACATTTGGCAGTAGATAAACCGTATTTACACCTATCATGAAACAACATACATATTTGTAGACTAAATCGACGAAAACCTTATTTGGATTTCCACTATAATCCTGGGACTTCATTAGCTCCTTAGAGTTGACTCGCAGTATGCCACACATTGTCGCGTAGCTAAAAGATTTACAGATAGCTTTTGTCGCAATGACGCTGCAAAAACCAAGTATAGTTCTGAAGATCAGACTACCGAGCATAGGATACGTCGGCCAAATGATGTGATATGGCGGCGAGAACAACGGTTTACTCAACACACCGATGTAATAGTTCAGCCATGTTCCCGCGTGAACTCCCGCAGTTACTGATACGACCATCGTAGTGTCGCCTCTGAAATAAATTGAGAATTAAACAGATAGAGATTCGTCAAATTGAACATGCGACTTGAATATTTAATATTTTATGTTTAAAAATAATATATAAGTAACAGAGTATAATAATTGTGTATAATAATTGCGTAATAGTTGTGTATAATAATTTCAGATTTTTCAGCTGAAATGAAACCGAGTTTTATGTTATAATATGACAAAACAATGTATGTGAAAAATTGTGAAAAAATCAAATCAAAATGACGCATATCTTAATTCATAAAATTACAGCAACATAAAAATAATACAATTTTATTTTATTAAAAAAATTCAAAATTATTTGTTATAACTAAATATATGTTACTGTAATTTATATTATTTTCTTCAAATTATTACAATATAGAAAATAATATAATTTACATTGATTTAAAATGGTTTGAAAAATAAGCCGCTCCATTGATCTGTACTCACCTGGTAGGCGTCCACCTATCGCTGCACGGATAGTATACGATAACGGCAATACTAATGGCAATCATTATCGCCAAACACCAGAAGTTCGTGACGATGTAAAAATCCATCGCGTCTACCAGAGGTACTAATGGAATCATTAAAACAATCGCTAATATCACACCTACCACAATATCCAGTACAGTGTGCATGCCCAGGTAAAGCCTGCTGGTGCTCACAAGTGCACACCTGGGGAACCATTGCGAATTGTAGACTTGAATTGTTTCATATCGATATTTCGTAACAACGCAATGAGTATACAGCGGCGAAGTGTGATTCTTACTCACCAGAGAAAAGCGACAGTGCAGCCGATGTAAACTGGATAAATATACCTATTCATTGTGAATAATACTACACTAAAGGGAATCGAGACGCCGATCATGGCGTGAGTAGATGGCATTCCGTACTCTTGTGACCATTTACTCTGCAGCTTGACCGCTGGCGGACACGTCGGCCTGGGCCAACATATCACATCCTTCAGTGCTTGTCCTAGAAATATTGTATAGTGCAAAAATTGAAGAATCTATACTTACTATATATTACACTTTAATAAATCCATTATTCAATATTATCTGCTTAGCAAGTCAAGTAGAGTGCAACTAGTGAAAGCTAATACGCAAATATTATTGCAAAATTTGAGGTTTTAATTTCGGGAGGATAATAATGTTCTGATAGTATTCAGGATTACAGGATTGGTTTTGGTGTAAAAGATGGATTCTCCGTATACGAGTTTGAGAAATTTTTAAATGTGTAGGTTTAACACTGTTAGCTCTATGTGTAGACAAAATAAACCATGTATAAGATATCTCTATAAACAATAAGTAATCTGTAAATGTCATTTAAAGAACATATAGTTTGTTCAAAAATTAATTAAGAAAAGTTTATATTTAATCTTTAGAATCCTGATATGTAAATTTATGACTATTATTTCTTAAATAAGTTAGAACAATTATTTACAAAGGAAATGAAGAACAAGTTATGCACATTATTAAACAAACTAGAATTTATACCTCAATACATAAGTTTATAAGTACTACTTCTTAGGTAAGTTAGAGTCCAGAGAGAGAGAGAGAGAGAGAGAATTCTCAAGTTATACTCTTATAAAACATATATATATATATATATATATATACAAAAACTTATCTGTAACAAATTCAATTAATAACCAATCTATCATATAATAAAAATCTATCATAAAATAAAAATTTGATGCAATATGTAATCTTTTTTAAACATTATATTTATTATTAATACCCAAAACAGATATAATAATAACATATCCTACATAGATTGAAACGTGAAGGTATCAACATAACTAAAGAATCCTTAACTTGTTTAACAAACAATGTTTATAAATTTACATCAGGATTTTAAATATTGAATAAAATATGAACTTTTCTTAATTAATTTTTGAACAAGTTATATGTTCTTTAAACAATATTAATAGATTCATAAGTATATTTTCTGCATAGATAACATCTCATACATATAGTTTATATATGTCCACATCTACATATAGACATAAAGCATCATAATTGATGTTCAATCCATCTTAATTGTATATCTTAATAAGCCTTAAATATATTGTTATCTGCGCAGCCTTACCGATACTCATAACAGTAGCCCATACCAAGACTACTCGTCGGCCAACAGCTCCATCGATGTTCCAAAACCAGAAAGGTATAAAGGTTGAATAGAAGATCTCATCTCCCAATTCAGTCCCAAATAAAAATAGATAATACCAAAATAGATTGTTAATTGTGTAGTGTGGATTCTCTGGAATTGTCTCTTCTTTGTGTTTATCAGCTGACTCATGTTCCGACCGTTGTGGTAGCTCCGTTTGCTTTATATATCCATTGAACTCTTTACTACTAGTGTCACAGCCATTTGTCTTTTGATTACGGCAAGTTAAAAGATGATTCCCATCGTTATGATCGACTTCTGTGCAAATGCATTTGTCCTCGTCGTCGCTTCGCGACTCTTTACTGATCTCGAATTTCTCGGAATGTTTGTCGTAATGTATACTAACGCCGAAAAATTCCTGTATATTTGCGACTAATTGAGAGTCCTTCAAATAGTCAATTATCTCCGATCCAACCATTCTCGGGACAATTAATATCGCTTCCTCATGTCTACAAGTGTACCATGATTGATCAGAGTAAAGTTCGAAGAGTACACTTCTCAAGAGACAAAGAACGATTAAACGATAACGCGATTGATATACGAAATCGATGTGTATACTCATTCAACGAATATCACTCACCGAGTGGTCGTAGTAGTGTTATCGACACTTCCACCGATGAGATCGCCGGAGGACGATCAAACAACAGTTCGTAACTATTTACTGATATCACAATTCTCTGTTAATGACCGGTTTCATTGACACCGAACACCGCGTGTGATTGATGTACGGTAAAATCTTGCTGGAACCGGTTTTAAAGCGTGCACATCATTTGGGCCGCATACGACGACCATTACGCCCTGCGATAGAATCAGAATCAGTTTTCGTTTGGATATAATCCGCGACGATTGTACATTTGTTTACTTATACGCGGCATGAATAGCACCGGTCTGACAAAGAGGAAACGCTCCCGGCTCACGTCAGCTGCGTGTGAACGCGAATCACAGCGGACCACAGCGAACTACATTCGTGTAAAACGTGCGCAATACGCTCCGGGGCACGCGCCGGGCACGTTGGCCGTAAATCATTCCACGCAGATCGCAAGCTGAGCATCGAACCACGAAACCGTCAGGAAACTTTGTGTCGACCTGGATGGTAAAAAAGGAAACATGTTATCGGCTGTTTTCGATCGATAATATAAGCGTCGATAAAGTAAATTCAATAATGTGAATTCTCTGATCAACTCCTCGAGTTTGTGTATTCAATGGCTGGTATTCTTATATTTAATAACATGTTCGACTGGTTCTGGGTTAATCCATTCTGGGTTATTCAGTCTACGTTTATTGGTCGAAGAAGTACTTATAAGCTTTATGATTAGTTAGTAAAGACTTATAACGTCAATAATCGTTCTCGGAGCGATTAACCCAGGGTCAGTCGAACACGCTGTGAGATCGTCTAAATTCTCCTTTAGATACTCCATAGCCAATGAAATAATCCGTACATCATCTGAAAATAAACTTAAGACGGTTCTAAAGCGGGGTCTACAATAGAAATTGTAAAGTCGTAGAAGAACAATCGCGGTCAATTATTCTTCTTATACTCGATCACGATTGGTCAATTTCTACGACTTACGACTTTATGGCCGGCTATTCATCGTTGGATCTAGCTCTGTGTAGCTGTGTACTCCCAAATGCGAATTTTTGAAAAATGAAAATAAAATTGATTTGTCCATCGTTAGTCCACGTTAGTCCAAAAATTTTGTTTGTCTATCTTTATAAACAAAGTTATAAAAAAAAAGGAAATGTTTGCACCAGCTCCATAGACAAATGAAAACGATGCTTGGCCAAACGAAAACCACAAGTAGACAAACGATTCTAGTTGTCAGAATGCGCAAAATAAAGGTCGTCGACTTTAGAAGAATATTGTCGATTTTTTATTTTTCTTTTTGAGAATTACTCTATTCCGCGAGGTGGACAAAAGAAAACGATGCTTCGACAAACGAAAACCATAAGTAGACAAACGATTCTAATCGTAAGAATGCGCAAAATAAAGGTCGTCGACCGCAGAAGAACATTCTCGATTTTTTATTTTTCTTTTCGAGAATTACTCTTCCACGGAGTGGACAAACGAAAACGATGCTTGGACAAACGAAAATCACGAGTGGACGAACGAATGTCGTCTGATTTTTATAAAAAATAGCATTTGGGACCCAGTAAGCACAAAGTAACAGTAACATAACATCAATGTTATAATTTCTTATTCAACAATGTAACTGTTATATAACACGCACGTTATATAACAGTTACATTGTTGAGTAGGAAATTGTAACATTGATGTTATGTTACTGTTACTTTGTGTTTACTGGGGAATGTCAATTCACGTGCTTTTAATTTTTTATTTTAGTTAGAAATTTTTTTTTGGAGAATGGATAAACTAAAATAATTTGGTGGACAAACAAGGACAAATGGTAGACGTATGCTGCTAAGAAATTAAAGGTATTTTTTCATGGGGGTGCTGGTTCACCCTTTTTTTGGCAAATTTTTTTATGCAAATTTTTTTTGTAGTTTTGTTTATAGAGGCGGATAAAAGAAATTTTTGATTGGACTAACGTGAACTAACGATAGACAAGTGAATTTTATTTTTGTTCTTCAAAAATTCGCATTTGAGGGTGCCAGCTACATAGAATTCTGAAATCTCACTTTTCTGTCACTTGATAATCTTTCGGGGCTTATTACTCGCGAACGCGTGATCGGACGGGAATACACTTTCCACCGTGATGACTTCTTTTGGTAGGAAAATAATATCATGCATTTCAAACTTTTCTCTCGCACACCTGGAATCTTACTTTTCTGTCACTTGCCAATCTTTCGGGGCTTATTACTCGCGAACGCGTGATCGGACGGGAATATGGTTTTCACCGTGATGACTTATTTTGATAAGAGAATAATATCATCCCAGCAAACACAATAATATAACAGTTACATCGTCATAACATAACGGAATGTAACATGCAATATAACATGTTTGTTACACGTAATATACACGTTAGTTGTAATTTCCCACTCAAACAATATTGCAACTATATAACAGAAATATAACATGTTACTAAAATATTATATATATTGCTGAAATATTATATAGCTGGAATATAAATTATTATTTCCCAGCAATTATAGGTATTTAATTGTACGCAGAAATTATAAGCTATCACTCATATCACTTAATTTGTAAAAATATTATAATTATATATTTTGTATCAAAAATATTTTTACTAAAGGTAATAATATAAAAGTATCTTGCCATTCTAAATTAATTAGCTCCCAAATAACACAAGATATTCCAGAATCATCCTAGAGCTATTCTAGGCGTCTAGTGTCCCAGTATGTTTTCAGGTATTTTATGCTATTGAAGTTATTTTCATTTATTCATTTTCATTTTTCTATACATATTCAAATGGAAATGATTATTATTGTAATAGTAATTTCCATTATCAAAAAGTGTGTGACTTCTTTTTACTATAAAAGTGAACTCCATAGTACAAGTTGTGCAGTCTTGTGATCATTGTTCTTATATACGATATATACTCGTATATTAATGCATCATATTTTACGTACGAGAAAACGGAAGCCATCTAGTGAATGATCCGATCCTTAGATATAAGAATGCTATATAACATAGATGTAATGCAAATAAACGCTTCTTATATAACAGGTTATATTTTAATTGGTGTTATATAATTATAACCTGTAAATAACAGAGAATTATAACAGTTTTAAAACACAGTTAGATTGCAGTTATAAAAGAAAATTATGTAACTTTAACATTAATAACGTATAGCACCCGTTATATTACGTGTTACTTCTATGTTATATAATAGTTATATTCTGTGTTTGCTGGGATGTGTTTCAAATTTTTCTCTCGCACACCTGGAATTTCACTTTTATGTCATATGACAAACTTTGGGGACTTATTACTCGAGAACGCGTGATCGGACAGAAGTGCGGTTACCACGTCGATGAATTATTTTGATAGGAAAATAATATCATACGTTTTAAATTTTTCTCTCATTCACCTGAAATCTCATCTTTCTGTCACATGACTATCTTGCAGAGTTTATTATTTGCAAACGCGTGATTGGATCGGAATAAGTTTTCCACCGTGATGACTTGTATTGGTAGGAAAATAGTATCATAGATTTCAAATTTTTCTCTCGCTTGGAATTTCATCTGTATGTTACATGACTTATGCATTATATTTCTGTTATATAACTATAATATCATTCAAATAGGAAATTACAACGTGTATGTTACATGTAACGCGCATGCTATATTGCACGTTATATTAGGACGTTACATTATTATTAATATTTACTACTATTATTAATTACTATTTGCACGTTACATTTCATTATATTAGGACGATATAACAGTTCTATCATTGTGTTTGCTGCGAGATAAACGAGCAATAGTCTTCGAGAAATGTAAGAGTGGTATGTTTTTTATTTCTTTCTTTTCTTGAGACGCGCGCGCGAGATAACAGGAAACCGGGAGAAACTGGGCTCGGCGAGAGCAATTTCCCAGCAGACAAACAAGATTTCAATTAAACGAGTCTCCTGTCGCCCAAAGAAAACAGGAGGAAGGGCGCAAGAGCAGCTTATCGTCGATTGGTCCTCGAACGCGAATAAAGGTATCAGCTTCTGCCGCGAAAGGGTCATTTCTCGCGGAACTGAGGACGATATTGCTGTGTCTTTTCGTTTCGTAAAATATAGGATTTAATTCGCGAAAATCTTCGCGAAAATATGTTTTTTCTTTGCCTCGCAACGTGCATTGTTCTTCATTCCATGGACGGTATTTCTTTGAAAATTAAAGCGATTAGATTACGAGAGTGTCTCAATTTTCTTAACAATATCTAAAATAATTTGAACTAAGAGGGTTATTATTCTCTCGCAAGGAAATACTATTCGCTACCTTACTTGTGCGGTTCTCATTGGCAAAAACTTAATTCTTAGTGATCAAGATCGGTCTTAGTGATTAAAGGCCGGTTTTTCAATGATAGTTTAAACTTAGATTTCACCTTAAGCTCTGTTTAAACAAAACAAACGCATTGTTAGAATAGAGTTTAAAGTTAAATCCAAGTTTAAACTGCTATTGAAAAATCGGACCTAAGTGTCGTTACACGAAACTTGCTTCAAGTGAGACACTCAGATTTGAATTTAAAGTTAGATGTGAACTTCTCAATTGAATCGCGACAAATATATCACATATATATACGATTCAAATAAAAAGCTCGCATCTAAATTCTACAACACAACACGAATAGCACAAAGATATCCCAGAATCATTCTTCAGTAAATACCAATTATTAGTAACATAATATCAAGATTATTATTTCCTATTCGACAATGTAAGTACAATATAACACATGTGTTTTTTAACAGTTATATTGTTGAATGAGAAATTGTAACATTGATATAATATTACTGTTGGTTTGTGTTTATTGAAGTTCTATTCTGTTCCTGTATACCGACAACTATCGGTTCGGTTTGTCGTTGTGGCAGATATAATTATATTCCCTAGCAAAAATAAAATGCTTTATAAACCGTTCAATGAAAGTTTTTTAAGAGTTCTTAAAAGTTTATACTTTTAAACTTTGTATAAATGCTTACTCAACGCCGTTGGATTTTGAACGCTTTCAGAACGCTTATCAAATGCTGTATATATTTCATGAAAGTTTTGCAATGCTGAAGCAACGTTTTTCAAAGTACGCTCAATAAACGCTGATACACCTTTGTGCAGAGAGTTTGCTCAGACTTTTCAAATGTTTAAAAAACACCGTAAACGCTGTAGTATTGCAATTTCCGTTCTACAAACTCTCTACTGACAGTTCTAAACTCTCAACGAACTTCCGCAAATGCTTACGTAAACGCTAAACAAACGTTTATAAAACTTCTTTCGTCAGGGTTATAAAATAGCTGCACAACGACACATATTAAACGGACATTTGTTGGTACACGGGAACGAAATAGGGCCCTTGGGCCTGGTGTTGTGGTTCATCCTGAACGTCTAGAGAGTGCTCCAGGATCTAACGCACATCCAGGATAGCATATCTTATATTGTCTGGATAAATTCAAATCTGAGAGTCTCAATTGGGGCAAGCCTCAAAAAATGAAAATCTGCAAACGTTCAAATAATTTACCTGGCTTTCAGTCAATCATCGTAATTTCTTGTATTTACCGTAGCATTGGACACGTTCGATCATGAAACAAGGACTTTACTCAATCGGATGGACAACTCGTTCGAATTCCTGAATCAAGCAACTGCCAATCTTGAGTGGAAAATCCTCAGGAACGCTTCGGTCGTGTCGTCAGACGTGTACGCGTCTGTCTTTCAACTGAGGCTGAAATGGAAGAGTCATGGGTGCGCGGAGTTGATGAATATTCAGAATAGTGGAGTATTTATAAACAGACGATTATTGCATTTTATGTGTCATGGACCAAAGTACACGGATAAGATGATGAGGTACATCGAATAATCAAAATATTTTTTTTTGCAGTAAAAAAATTATTGCCTTTAGCAAGAATAGAAGGAAAACATTTTTTACACAAAAAGAGTGTCAGTTTGTGTAACCAAATGGGTACCAGATAAAAAACTTACTGACGCGAAATAATATGTCTGTTACCGCGATCGAAAGTATTCGTCTAAATATTCAATTGCGTTAAAACTCAGTTGAGATAACTGAGCAGAGATCTAAAGGAATCTTTCTGTTTCTTCAACCGAGTTTTCATTCTGGTTCTCAGTTAATAGAACATTCAGCGACACTAACAGAGTTGTTTTTTCTGTGCGCCCATTGTTATATACAGGAAAATCTCCATTATTAAGGAGTTATTATCTTCTACCTACGACTTCGCACGGATTTGCAAAATCGAGGATCACGGACGGAGATGTTATTACGGCGAGTCGGACGTGACGAAGTTAATGGCGACTTCGAGGTAATCAAATGCTGCAACTCTTCTACACTACCAAGTAGATGCGAACGTGAACGCAAAAGCTATAAAAGTCAAACGTAAAGTATTTTAAATACGCGCATATTTAAACATAGAGACGAGAGGGAACTGCGTTGGGCTTGGTCCGCTTGGAGGGATCGTATGAGCGGCATGAAGTGGCCCTTCGCGCAGCTGGTCGTTCTTGAAAATGAGGCAGCGCGAAGTAACGGTAATAAAGAAATACATATCGATAATTAAGAAGTGATATCTCGTATCTGCGAAAGTGCAGATTTACAGAAGAAACGGGAAAACTGTTTTGAAAATTCACTTTAGCTCTTGAGTACTCTTGACTGATGTCGTCTAATGGCGAAAAAACGCATGTCCAAAATGTTGCGTAACGCTTTCAAATAAAAAGATATCTGTATGAAAGAATATTTCTACTTCACTTACTCTTCAGCACACTTGTAAAATGCTCTGAAAACTATCCTTTTCTTTTAAATAAATGTGGCAAAATTATGATAAAAGAAGATTAAAGAGGAAGATTGTTTGTCACGTTAATTTTATGATTATTTATTGTATCTGACGTCATTAATCAAAAATTCCACAACGAATACTCTTCGGAGTTTTAAAACTCTCTTCCACAAGTCGTTTCCGCAATGTTAATAGCGGAATGTTCCGCTAGGTATATAAATCTGTAATTATTTGTATTTCGTAGACGTGGCGATGTTATCGTTGACAGAATCGGTTTACTTTTAGCTGAACTCAACAAAGGTATTTTATATTGTCAGTTTTAATTATTTATTATATTTCAATTTTACTTACTTTTATTTTATTTTATGATTTTTATAGTTATGATGGCTACTTCTCAATATTAATTAACTACTTAATATTATTTCGGTAACGGTCTTGTCTTTAATATTGCGATTAACATTCATGTCAATTTACGCAGGTCTTTAACTAATTGTAAAACGTTCGTATCATAAACCTTGAATTTTTATTATCACTGAAAAGGGTTCATGGTTGAGCCGAAACGTATGATTGTTTTATATTGATTATTCATGTTCAATAAATATTTCACGATTTCCTAACACAAGGAAGGTTTTATCCATATGGTACATAACACTATATTAGTCCTGTGCTTGAACTCGAATTGCCTTTTTTCCTATTTTTTGATTGATAAAAAGTAAATATTTACTCCGCTCAAAATTTCCAGCACAATAATCTTGACATATAAAGTTATGTCATTTTAGAGTTTCTTTTCAAAAATACATTATGTGTTCCATAACATCATATATTAAGACTATATTATGTGACTATATTAATTTGTGTATACTAAGTCTCACGTTTAATAATAATCAAATGTTACTTTGTATTAGGCTACACGGATGTCGGAGCGTATTGGAGGGAAGAATTCGAAATCCCGAACTTGGAGAGCGTATTCGAGGAGATGTATCGACGTGTCAAGCCTTTATATCGTCTTCTTCACGCTGTCGTGAGATTTCAACTCGCGAGACTGTATCCTAACGTTGTCGACACGTCTCAAGCGATACCTGCTCATCTATTGGGTGAGTTGATTTACGTTCACGATCCAGAATCATCCCAAATGTACCCAATATATCTTGGGACATCCTGAGCACATCCAAGATAATTACAAGATTATAAGATTTTTTGTACTATCTGAGATTCAAAATGGCGACAGTCTCACGAAAGAAATGCACTTGTTCTTGCAGGCAACTTATGGTCGCAGAGTTGGGAAGCGTTGATCGACGTGGTGTTTCCGAATTATACCGCGATCATGCCGGATCTGATGGATTCGATGAGGCGGCAAAATTACAGTATAACGGAGATGGTGAGAGAGGCGGAAAATTTCTACGTCTCCCTTGGATTCCCGTTGTTGACGTCGGAGTTCTGGAGGAATTCTGTATTCGAACGAGGGGCTGGTGAAGCCTCCAACTGTCATGCGACTGCTGTTAACATGTACAAGAGAAATGACTTCAGGTAAACTCGAGACAACAGGCGCTGTGATCTCGATCGACCTGATCACACTGTCATTTTCAGGATCTTTGCATGTCTCGAGACGAAACCGCAAGATTTCAACGTTATTTATCATGAGTTAGGTCACATACAATACTACATGGCATACCAGAACCAACCGTCGTTCTTCAAGGTTCTTCCAGTTTCGAATAAATCAGAATTAAATTGTTTAATTCTGTACATTCTGTACATAGTTTGTTATAAAACCTTGAATACAAAATTATTTTTCTTTTTAGAATGGCATCAACACCGCTTTCCACGAGTCGGTGGGCGATGCGATCGCATACGGTGCGACTTCTCTTCGACATATGCGGCGTTTGGGCTTGGTACGTGACACATACGCATCGACTGATTTATTAGAGACAGCAGTTCTCGTGAGACAAGCTCTGCTGAAAATACCGCAGTTGTTGAGCGGACTGGTAATAGAAAAGTGGAGATGGTCGGTGTTCTCCGGCAGAACGAAGTCTTGGGAGTACAACAAAGTGTGGTGGGACCTGCATCGTCGCTACATGGGCATCGCACCGCCATCGCTAAGATCTGAAAAGTTCTTCGATGCCGCGGCGAAGTATCACGTTTCCCATGGTATACCTTATGCCAGGTAAGCTCAAGGTCAAGTGAGTCGACGCAAGAATGGTAGAGATGATCGCAATAACGTACGAAAGAATTCGTATGGAAAGATCGACTGGTTGAACCCTTTAAGGCGCATAATTCATGGAACATTCTAGTAACTTTTTTTAATGAAATATTGTCAAAAACACTTTAAATAGTACATTTATAAAGTTTCAATTGCCTGATTCTAAATGGACCCCATTGGTACTAGTGATACTTAAAGGGTTAACATGAGAATAACACATTTTGGTTGAAAAAAAAAAAATTTGCGATTCTTAAAAACCAGAGATTCTCTTTCCTTCAACTCAAATTTAGTTGTATCACTGTCACGTTAATTTCTTTTTCTCTTTGTACGTTATTTGCAGATATTATCTAGCAAGTTTCCTGCAAATTCAACTGTTTCAAGGAATGTGCAAGGCGTCCACAGGTCTGAAAGTCGACTCCACGATATTCAATACGAACTTCCACAAATGTGACATTTACGGATCAAAAGAAGCGGGAAGGATTTTAAGGTTTGAAGCAATCGCCATCTAATTTCGTTAGTTTTATGCAAAATGTAGCTTTCTTAATCCTTTTTCATACATCGTAAATTTTGGAAAGGAAGTAAAAAAATAACAATCGTAAAAAAGTGTGAAGAAAAATAGCATCCAGGCGTAATGTGGTTGCTTTTTGTCCTCTGGTCGGTGATGGAGCTTGGAAGCAGCGTGGGCTGGAGGCGCGCGTTACATCTGACCACGGGCTACGCGGAGTATCGTGTGGAGCCGCTTCTGGCTTACTATAGGCCGGTCCGCGAGTGGCTGCAGCTTGAAATCAAGCGTCATAAGATTCCAGTGGACTGGGAGTGAGCGGTTATCTTCATGTGTATGAATTGTTGTCGCGATTTAGGATCATGTCGAATCTTCAATTCGTTGTTGCTGTGAACCTAAACCTTCGTTTGTGAAGATGTCGAACTCCTCTTTGCTCGCAAGGGCATTACGAACGTCGTCTGGTGTGATGTTCTTGGGACATCTGCGACAAATAAAGAAATACATGCGAAAATGTTTGGGATACGACAGAAACGACGGTCGCTATTAACGATGTAGTGAAAAATATAATATATACGAGAAAATGTAACTTACCCGTCGCTGCTGTTTCTCTCCAAAGCTTTTGCCCACGACGATCGAGTTAGGTCTTCCACAAAACATTCGATAACCTGGAACATATATAACTAATCAATATATTTGATCGTTCAGCGTAAAAATATGTTAATCTGAATTTAAAAAGTTTTATTATATTATGATTTAAAATTGACTGCTTTCAAAAATACTTCGTCCAAGTTTAAGACTTATTTTATTAATTTGATATTTATCATTCTTAGGCATTTTTAACACGTATTTAAGATTTGTTTTATTAATTTAAAATAAATTTCTTTTATATTTTCAGGTATTTAATCCAAATTTAAAGTTTACTTTACTAATTTAAGTTACTTTACTAAGTTTCTTACACTTAGATATTTAATTCAAATAAAATCTGTTTTATATTATATATAATTCAAGATTGAAATTATTCTCAAGTATTTAACTCGAATATAAAATATATGTTTTATTAAAATTAATCATTTTCAGATATTCAATCCGAATGGGATTTGTTTTTTTAGATTTAAAATTGATCATTTTCGGATACTTAATCTGTATTTCGAAGACGAAATATAAAAATAACCTTTACCCTCATCATCACTCGACTAGCTGCGCAATATACAACGCCTGGAACAATTTCCTCAGGTGCGATCTTGATGCCGATTTCCTGCGCCGTGTCGCACACAAACTTGTGCAATGGCATCAAATTCTTGTCAAGCTCGAGCGGCATCAACGTGGAAGATGCGGCGCTCGAATTACTGTGGACGTTTACGTCTTTGCCCCGGTCGATCACGCCTCTGCACGGATTCTGGTCGATAGCAACTATGTCGATCTCTATCCCGTCGACCTCGTCAACACAGTCGTTCGTCGAACGATGACTAGACTCTTGCCGATTGGCTTGCAGCCACTTGTGAAACACAACAGGCTCCGTGCACGTAAAGGCTGAAAAGTCGAACAGTTTTTTGGTGCTGGTGCTCGTCGTGTTCACTTTTGACGCCTCGAAAACGCTGCAATTCGGTGTGTAGCCATGCAGCCTCGTCCACACTAGGATCTCTTTGACGCTCCAAAGCCGGGACTCGTCGTACTGGGGCAGTTTCTTCCGCAAGAAACTCTTCACCATCTTGGCACGGTGCCACTCCAAGGCTCGCTGCTTGCCAATGCTCATCGCAAGAAAGTTTTCCTCGCTGTAACACGCGTAAGGATGCAGACGCACGTACTCGGGATCGCGAGCGTCTTGCGTGATCATTGGCAACCTACGCATAATGAACCGCACAAGCGCCTCCGTGTTGGTGATATTCGCACGATCGATCGACTGGAAAACCGTCTCGTACAGTTGTCCCTTACTTTGGAGCTTATGCTTATCTTTGCCCAACGTGATCTTCGCTCGCTGTGTTGTCTTTTCGTCCTTATCGGTCGACTTGGTACCCTCCCGATTGCCAGTCGACAATAACGACGACGAGGAGATGCCTTTTACGGCGTCGGACAAGCTGTAGTTGTATTGCGGATCGCGCGAGTCTGCGATCTTCAGCGCCGGCTCGAAGTAATTCATGTTCAACAGCAGACTGTTGGTGTCATTTAACGTGAGCATGGCGGCTTTCTTGGTGACCGTGTTCTTTGCGTTCGTCTTGGTCTTGAACAGCTGTTTCTTCAGAATGCTCGTGCCCTGGGGTATCGTTTCCAGCTTCAATTTCGCGAAGTCACCCGCGACAGTCAAAGGACGATTTTTTCTTTCACAGGCTTTCATGTCACCGTCGTTGGATTTCTCCTTGTTCATCGAGACCAGCATTTTGTCCTTCGTGAGGAGAATGCGTTTGCCGTTCGAAGGTGTGAACAACGGCGGTATGGAGATCATCAAAGGCTGCAGGTGCAAATTGTTGGCGCCTGCGGCTGTCTGTAGATTCTTCAATCGGTCGAGCATAGCGTCAATCGGTTTGCAGAAGCCGTTGGTCGTCGTCGTCGTCGTCGTTGCAGCTTTCGCGGTGCTGTCCGAGATTCCAACCGGAACTTCGTCGTTCTGCGAGTCCGTCGCTCGTGAAGACTCGTTCGCGTCGAGCGACCACGAATTCTTCTCCGGATCGTCGCTCTTCGGAAATTCCGACGATTCCCGAAGTATTTGCGAGTCACTTTCCGCCGTATCTAGGACGTTCGCAAACGTCGGTGGCTTGGGATCGCTGGGAAATTCGTAACAACCGTTGATCATTGTGTCGACAGACTTCTCCTCATTTATGTTGATCGGGGGTAAGCTCATCGCGACGGCAGTCTCGTTGTCCGGGAAGTGTTCTATTGTTATGTTACCATCTTTGACGGTGCGACGAGCCTTGAAATACTGTTCTCTCGTGTAAAAGTGATCATGATGAATATTAAAACGTATGTCATCCAAGTGCGACTCCTCGGTGTTTACGGGGAAAGGTATACCTGAGACCGCTTCGCGAACTGCGTTGTCAAATACGGCTTTCACTTTGACGTCCTCAGGCTTCTCGGAGAACACTGAATCTGTCAGTGGGCCAAGTAGCTCCTTCTCCACCTTAATCTCCTCGGAAGTATAATCCTGGAGTCGCGACGTCGGCAGTGCTCTGTCAAAACGCTTGAAAAGCTTGACAACATCGTCAGCGATCAGTCCAGACTCTATCTTCACGTTGTTCTTGACCGGCAGCTTGACGAGCTCGCTCACGCTTTCGTCGCAACTGTGGGAGTTAGCAGGGTAGATCCACAGGTCGACCAAAGTCTCCGAGCCCAACATCTGTAGGCCCGTATAAGTACGGTCCAGCTTGAGGTAGTGGATGATGTTTGACGGCTTGTTGAGGGGGTTTTTGAAGTGTAGTTGCACCCGGAGCGGGAATTCACCCCAGCCGCGTCGGGACAAGTGGAACGGGTACGTCGCGACCTCGACCACGTCGTTCGGCTTGTAGCTAGGATGCAACATGAATCTCACCTTACTGATGTACGTGCTGACGTCGGTGGCTTCCTTGTCGCCGCGCACGTATATCGTCCACTTGTGGGTGGTTTCGCTATCGTCTCGCCACTCGCGCGGGATCCACTTAGAGATGTTGCCGATGACAACGCGCTTGTGCACCTTGTGCTTGTCGCCACGGGACGGCTGCGCGCTACTTTCCGGCACGCTGCTCTTCGGTGGCACGTAGCGAGGTATCTTACACGGCCGTGGCTCCTCGTCTGACGACAGTGGCTGCTTCTTGGTCGACGACGACTTGTCGTTACACTTGTTCGCATTCTGTGCCTTAATCGTTGAACTTTTTGCTCCTGATTGAACGGGAGATTCGTTGACAGACAGAAAGCGGGGATCCGTGGACGTTGACGGCACCGCGGGCTCTGTATAGTTTAAGAATTTAGGACTTTTGCCGAGCAACGATTTGACTGCAGGGTGAATTCTCGTTTGCTTGCTTGCCTCAGCAGCTTGCGGTAGCTGACATTGTTTGCTGCTGTAGAAGTTAGTGATTACGACGTAGCGTAAGTAATGCAAGATCTTAAAGGATTCGTTCAATCTCTCTTGTATCTGCAAGATTTCCTTCTCCTTCTCATTGATCTCCCGTGAGAATTCCTTCTTCACTATTGCAACTATCTTTCTAGCAGTGCTGTTCCTCGCTGGAAAGAAACGGTGACACTACTGTTTAGATATAAACTGAGAACTCGTAACATATATTGTACAAACAAAAAATCACACACATACACACATGATAGGAAAAATTACTATATGTGATTGTTGTTTTTATATATGATCATATATCATTATTATTCACATACTGAAAAAATGCTGTTGTACAAATAAGATTAAGGTAAGTGTTTATGGCAGACTATATCATTTTTCACTGAACAAAACTATTTTTTTCTATTCAACATTTTATTTTTCTGTAAACATGTATTGTCTTTATATATATGTATGTATGTATATATGATTATAAATGAATTATATATGATAATATAGTATAATATGACTATAGAGACAAATTCATATATGAGTCATGTATAATTATACATAATTATATTTGACAATATAATTATGTAGAGTAAGTCACCTAACGTTAGATTCTAAAATATTTTTCTTTTTTATATTAGAAGAATGTGTGAGGAATAAATTGTATGGTTGGGAGAGATAAATATTGTGGTCAGCCTATTTTCCTTACATATTTTTTTCTAATATAAAAGAATAGAAAAATTTTGGAATCTAACATTAGATGGCTCATTCTACGTACAATAATTTTTTCCCAGAACATTCTTCCTTAAAATTCTTCAAAAATTGACCTTTTAACTGATTTATGTTCATCAATCTAAAAATTGTTATTAAACAGTATAACAGCAATAAGCTTACCATTTTCTTCATAAACCTTTTGTTGGGTGTTGGAGACTGCGGAAACATAATCCGGATCCTGATCGTTCAGTGATTCTTCAAAAGTACTCATTTATCGTGTTTAGTCTTTGAAAGGGATATTTCAACACACGACACTCGTGGCACAGTATTCAAAAATATAACAATACACGACACGGTACACTTGCGATATCGAGCTGAAATAAGCGCATTTCCTCCACTGAACAGGTCGAACGGGTCATTGAGACCTTAGGCGAATTATAAATTATGTAGCCTATTCCTTTGTTATAAATGTACACAAAGTTTCCAGTAAACTTTGTTTAGAAAGGTTACTCACTGTGTTGTACCGTCCTATGTCCTCGAAAACGAGAAACAATCGTCACTCTTAAATAACAATTTTTTTCTCTTTAAACGAAAACTAGTACTCATTCCCGGAGACCGAATAACTTGTGAATTTGCTAAAACATCGAGGCAATCCTCGATAAAATTGTCGTAATTCGACCGCAGCTGGAAAACAAGCATTGCACGCTTTGCCATATTGGACATGAGACTCGTTAGGATGGCGCTTTTCGATGGAGTGTCGACGTCATCGAAGGCCCATTCTACAATAAGCTATTGGGTGCGTTCAGATGGGAAAAGAAATAGCGGAACGGAACAGTTACGGAAAAGAGATAGTGGGGATCAGCCAATCAGGGCTGCGTTCAGATTCCCCACCCGGGTGTATTCTATTACTAGAAGTGCTATAGTATATGTCACATATACTATAGTGTTTCTAGTAATAGAGTGCACCCGGATGAGGAATCTGAACGCACCCCAGAGTAATTCCATTTTTATTCCGTTCCGTTGTTTAATACCATGACACGGAACTGTTACGGAACGGAACAAAAACGGAAAACATTCTAACCTATCGACATTAAAAATTTCCTTCCTTCCTTCCTTCCTTCAATTCTTTCATTTGGCGACATTAAAAATTTGTGAAGTGTGTCCGGTTTGTAATGGCTCCTGCACACAGGACGCGGTAATGCTTGTGTTACGTCCACGATAGATAACTATATAGGGAAATTTGAAAGTAGTGAAATCAGTGACTTACGTGGACGGTCAACAGAGTGATGGCTCCGCTTTTGGGTCACTCTGCTTTCACCGAGTTTACCCTGGGTCTCGGGAGCCTGGCGAAACGATTGATGAATCTGGCGAAAAATCAGCGGTGCTTGTTCTCCTGGCTCGGCCTCGGATGTTCCGATACCACGCGGGTTGATGCGGCCCGCGATTCAGAATTTGATTTCGCAACGTTTGAAATATGAAGGGTAGGCAAAAGTAATTGCAACAGTCGGATTTTACGACTAAGTATAATATGCTGAATAAGTACATGAAGCTACCAGAGACTAACTATGAGAAGAAAATAATTATTGCCTTCTCTACAAATGCGCGCGCTTTTATATGTCGCTTTGTCGCTGAGAGTCGTTCTCCGATTGGTCCATGGAGTTATGGCGAGGGAAGAGATTCATTCCTTTGCATGATGTCACCGCGTCGGTGTCCTGAGTGGTGTTTAGGATTCAGCTTTCATGCTCCTGTTTATGTTGGCTTATCGCACTGAGCGATAGCGGTTTCTTTGGGTCGATCCGTCGATTTCGAGACTCTCCAGCAGCACGCAGCATTCGGCATTTTAATTATAATGTTTTAACGCTCGCGAATATGCATATGCGCACGTACTTACATCTAGTAACATAGGGATAAAATATCTAGTGATGTCTGAAATCAGACAAGTCGGCCTCCCGGTCTATAATAATATATTATTAATGTTCTAAAATAGATCCGGACGTTACACTTGCCGGAAGTCCGCGCGACAGCCAATATCAATATGTTGTTTTTCCGTAAGAGCTAGAAGGTTATTACGGAAAGCAGCATATTGATTGGCTGTCGCGCGAACTTTTGCCACGTGGCAAGCATTACCGCGTCCTGTGTGTAGGAGCCATAACGTCTTTTTCGCAACGGAGAAAACGAAAAGACTGTTTATTATGGCAAGTCGAATGTTTGAGAAGTATCATTGATATTTGAACAATGTTCAATTATTAATAATATTATCATTTGAACAATGTTTGAATTTTCAATGTTTGAAATGTAACATTGATATAAGTAAATATCAATGATACCTCTCAAATATTTGCTGACTTACCATAAAACAGTCTTTTCGTTTTCTCCGTCGCGAGAAACACGTTACAAACCGGAAACACTTCACCATACTTCGCAATTTTCGATGTCGATTTTCGTATTCTGTTCCGTACTGGGAATCACATTGCGTCGATGTCCGACGTACGACGTCCGATATCCAATAAAAGAATAGCTTTCCAAGGTATCCGATATCCGATAAAGGAATAGGAGAATTTAATTCTATATTAGAAAGTTCTCTTAATGGATATTGGACGCTGTACGTCGAATATCGGACGCGGTGTGAATCCTGTATAAGAATACAATCACAAAAGTAGAAATTTTCAGCGCAACGGAACGTGTGGACTAATTACAGTCGTTCTATTCTTTTCGCGAAAAGAATTTAAAGTCGTAAGTTTAATTGTAACTTCACATATATGAATAGTATAAACAAAATTCTTGTAAATAAATTAGGATACATATTATTTTAAATTAAGATTATATTTTACACCTCAGATTTCTCACATAATAGTTTATAATAAGTATAATTTTAATAAAAATAATACAAATAATCTTTAATACAAATAATTTTACCACACGTTAAAAAAAATATGAATATAATCGTGAGATTTTACGAAATTATTACCTGATGTCGAATGCGCGTTCTTTACTTCTTATTCCAGATTATTCCTATGGTAAGGTTGGTTGGTTGGTTGTGGCCATAGACATATATAGGCTGCGTTCCGAAACTCACTGTCAGTACTTGCAGTACTGCAAAGTCGTTCCGAAATACGTCGCAGTAAGCTTTCAATGTACTTTCGTTAACACGTGACGTCATATATTTTGACGTAATTTCCTGCTTTCGTTACTGCGGCTGGCGAGGTAAGACACCAGCAGTGAAAAAATGGCGGTGCTCTGTGATGAGACGTTAAGCCTCATATGTTCAGAAAGTAATAAAATATATAATGTAACAGTTAGTCGTGAAGATGCTGAAAAAGCACGTACAGGTATAAGTTTGTAATAATCAATAATTATTTTACTTTTATAATTATTTTATTTTTATTTTATTTTGTTTATTTAATTTAGGATTTAATAATTTAAATAAGAATTGAAAAGTACTTCGTTTAAGTCTGAAACAATAAATTCCATTTTCTTGATATTACTTTTTTTTTTTAATAATCAATGGCACATTTTATCATATTTCTTTTACATGCGTTTGATGTACATTAGGTAAAAATTGTATATTGTTTTCTGTACCGAAAGTGCATTTGAAATTCCTCGTCTGTATACAATGGTATAACACTTTCAACATAGTCCTTGCAACGAAAACGTGGAGTCAAATTTCTATTAAGAGTCCTTAAAAATATATCATCTTCTTCGCTATCTGAAGAACTTTCAGAAGATTCTATTACATATTTTACAACTTTTGTTAAAATCACAATCTCCATATCACGCTATGTTTGATCCATAATTATCTATGAAACTTGTTTATCTTAACCTCCACAATACTGAATATTTCTACTGCGAGTCCGTTCCGTTATTGATTGCATTACAAGCTGAAAAGCAGCATCAGTAATTACGGAACGGATCCGCAGTTCTACTTTATGACGTCATACTTTCAGTACTGGCAGTTAATTTCGGAACGCAGCCATAATAGACTGCGCCGTTCTGTAAGAGACGCTATCCGCAACACCCGAGAGAGAGAGCAATATGAAAGCTGTGTCTCATTCTAACACGCTAGTTGGTGGGGATGTGAAAAAAACAGGGGAGTGCATGGGAGAGAAGGGAGCGTCCCGATTGACCACGATACGATTAGACACAACCAACCGATGAAAAGAATTATCTAGTGAATTACTATGTCGAACCAATCATTACAATCTGTGTCCAATCGTATCGTGGTCAATCGGGTCCCACCCGGGAGAGAACAGAAGAGAGAACTGGAGAACTGTTCAATATTGCCAGTTCTTTCGTAATGTAACGTAACGTTTTCGTGCGTTGTTGTACGTTCAGCTTACGTCTCACGTAACGTAAAATTGTCACGTAAAGCACATTCTACAATTGCGTGAACGTGGTTGTAAGTGGTTGTAAGTGATTACGACAACCAATCAGAATAAAGCAATCAGTGAATAAAACATTCGAATTGGTTGACTCTTAGGATGCCATTACATGAAGCGCGGAAACGCGGAAGACAAAATCTTACTAGATTTCTGCGAATTGAATCATTTCTTTTCGTACGTTGAAAAAGCGGAAAGCCCAAAACTTTTCTTTATTGTCTTTTTATCCAAGATACCAAGGTATAAATTCCAAAAAGATATCAGGTCCGAACGTGTTTGAACATGTCTTAATGTAACGGCGGTTGGATTAAACAACTTGTGATACCTTGTGACAACTTGTGACAATGGATTTTTCCGCGCTTGTTCCGCTACTTTATTTCTCCTTATATTAGGCTGCGTTCAGATTCCTTACCCGGGTGCACTCTAATACAAGAAGTGCTATAGTATATGTGACATATACTATAGTGTTTCTAGTAACAGAGTGCATCTAGGTAGGGAATCTGAACGCACCCTTACATGGAGCACAATTTGCGCGGAAAGCGGAACGGTTTGGTGACAAATAAATATATATATTCATTTTTTAAAATTGTATTAACTGAATTTACTGCAATTTGTACTAATATGTTTATCTTTTCAGCTTATCTGTTGAATACAAGCATTTTAATTAATAAATACCGTTAAAAACTAATATTTTATAATTCCCCATATTGCTTTTCCGCTCAAAATATGCCTCACGTAATGTAAGACAATCAAAACAGACGGGGAACGTGGGTGGGACCCGATTGACCACGATACGATTGGGCACAGATTGTAATGATTGGTTCGACCTAATAATTCACTAGATAATTCTTTTCATCGGTTGGTTGTGTCCAATCGTACCGTGGTCAATCGGGACGCTTCCCGCGGAACGTATAGCGGATCTAGTAAGATTTTGTTTTCCGCGTTTCCGCGTTTCCGCGTTTTCGCGTTTCATGTAATGGCACCCTTACGTTCACGACTACGCTTACCCAATTGTAGAATGGGCTTAAAGTGGCGTAAGGAACCACGGCAATGTTCGTGCGATGACCCTTATGGCTCCTGCACACAGGATGCGGTAATGCTTGCCGCGCGGCGGAAGTTCGCGCGACAGCCAATCAATATGTTACTTTTCTTAATAATCTTCTAGCTCTTACGGAAAAACAACATATTGATTGGCTGTCGCGCGGACTTCGCCGCACGGCAAGCATTACCGCGTCCTGTGTGCAGAAGCCATAATGCAGTAGTGCAGCGAAAAAGAACAGGCTTTTTAACTTATTGCACTAGTTCAGCAATGCAGCTGAAAAGAACAGATCACAGATGTGATGTTTGTCAACATAAATATAACGATGTCATAATTTTCTTGACATAGAATTTATACATTTTTTCATGTAATCGAGACTGTATGATATGAGTTTTATAATTAAATGAGACTTTATGACTAATCTTAAGGTTAGAGAAAGGTTAAAGAAGTTTTGTTTTGTAACGCCGGGACGCTTCAGCGCGTCCCATTTGCAATACTTGAATCTGTACGAGGATGTCGGCGCATGTTATGTGCTTAACTTCCTCTGGAGGAATTCCTCTGTTTACACGCCACAATGGAGATGGCGATACAGTATGTGTTTATAACTAATTTAGTTAATTATAGTCGATAAACATTATGTTTTATCTTTTTCCAAGCATGATGTATCTATACTTTTCATCGTCCTTTTCTACAAAATATAATTGATAATTGTTTGCAGATGACATTTTCAAAAATAGCGTCTCTCAATGGAGTTCACATGTTCTTGAAGTCACAAGATATTACTTTATTGAGTACAGATTTGCCAGATACAACTGTAGTATGGAAAGAATTTGAAGACTGTATCATACTGATAGTAATTGCCAGTGGAGTGACCAAGTATGTATTGGATAAATTCTTGGATGCTACTTTTGGCGCAATGATTCTTTTCACTGGTATCGATGAAATGAAAAACACTAAAAATATAGAGAGGCTCAAGAAGGATATGCGTCTCTGTGGTCCTATCATAGACAGACTAATGGATTGTCTGGATATAGGAGACAAAATTTCAGCAAAAACTGACATGGTCAATATGACAGAGTGCATCATATCTCCTGAGAATCATTTGCTTCAGGTAGCTGGATTTCTTACTGATTTAATTAAGCATCAAATGAATTTTTCAGAAGTCAAATTGATTATCTTCTTAACTTTAGTATCAGAGACATGATTGGAGCTTAAGTTCTTTAAATTAAAAAGATTTACAGAATAGAATGAGTCAATTTAGCTTCTGAGAAGCTGAAATCATACAATATTATATATGTATTAACACATATGTATTCAAGACTTCTTTAGAAGGATTCATGGAATGCTTGGACTCAATATACGGCTGCATTTTGGTGCATGGTTGTGTGGCAGTTGCTACAGAAGGCTGGTGGTCCCTAGATCCTGTAGAGAGGAAATTGCTAACAATAGCGATTACTACTGAGAGTATCTGTACTACTCGTGACATTCCAGTGTTCTTACCACGTAAGAGCCCAAATGTAAGTGTGTTGAACAGACAATAGACACTGAGAAGAAACATTTTAAAAGAAAATTTCGAACTATTTTAGAAAGAAATTTAAGAAGAGAAATTTTAGAAAGACTGAATTTTAGAAGACTTTAAAAAGGAAGACTTATAAAAATGTATAACCCCTTTGGGAATACTTTGAAAATTTAATTTAAAACTTGAAATTTTCTTTAAGAATCTTATGTTTTAAATTTTAGAAAAGAAACTTAAAAAATTTTAGGGAAATTAAAAAAAATAATTGTGAATGCATACAAATTTGCGGTACCCCATTTAGGTGGCGTTCAGATTGGTGTCTATATCTCTGATCAACCACGTGGAAATTCTGGCATTATGCGGGCCAAATCCGGAGTTAACGGAGATCGAGAGGTTTGCCGTGCAGTGCTGGAAGGGCAATATCGATGCGCTGTGTGCCTCCGAGCAATGTTATCCGCGGAATTTACCTGCATCGATATCTTTAGACAGCGAGACGCTCGGGTACGATTGTCGCTTTGCGTAATTAATATATATATATTGCGCGTATGTTCGCTATTTCCATTATTCCATGTTTGACCAACGTTTCAGATTTCTGCTGGCGAACTACAAGGTGGAGAAATTCGTGCTCGGCAGGAATTCACAGTGCGCGAAGAATCGCGTGGCGGGCTCTCACCGATTGGACATACTGCGAACGTTTTATCATCAGGCCGTCGAGACTTTCGCGCTGTCGGCCGAACGCGACGATAACAACGGCGAGGGGACGAGCGCAGGCGCGTGGAGATTCACCGGAGCGAAGGAGACGTATTTATGCTCCGAATATCACAAGTGCCACGCCGTCAGGCACGGCGACCACGTGCTTTGCGTTCTGTACACGTCCGCCGTGCCGACTCACACCATGAGACTGATCAGCCAGAAGATACTGAAGACTGTGTTTAGCGATAAGCAAGGATATTGGTAGGCTTCTTCATTCTCTTTCTACTCCTCCTCACATTTGTAATATATGAAATAAAGCGTTGTCTTGTAATTATTTTCAAATGAACCTTTGGCAATTCCACTGCCGTTTGTTAGAACGTTCATTGCGAGCGCGAACGAACGAGCATGCACACCAGGCGCCACCTAGGTCTACCTTTATTCCTCGAAACTTGTCGGCAAGGTGCGAATACGATTTCAAGGCAGCAAGGGGAGAAAAACAGAGGGCAGAAGGTGCGACTGAAACAAGCAGGTTGTCACCTGCTATTTTTCATTTTCATTTCTGCGCTTTACATATGTAATTAAAACGATATGAATATCACCTTATGCTTTGAGGGAAGAGAAAAGAAATGTAGCAAGTGTAGGAGATGTTTAGAAAGATAAGAGTTCTCGGATAATTTGTCTGAACCAAATATCTAAATCCACACCTTCCAGCTGCACTTTCCAGCACGGGGAAGTGCAACTGGAACGAACACTTTTTTATTTTTTTAAATCATGAATGGCGATTATAACAGGTGCACGTGTCTGTTTAGCTTGGAATCGCTGGCGTGAAACGGACAAGAGGAATCAAGCAGGCGAACCTCACGAGGATCAGAGAGACGAGGACGCCTTTCCTGCAACGCCCGTGGGTCAACGTTGCTCGCAGCGCGGCGAAAAAATCGATAATGGAAGCGCCAGCCGGCGAAGGCGCACGCGTCAAGCGTTACTGATGCGTGTCAGCTGTCCCGGTTGTAACTAAAACGGGAGTACAGGTGTTCCTCGCTTCTTTGCGACAGAAGTCTTCCAATGCGGAGCTGCGGTCCCGATCGAACTTAATGGCTTGCGACAATCGCACGAAGGTGTATCTCGGATACGAGGACGAGTACATCGCCGAGAAGCACCGTTCCTCGCTTAACTTCCAGACGAACAAGATCGGCGGGTATCCGGTGAGCAAGCCAGGAGCAAGAGCGTAGAGCTCGCTTTGTTTTCGCGCAAAAATATCCATCCCTTCTTTTCCCATCGTCGCGCGAGATTGCCGGCAGTAATACTCGATTTGATCCACTATGTACGGAGAGACGATTTGTCAAACACTTTATTGACGCTGCACCACGTAACAAAGCGAGATATTTACAAACAAATATATATAGAATGTCTTCTTATTACTACTGGAGAGTATTTTTTAATAGTGAATTTTCTATTCGATGGAGGGAATATTTTATTAATATTGCATGTAGCTGGAAGTAAAAAGCGTGGAATTATTTCTACAAATTTAAGCATTCATGTCAGATCATTGCAAAAAAGAATTCCCATGTTTGATGAATAAAATAGAAATCTTATTTTTTATATCTCCTTATCTTTTTAATACTCATTCTTTATTTTTCTTAATATCCAAACTTCTCATTAGAATTTAATAGAGAAATAAACTTTTGCGTCAACCTATATTTTTCACATACATACACACGTATGCACGCGTACATACACACACACACACATATATTACTTATATATACACATATATACTACTTATATATATACATATATACTATTTATATTCTATATATATCTTCCAAAAGTTTTTAAATCCAAGTGACATTGATATAATTAATTGACTTTCCAAGAGTTGTTATATCAGAAAGTTACATTAGAGTTGTTATATTAACATAATTAATTAACAATATTGATTAATAAGCAATAATGAATAAGTAGGCAACTTTTCTGTTATTGCATTTCTCTCACTTTTTTCAGAACTGCAACGGCAAAAGCACATTGTCGTCACCACAATGCAGACTCTGCGGCTTGTATCAACTGTTAGCGCTGCAATTGTACGCGCCGTTAGATAATTCGAAGTACCATCGGACGTTATATATATTCGCGTGCATCAATCCGAACTGCTGGAATCAAAATGAAAGCTGGACATGCTTGAGGATACAGCATGTGGAGGACGAAAGCAAAACGGGCGCGTTGGACTGCGGCAGCGTTAATGTGCCGTCCACAACGGCCTGGCTGTCGGATGCGGATGATTGGGGCGATAACGTGAACGACAACGCGTCCGAGCAAAACGGGAATAATATGCTGGGGAATGATCCTCCGCAGTTCCACTTTTCTCTTCACAAAGAGATAGATCAGGATATCCGGGAGGAGTTGGCTATGCTGCGTGTAGATGATCCAAATGCAAACAGGTTCGTGTCCAGATAAATCTTGATTATCCGTAATCATGCAAGTTATCTTTTAGCATCTCTATACCTTGGAAACGAGTCAGTGTCCTTTACATAGAGATTTCATAGTCCTAGAATTTAGGATGATAGTTTTAAAATTTGCAAGCACACCAATATCAAAATTTAAAGATTCTCCGAGCGTAAGTGTCGTTGTTGGATTTCAGTCCGACCAGCGTGGATTCTCCGGTCAGCGGAGGCGCCGTGGGTCGCTTGGATTCCCCTCAGGCTTCCGCGGAGATCGACGGGGATGAGAGCGAGGTCGTGTGTATTGATACTCCGACGCGACCACAGTGTGATTTAGTTAGTTTACTGCACGAGGTGACGCCGTTGCCGCTGCAAATCACGAACGCGGACACTAAATACTCCTTCATCGAGATATTCTTGTCGGTTGACGAGGAGGACTACAGCACGGATGTGTCCCAGCACGTCAGGGACCTGCTGGTCGAGTATCAGCACAGCAACGCGGACATGTCGATGAAGTTCATGCCGGAATCTGGCAATCCCAAGACCATCGACACGGACGTGGAGAAATACGAGAAGTGTATTCCTAGGCACGGCGATGAGATGTTCCATAATTTCGTCTGCAGAATACAGAGGAATCCCGGACAGTTGCTACGGTAATCGTCATTGGTGGTACTTTGTTCTGATATTACAAACGTGAGGTAAAAGTACCAATGTGTCTAATTCTATTTTGGTCTTTAAATATGAATATTCGAACTTTCAATACAAAAAATATATATACATATATTCTATGTTGAAAAATCCAATATTCACATTTTTAAATTAAAACAATAAAAATGTCTAGGATTAAGTACGTGCCTAGGCAATGGTATTTTTATCTTATATGTTAAAAAATTGTGTCGTACATGTTCAAAAACATTACGCTCGACGTAATATATTGAGTTGTGTAATAAGTAATCTCGGATTTTTCAGGTGAAATAAAACAATTGTATTCTTATGTTTTTATGAAACAATGTACATAACGATCCTCTGCCATCTTTTGTATACATTATCTCATAAAATTATAACGACATATAAACAATCGTTTTGTCATGCTTAAACAATTCATAATTACTTATTGCACAACCTAATATGTTTCTGAATAAATTATATATAATATAGATTTTAAATTAATGTACTAATTATATGAGAAGTATCATATATATACATTATATAATCATGTATATTCAATTTTTTTATTTACATATAATTTATATTAATATATTATTTATTATTTTACTGTATATTTTTTTCATTAGAACTCAGTGCTTGTCATTTTCAGATATTCGAGGGACAATGCGGCACCGTTGCTGCTGTATCCGCTAAGCGGTTGCATCGGCAAGTGTCGACACTGCGGTGACGAGATGACGTTCGAGCTGCAAGTATTGCCGACGATCATACCGAAGTTAACGTTGTATCCGCGCAGCGATCGTAACTTCCAGATCGAGTTCGGCACCGTTTTGATATACACCTGCGTGAGAAGCTGTTGGTCCGCGACCGACTCGTATCGGGAGGAGCATGTCGTTGTTCAGGCGGAGAGACTATAGTCGTTAAGGTACTAAGGGAAGATTACGGAGTGAAGCCAAGGTTCTTCCAGTGATCCTATAGAGTTTCGTATTATACGCGTCTAGGACGACTAGTCATGTTACGTCTGTAGGGAAATACCGTCCACCACCTGTTCGTGTAATACATCAGAAGTCTCCTAAGTAGCGAGCGACGACCACATACATTGAGAAATAACTGGACTAAGCGGATCGACCGGAGATGGACGTGTGCGTGGATGGATGGATGCACGAGGCGTAAGGAGCGAACACTCAAGTACGTCATATCGTGTGATTTGATGACATCGTTTGTGAATGCAAGGTATTCGAGACTATCGAAAATAAAACTAGACTTCAAGTCAACTAACGAGGTATACTCAAAGTATATATTAAGTAAAGCGTTTACTCGATACATCGAAAGGGTATGTCGATATGTCGTAACCGGATTACTCGAATTTGCCAGCTCCTCCCCTTTTACCTTTGGCTTCACTTCCCTTGAGAAGACACCGTTTCGTCTGGTTATTTCTCACGTCCACGACGACGGCGGCGGCGACGATGACGTAGCGGAGAAGTGGCGAGCATACATTTTTCGAGTTATACTTGTCGAGCGATACGCGAAGATTTTAGAGACGCCCGCGATAGAAGAGTCTGATTAAGAGCATTTATTTTACTTTTCGACTCGATCTTAGTATATAAGGTACAACTGTACAATTGCTATTGGCGTATAAATACACAGAGGAGCTCAGTGGAACATACGTGTGTATTTGCTTCCCTCGAAGCGCAAGTTACCTACAGCACGTTTCTTTACAAGGTGGCCACGACGACCATGTAAACTGCGAGATAAAAAAGAATATTTAACAGATACATCTAATTATCTCGTGTTCATTTTTACCAACGCTAATTGAACATTAGTCTGAGTTTCTTTGTCTGAAGAGAGTTTGAATTCGGATTAAGATTTAATCAACGTTGGTGGAAACGGGCATTGAATCCATATTAATTAGCCGTTGTTTAAATATGAAACAGATTTGAACTTTGAATTAAATCTGAGTTTTTTAATCACATGATTGATATATGTGACGTTGTAATTAGAATTTGTCTCACATGATATATTCAGACTTGAATTTAGAGTTAGACCTGAGTTTTTCAATTGAATCAAATGATATATGTAATGTTGTAATTAGAACTTGTCTCATGTAAGATTTCTGTTTTCCAATTAAATTATGATATATATGACATAAATAAAACTTATCTCACATGGAATATACAAATCTGAATTTAAAGTTTTTTACTAAACCAGGTAATCATATGTAATGTTATATTTATAATCGCAATGCAATAGATATAAACTCGTATTAAATCCTAAATTCGTATCTGATTGTCATATGTGAGGCGAGTTTCAATTAACGACTAATTAATACAGGTCTTACGGACATTAGATGTAAATATTAAAGAACAACGAGCAGGAGCCTATTATTTCGGGTGCCTGTTTGAATGTGTAGCCATCTGATACCAAGCCCCGTTTTTTTCACACGAAAGTCACGTTGCTTCAGAGCTTGAGAATCAAAGGCATTTAGAGAAACCCAGAAAAACTCAATCTTAGACATACGTCCAAAATATAATTTCAATACGGCGAGTTTACTTCTGCAATTAAGGCTCCTGGTCTCACTGCTGCCCCGAACTGACGACATCAAAAGCGAAAGAACTCGTGCCAAAAATTCTTACGTGCCATTTTTAAATAAAAAGATTTTTGCACGAAAAACATTCTTTTGAACATATTTGTAAAATACTCTGAAAACTATCCTGTTCTTTTGGCGGTCAATAAATAGCCTGAAAATTAACGCAACGCGCAACTTTCTCTTTAATCAACCTCTCCTCACGATTTTGTCACGTTCATTTCAAGGCTGTTCATTAACTGTTAAAGGAAAATGGTAGTTTTCAGTGCATTTTACAAGTATGCTCGAGCGATCTCAAATGATCCCTTCGTATCTTTAGTTTATTCGTAAGTATCTTTTCATTTGAAAGTGGCATGTAAGAATTCTTGGCATATGTTTTCCTGTCTCTGGCATCATCAGTCTAGGCTGGTCTTCTGCAAGCAGACCAGCAGTCTTAAGTATATAACAACAAATACTTTTGCAGTAATTTTCCCCGTCCTCCTTCACGCCATTCAGTTCACGCACGAGCGTTCGTATTTTACAGTGTCTCTCTCGCTTCGAAAATATATCTATGTCTAATAAATGTCTAATAGGTTCTGTTGAGCGGATGCTCAGCGAAATAGTCTTTCTTGCTGTACATGAGCTCGGCTATGTTCTTATACAGCCGGTCGCCGTTCTTCCAGCTGCCCGCCGCGATCTCGTCCGCGAGGACGCGCACTCTCTCGAAGGTCAGTATCGTGAAGGAGTTGGCCACGTGTCGGTCCTGCTCGGCGTTCCTCAGGCCGATGCAGTAGGACCGCGAGGCGCGCGACAACACTGTCACCAGGGCGAACGTTCTCGTTGCCAGTTCGCTGAATCTGCGCAGCTCCATTTGCCGTTCGGAGACCTCGTGGCTGTGGGTTTCCAGCAGGTAAATTGACATGTGTGCCAACTTGGTGATGCAGCCGTCCAAGAGGTAAGCGCTCGTCTGCATGGACGGGTGCATGTGCTCGTCCGCGTGGAGCCTCAGGACGAATTCCTTGCCGGTAATCCACTTGATAATAAACTTGGGGAACATGAAAGGGTTGCGCAGCTTGTGCACGTGCTTGTACATGTGCTTGCCGGTGTGCTGCAGACCCAGCAGCGCGATGTACGTGTTGGAGTCGATATTGTAGCTGTCGTAGAGCGTGTACGCCAACGCGTCCTCCAGCATCTGCATGCAAGGGTTCTCCCTGAGGTAGCTCTGCGCCCCGATGATCTGCAGGCCCTCGTGGATGCAAGTGACGCATTCGTTCGCGCAGTAGGCCTCCACCATCGCTTTCTCCACCGTGCAGTCCTGTTGGTCGAAAGTGTCCATCATGCCTGTAGTCATGTAGAGGATGCTCTCCATCCCGTACAGCCTGGTGGCAATCTTGCCTATCACCTCCTGAACTGCCTCATACTCATGCATATTTTGGTCCAAGTGCTTTCTCTGCAATACATGCGTTGTCAGTAGCTTTACAAAAGTCTTCAAGTGACCGACTGCCTGTGGAGCGATGTACCTGTTGCCAGGCGCCATCCAGTCGATCATCACGTCCAGAGTGGAGGCTGACCCACCGAGAACGTCGGATTTCGCCACTCGGACGTCCTTGAAGCTGACCGTGCACACTGAGCTGCCCTGCTGGCCGACCAAGTCAACATCCTGCAGAGTGATCCCATCGCTGTCGCTCTCCACCAGGAGCACAGACGAGGCCTTGCTCAAGGAGCCGGTCTCCCGGCTGATGCCGCACCGCGAGAACACGAGGAACAGGTTGGCGTCGCGCGCGTTCGCCACGAAGGACTTCTCGCCGTTCAGCAGCCAGTACGTGTCGTCGTCCGATATTTCGGCGGTGGTTTGAATGTCGGCGTTGAAGCCGCTCGCCTCGGTGAAACACATCGTGGGCACCACCTCGCCGGTCACTATCTTCGGCAAGTACTTGGCCTTCTGCTCATCCGAGCCCAGCATGTTGATCAGCTGGACCGGCATCACATGATTCTTCACGAAATACGAGCCCAGCCAGGACAACGAGCTGAGCACTTCCAAGAGCTTCGCCAGTTCCGTGTGCGTCAGGCCCAGACCGAGGTAGGGCTCGCTCACGTGCGCCCGGAAGACACCCAGGTCCTTCAGGTGGCTGAGGATCTCGTCTCGCTGAGTGTTCGTCGGGTCAGCCGAGCACTCGGTCATGTAATTTTCGATGGGCTTCAGCCAGTCGAAGAATGCCTGGTGCCTGGCCTTAGTCTGCGGCTCGGGGTAGTACACGAACTCGTAGTCGAAGGAGCCTAGAAACAGGTTCTTGACGAACGGTTTCCGCTGCGGCTGCTTCTTCAGGACCTCTGGCAGTCGCAATTCGAGGTTAGATGTATCCTGCAACTGACTTACGGCACTCTGCGTGTGCCGCACGACAGCCCGGCCGCAGGAGGCTTGCCACAGCTGCTTTCGGCACAGTAATCGACGCGCTAACATTGTTGTCACGGTATTACAACTCGCTGATGATTACTTAACCGCGAAAATATCTGAGCGACATAGAACGATACGGAAAACGTGCGTATGTACGAGAGATCTGCTCCTTGTGGCTGCACTCGCTGCACTACATTCTGATCTTTCCAATTTTCTCTCCTCTTCCGTATGTCAATGCATAAATTTCTTTCATTTCAAGTGCGGAGAGTGTTATTTAATGCAACTGTAAACAGCAGGTTTCTTGTAATTTTTCTATTTTTTTTTCTTATGTCAAGAGTCAAATGTAGAGCCACTTCATTTTGGCGAATGTTTCAAGAAGTTTGACAAATTGCGCAATGCAAACGAAGAATTTCATGCAAATAACGCTGACGTCAATTGAAACTGTGGGTCTTTCTCTTTAATTTGAGTACATACAGATTACAGAGTGATATTTATTTACTGAGTTATGTAATGTGTTGAAGCAAAAAGGGCCTGTTTGTCTTTCAATTCTACCACGTCTTCGATTCTTCGTGATGTACGTGGCACCATCTAGCGGTGTAATGATGAAACCTGTCAGCACAAAATAGTTTGAGTCGCGGCTAGATGTCCTGGACGTCGGTAAGGCAAGATTTGAGTCTCAGCTAAGAACTTTAATAATTAGTTCCGAAGTTTCCGCTACGAGCCGCCACCGTTCTTAACGAAGATTCAAGGTAGTGATGGGTAAATAGTTTTTAATCCTATGTTAGGCAACTTTCAGCCTTGTGTTGATAAAGGAACTCCTCTTCTATTTTAATGTGTAAACGAATTCTGCTCACATACAATGTTAAGAGATAATGCGAAACAATACACGTCGTCTAATTACGATATATTAATTTACTTTATATTATTTAGTTTTGCTAGTCATATCCTTATAGAAATATCATACTAAGAATCATTGATAATTACTTATTATCCAGTATTTTTAATACTGAAAATAAGTAATTATCAATGATTCTTAGTATGATATTTCTATAAGGGTAGAGTGACACCTGGTTGGAAATAGTAATTTGTAGAAGGTAATTTGAGCAATAACTTCCGACTTTATGTAAGATGTATAATGAGTAGTATATTAGGATTTAAGTTACTATCTTAAGAGCTATGTTCCAAAAGTAGTAAGTAAGAAGATAATTATGTATTTGTATTTGTATATGTTTATTCAAACGTGCACAACTGTGATTGTCCCTTAGAGTGAGATAGGCTTAGTACCTTTACCCAGTACTTCTTTTGTACATTCTATATATATTTAAATAAACGAAACGAAACAAGATAGTGATGGAAATAAAGCGAACAACGAAAAGCTTGTCGAATGAATGTGTGTCAGGTGCACTTCACTCGATTAAGAAAAGCAGATGAAGTTTAATTGGCCGTAATTTTGGTAAAACTAATGAAATGCTTTAAGAAGAATTCTAATTAAGTTTTTACGTTGAAAATTTACCTTTATTAGAAAATATAAGAGATGCATTTTAAAGTGGGAACTTTCAGCTTTTTGTTTATTGGTTGATGAATATCACATTAATTCGTTTGAGCCACTGTGAGCGATCAGAGCCGAAAGGACGCTTCAACAATCGTACAACAACTTTGTGTTTCATCTGTTTTTGACATTTCTTCAGCATTCACAACGCTTTTTCGTCATTTTTAACCTTTATAACGTCTTGTGGAAAATGCAATCAGACGACAACTAAGCGGACTTTTCCTCGTTTTATTTTTTATATCGACAACGAACGCTTACAACATATCGTTTTATGCGTACTGAACGAAGATTGATATTTCTTTATAGATCACGAGACAAGATCTCTTTGTATCAGGAATTAGCAATAAGCATTTCAAGTAAAATTTCGAGTTTCTAAATTTTTCAATACTCTGAATTTTTTTAAATAGCCTGAAATTTTTAAATATTCTGAATTTCTTTCTGTTTCTTATCTCGCTCTCGTATCACATCTGTTTTAATTTTAATTTAGTCGTTCTTATTCTTCAGAGGCGCAATAGAATGCAGTCAGGAGGATGCGCTCGAACGAAACGCTGCCGCTAATCCTGCTGTCGCTTGCGTTCGCGTCGCACGGATGTGGTTTCAGCAAACGCAAAATGCATACGCATCGGAAAAATGATGGCGACAAGTGCACTTGCGCAACCCCGACACGCTACAATTCCCCGGCGGACTCCAATCGCACCGTTGACCCTCACTGCGAGTGCGACTCGTCTGGCTTCGGGGTGGTGCGGAAGAGACCGTACAACGGCCTCGAGAGCAGCGGTGCGATTCACGTGGACTTGACGTCCGCGTGTGTCAGATGCACCATGTGCACGGCTATCGCAGACGAGGTCAGAGTTACGAAATCGATTTCAATACATATCTCCCTGCATCTTTCATGTATATTCACGATGCATTGATAAGTATGCAGATGTATATTTGTTTGTAGAAAGGTTTGAATATTTTATTATGAATGTAGCTAAAGTCCAATAGGGAAATTTGTTCTTCTCAGCACGCGAGATGTTCAAAATCATCCAAAATGTATTCAGGATACATATGATACCCAGAGGAGTGTTCTAGGTCGTCCTGAGCATATCTGGAGCGATTTCAGAGCATTATGTGCCATCTGGGATATGACAGGTTCTTTCATTAGACATTGGAGACGTCGAGAAAAAATATTTAAGCCGTTCTGCAAATGAGTGTACATTGAAAAAAATCAGGTGAAAAGAATCAAGTCTTAGAGTTACATTTCTGTCGCGCAAATTGCAACTGAGACACGTTAAATTTTTATTCTATAAATTTTGAACTTAATTTTTATTAAATCAGATCGACAATTTAGAAATTTGAACTATAAAATTTAACGATAATTTGAATTAAAAACCAATGGTACAAGTTAACTAAACTAGTAATAGTTAACAAAACTAAAATATAGTTATATGTGTGAAGTAGATGTTCTTTCAGCTGTCAAAAGATTGGTCCAACTGCAGTAACTATTTACTTTTGGTTAGTTAATTAAGCAGGTCGGATAATATATTCGACCAGTGATGTATTGGATTAGCTTCATGACCGCCGAATTGAACTAATTGTTAAACTTGATAAATGGGAGATTAAAGAATCGAAATTTTGTCGAAAGGATACGGCACATGTCATTTGGTTTTAGCAGATTAACGAAACTCTATTCGAGATTCACGATGCAATGGGGCCGGATGACTTGCTGACCGATACGCAGGCTGTTTTCCTACTGAGAAATATTTGCGATCTATCCTTTCGACAGTATGAGCTCTTATCCTCTTACCGTGACTTTTTTCCTTCGACAAAATGTGTGTGCTCACAAATATAGCTACGCTTACGTAATTCTTTCACAGCTACGGTTTGCGAGAGATTGACGGTGAACGATTTATTTCTGACCCTCTACCAGGCGACAGACTTGTTCTCTCGTCTGCTGATGGATTATGGGAAAAAAGGTGAGGTGTCGACTTATGTCGACAAATTTATTATAAAACGAATTTATCGCAAGGTGAATTTAGCATAAGATGAATGTAGTATAAAATTTATTGTACATTTCCGGGGAAAAAAGATTATATATAATTATGTATAAATATATATGATTATATATGAATTTTGTCCATATATGTGACCTTATATATGATCATATCTAATTATATATGTTCATATATAAAATGAAAATTGTGAAATGAAAAAAGGAAAACATAATTTAATTCGATTAAACGTCGATATCATGGGCTACCATAAGCATTTACTTCAATTATCTTCACAATAGTATTCTTTTCAATGTCGATATATATAATTATATATGATCATATATAATCATATATGGACAAAATTCATATATAAACTTTCTTTTCCCGGATTGCTTTATTGTCTTTGCAAAGCGGTCACTGCAGTTTGAAGGATTCTTAATTATACGATTCCAAAAGAATCGAATTTTTCTGTAAAAACAGAGAAAGAAGAAAAAGAATTTGTGAGGCTTCCGCAGACCATCATATTGCTTTGCAACCAGGATGATTCTTTCTCAAAGGTAATTTTGATCACGATCTCGTTTCAATTATGTGATATATCCGGTAGCTTGAGAAACATGTGTCACGAGTACCTTGACGAGATACAAGAGCCACAGTTATACAGAAAGTGGTTGGAGTGGTGCGAGGAAGACGAGTATTTGCCCGATCTGGAGGATATCCTTTGCAGGTAAACCGTTCAAATTCCACCTTTGTCGAACCCTTGGCTGTTTTAACAGCTCTCGATCAAAGTTGTGATGCTACAGTATCACAGAATACGTTGCGGTAGTGAGCGTAATTTGTCATAGGAACGAGGTCAGCACTCTACGGGATTGCAGGGGCATGGCTAGCGTGCATAAGCGGCATATGCCTTCAAAGGATTACAGTGTTCATATGAAGATCCTGGCTGAATGTCACAAGTGTGGATAAGCGCATTGCTCATGCATATATGTATAGCTATTGTCGAGGGAGAGGGAAAGGGGGAGAGAGAGAAAGAGATTATCATCTATCATCATCTATTATCATCATTGCCGCCAGAGAATAATTACAATTTACAATCATATATGAATTTTGTCTCTGTGTGGTCATATACAGAATGTTCTACACCGATCAATATTACTAAATTTATTAGATATTGTAATGGCAGATCTATATATATGTGTGTGTGTGTGTGTGTGCGTGTGTGTGTAAATCATCTAAATCTGATAACTAAATTTAAAAATCTGTGTTTATGCGTAAGTCATTTAAATCTGATTCGATATTCTGTGATATATTTTGTCATTCCATTTTATAAATCATATAGTTATTTCTTTAATATGAAATCATGAAAAATAAGTAACTTTGCAGCATTCGATCATAAATCTTTTTTTTTAACCTGTTCACTTGTGAATAGTGAACATATTCATATATTTTCAATATTAGGTTTTTTATTTTTCATGACTACACACTAAAGGAAAAATATTCATGATTGAGATCACAGGAACAAAATTCATATATAGGAAGGATTATGTATAATTATATATAATTTATATGTAATTATATACAATCTTATATATATGCATATATAATTTTATATATTCTTATTCGCTCGGGCGAATGTCGTAATTATCATCTGTCATTGTCATCCCCACGATTATCATCATTATTATAATATAATTATCATGCTATCATTATTTTTACTAATTAATTAATATATTATTATTATGCTTTATCATAATTTATTATTATACACACATTGCTACCCGATGTCATACACTTGTTGGCTATACGACTTCAATAAAGTGATCTTTTTACTCGTGACAAGTGACGTATATGCCGAATAGCGAGCTAAAAGAATCACCCGCGAACGTAAATATCGCGTTGCAAGTATTCAGTTATGATCGAGAGTCAACAGCATATCCGATGCTGCAATGAAAGATAACGCAACGAGCGAAACGACAATTAAACGTTCAATTGCGGAAGGGAAAAAGGCCTCGCGCGGCGGTCTCGGTGGTCGTGGTCGCGGTCTTGTCCCCCGGCTTGATCTTCTTCTTGGACAGACTCGCGAGGGAGGGTCGGCTGACTCTCTTCGAGCGTCGTCGCACTTGAAAGCGCGAAGGATCCACTTCCGGATCCTTCGCTCTGTCCGGACTGCCGCCGGACTGTCCCGTCGCGAGACCGACGAAAGCCACTTGGCGCGCGTGCTTCCTCAGCGCGGCCAGGTAAGCGGGGTCGTCTTTGCTCGCTGCGTTCTCGTCGACAGCGACACGATCAGGACGAGGTACTGGACGATCGGGCTGATGCCGGTGATGCCGGTCGCGAGCGGAGGAAGGACGGTGATGGTGATGGTGATGCTGGTGGAAGTGCAGGTGCGGTATGAGGTGGTGCTGGCGCATGCTGCGCACAATCGTCTCCCGCAACTGTCTCCGATTTTTCCACACCCGCTCGAGGATGCCGAAGGTAAACGCCGTGAGCAGGCCCGCCGCGAGGATGAAGAAGGCTGAATAGACGTCGGCGAGCCTCGCGCTGTTGAAAGTGGTTAACGCCGCGCAGCGCGGCATCGGCGGCAGCATCTGCTGCGCTATCCTGTCTAGCACGCCGCGCTCATATATACGTAGTATGCTGCGGGCAGTTCGCAAAAATGGAGGCATTATTGCAAATGTTACCCCGTTGTTTCAATAAATAATAAAAATAAAATTTAAAATAATTAAGAAATGAAAAATAAAATTAAGATTTATACAAAAATACTTGGCGTGCCCAAAAATGCATTAAAACAATTATTGAAGATTGGAATGCACAATCTATTGTGACTTTTTTTTTAATGCATTTTAGGAAATTTTTTTATGAAACGAATACTGTATATATGTGTGTGTGTATGTGAGAGACGCGTGTACTTGGCGCCTTTTTTTACTTTTTTTTAAAGTAATTTTGTTAAGATATCACATTTTTTACAAATATATGTGTGTATGTGTGCATATATGACATGTGTGTGTGTGCATATTTGACATGTGTGTTTGTTAGCATTCGTATCGCTAATGCATTAACGAGTCCATAAATGTCCCCTAATGAAAAAGAAGAGAATCAATACGTAGCTTTTTTTACTTTCAATAACCCCAGACAACATAATGTCTAAAATCGGGACATAGGACGTCTTAGAGATCATCTTTAAGATGTCTTTCAGACGATTTACGTATAATGACGATTTACGTATGCTTGTAAGAGGATGCTGGAATCGATGACGAACCCGAACAATGTTGATAATGCAGAGACGATTGTCACTAACATAATCACACTATCCTTTTCGTATTTCTTATGTATACAGAACTTACATGAATGTGTGTTGCTTTGTTTTACCATATTCAACGGAATCTGACTATATATGTGTAGAAATCTTTCTGCAAACTTTTTCGATATTTTTTAAGCTTCCAAATGCAGATGCAAAGATAGAGCAATGTTCTTCAAAATTTTTCTATTTGGAGCATCCACACTTTCGGTATGTATAAGCTGCGGAATTTTTGGATTAGGCAAATCTTACGCTAACTGACAGCTTAAGATTTTATATTAAACATTTTTTGTTCGTTTTCGTCACATTTGGAGTAATGCTACTATTTATTTTTGCATGTACTTTTATTGCGTAAAAGCATTTTTGTAATCCTGTGTAACCAATACGACGTAAACTTTGCAGAAAAATATTAGTGTTCTGTCGGTAAAGTTTTCAGCTTCAGTATCCCCTTAAAGCGTCTTAAAGATTATCTTTAAGACGTCTTATAACCCAATTTTAGACATTATATTATCTGGGACAAGTGTCTTCTGTTCCGCGCACGTACTTGAGATTAATAATCTTCTTGTATGGGCAACTATTCGCCATGGGAAGAGCGACTACCGTGAAGGTCTGCGGCAGCGACAACTCTTTCAGATTGCACCGCTCCTGAATCAGGGTGGTCTCGAGGGCGCGTCGCGCCAAAGTCGCGCTCACGAAAAATCCGTATCTACCGTGGACAGCTTTCAAGAGGCCGGTCGTCGTTTCCAAGCGAGACTCCCGGCTGTTGAACGCCTTTATGTATAGCTGACGAAGGTGACTGTCGTTTACATTCTGAAAGACCAGGGCAACAATAACTATAATTTCTGAGATTAACAAATTTTCTTTTCTCTTAATGTACCGTTATCGATTTGCTAAGTTATACAAGTTTTTTAATTATAATATCAAATCTGTTTATTTTTTCAGTGATATATTTTACTCCAGTAAACGCAATCCAGGCAACTAAAAGAATCCTTCTTTTAGAAAAGGTTTTCTAAAAGAAAGCTTTAACTCTCTACTCTCTTAAAGTGAATCAGGGAATAGTTACTGATATTAGTTATGAGTATAGCACTGAGCACTTTCAACTTATATAACTTTTATAACTGCTATCAGTGTATATTCATTGTTTTCAGTGATGTTTGATTGATTTATTTTAAGAGAGTAGCTACTATGCGCTACTAACGGCCATTTTCATCATCTCCGGTTACCTTCACTACTGGTTAAATGTGCACGGTGATTGGTTAATCTTGTTAAACGACAAGTGCGATTGGTCAGTTCCAACGGAATAACTAGCCGGTTAAGGTAACCGGAGATGGTGAAAATGACCCTAAAGCGGCTTCCCTGTAAGTCATTCTGTGGGACAAAGCGCCACTAAAGTGACTTTTCGCCAAATCATTTCTTAGTAATTTCCAAGTCATTATCTCACTTGTTTTTGGGATTTTAAAAGTTGTGTGCATTTTCGTTTACATGTACACCGCGGCAGAGAAGTCCGTACTGACGATACAGTCACGGCCAGCTTCGCCGTAGCTAGAGGGTTAAAAACGTCTAAAAGACTCATAAAAGATGTTTAAAGAGGTAATATGTCTTTCAGACGTCTCTAAGATATATTTAAATATTTTCTTAGAAATTTCTGCTGCCTGAAAAGTTGGATAATATGAGAAGAAAGGATAACACGACAGAACGCGATGGAGCACTGATAATACAATAATAAACGCCAAAAAACGTCTCAATACGCGTACTCTTATGTATTCGTCGTCGGCGACGCTGTAGCCGAGCCTGAAATTATTAAAGAGCAGATCGGTGATCGACTTGATCCCGCTGGCCTGCACCGACAATATGGACGTGATGAATCCGGCGTAGGCGTTATACATGACGAGTGCGAACATCAGACTGAACAGCATCAGGGTCTTGCCGGACGGGGTTCGTGGTATCCACGGTGATCCTGGAAGTTCCATTTCTCAGACACACAATTTCACCACACCTTCACGATATTAACCCTTTCGTAGGATATACTGAAGGAAATTATCCGATAAAAAATTAATGAACGGATATTTCCAATCAAAATACCGATGAATTTTTATACTCTAGCAGGACGTCCGAATGGATTTAGTCGAAAACTTCTGATCATGATGGCATTTTATCAGATAAACCGACCAAAAAAATGATAAACCGATATTTCTCATTTGATGTTTCCTGATCGGATACAAAAATTCATTAGTATTTTGGTTGGCAACATTTGTTTGTTATTTTCATTTTACGTTATCGTAATTTTCGTAGTTTTGCTTGGTTGAAAAAAAAAGACTTGTGATTTTAACTAACTTATGCGAACCAAATATCTCATGATAAACTTAAGTAATTTTGGCAGATAACCCAACTATCAGTCAGATAAAAAGTTTAAAGACATGAAGTATTAAAAGCGATAAGGACGAGCGCCAAACGCGATAAACCTGAATAGCACCAAAAGAATTAGATCAACATTGAATCTATACAGGAAAAAGACTTTTTCTTATCTTTGTTTTACATATTTTACACATATTGAAATCTTTAAATGAGATTACGTAGTGTTAAACAGAAATGAGTTGCTTGCAAGAATATATTTTATATAATTTTCAAGATAGAAAAGAACTTATGTTTTTATTATACAAAAATAATTTTTGTTAAGGAGATAATTCCTTCGATTTTGAAGTTTAATTTTGGCAGATAACCCAACTATCAGTCAGATAAAAAGTTTGAAAACATGAAGTGTTAAAAGCGATAAGGACGAGCACCAAACGCGATAAACCTGAATAGCACAAAAAGAATTAGGTCAACATTGAATCTATACAAGAAAAAGACTTTTTCTTATCTTTGTTTTACATATTTTACACATATTGAAATCTTTAAATGAGATTACGTAGTGTTAAATGGAAATGAGTTGCTTGCAAGAGTATATTTTATATAATTTTCAACATAGAAAAGAACTTATGTTTTTATTATACAAAAATAATTTTCGTTAAGGAGGCAATTCCTTCGATTTTGAAGTCTTACAAATTAACACTTTTTACGAATTTTTTTCTCCGAAGCTATGCGGGCGACAAATCCCAAACTTTGTATGGTTATTAAGACATATTTTATTAAAACTTTCTAATTTTTACAAGCAGAGATAATATATAAAATCATAGTTATAATGATATGCGCTCCAGGTGTTGATTTTCATGATCACCACAATTGCGAGTCTCTCCGTGGTCTAAAACAAAAAAGCAAATAAGAAAATTAATTTACAGACTTACTGCTATAAGGTATATAAACATAAAATTAAAAATGGATTAAAAAACAATTTTTAGTTCATTTTTTAAATTTTATATTTATATACCTTAAATTAATTGAAAAAATGGTTCGTTTTGCATTTTCGTAGTTTAGACGATAGAAGTAAGTCTGTAAATTAATTTTCTTATTTGCTTTTTTGTTTATTATATAAAATATATTCTTGCAAGCAACTCATTTCCGTTTAACACTACGTAATATCATTTAAAGATTGTATGTTTATACACCATAAATTAATTGAAAACTAGTTCGTTTTGCATTTCCGACTTCAGACAATAGCAGCAAGTCTGTAGATTATATTTCTTACTTGCTTTTTTGTTTCAGACCACAAAGAGACTTGCAATCGTGATAATCATGAAAATCAACACCTTGCGCGCATATCATTATAACTATGATTTAATATATTATTTCTGTTTGTAAAAATTAGAAAATTTTAATAAAATATGTTTTAATAACTATACAAAGTTTGGAATTTGTCCTCTGCATAGTTTTGAAGAAAAAAAATTCGTAAAATGTGCTAATTTTTGAGACATCAAAATCGAGTTGCCCCCTTAGTGGAAAGCACAAAACATTAGATTGGAAATATGATTTTTAAATGTGTGTTATGCCTCAAGTTCTCCTATCAGCTTGAAATTGACATATTCAAATCAACAGTATATTATATATCATTGTTTCATGTATAAGCAACAATATGTAATTTTGTTACAAGAATTTTATTGCCTCGAATTCAAACAATTATTTGTTAAATGTAAAATGTATTAATAAAACTAAAAACTCTTCCTGAGTGTATCAATATTTAACATAAAGGACAATTAGAGTTCCAGCACAGGTTGATTAGTGCTATTAAAACTATTAAAAAATAGTGACCCAATCTCACAAAGAGACGAAATTTATTACTTATCAAATTTTCACTTATCACTTTGATAAGTAATAAATTTTGTCTCTTTGTGAGATTGGGTCACAATTTTTTAATAGTTTTAATAGCACTAATCAACCTGTGCTTGAACTCTAATTGTCCTTTATGTTAAGTAAAATGTATTGATATGCAAGTTATCTTCATAACGCTTTTTAGCTATGTAATCGCATTTGACGCGGTTAACATGTGAAAAATAGAGATATTTTCCAAACAAAGATGCCCTTTTTTTGTTGTATAACGGCCAGTATAGAATCTTCTACAGTGGCCAACTATTGTCCAACTGATACATGCTGCTACGCGATACGTTCTTTCTTTGATGAAAGGACGAAAAAGAGGAGGTGAGGGAGAAACCTTGCATGCACATAATACTGATGCACCAGAGCGTGGCCTCGCCGATGCCGACGTGCTTCTCGTCCTCATTATGTAGCACCGTCTTGGCGGCATAAATCACCGTCGTCATCGCGATTAACAATATGAGGTACGTTGCCGCGACGCAGCCGAGCAGCTGGTTATTGAACGGCTGCAGAAATATATCCCTCATCGTGCCGGATTCCAACGGGTGGTAATAAATATTCCTCCTGCGCAGGATAATTGTGCACACAAAAATGTATTATATAACTTAATAGTTCGAATATTCTTTTAAAATAGTGAATATTAACAGAAGAGAATCATCTTCCTTGACTTACGTGCTTTCGTTCGTGTCAAGTAAAATCGAAAATTATGATGACATAAAAGTAACGAACAAATAATCGAATTGTAATTAAAAAATTAATTTTTTTAAGTTATTTTCTCGTAATTTTTACACCATTTTGACGTCGTTGTAATCATTTCTTTTGTCCGGGATTTCACCGAAATCAAAGCATCTCGCGGAGGAAGAGTGAAGATTTTTTAAAGAAATTTCTTAGAAATATATTACTTATCGTGCCGACTTCAAAAGGCGGATATTGGTGAATCATGCAAGAGAAAAAAACTCAATAAACTTCAACTGATAATTACATCACTGAGAGAAAAATAACATTAATTATAACATTAATGTAATGTTACTGTTAGTTGATGTTTATTGGGATATTACATGCTTTAATAGTTTTTAATACTCATGAATGTTAACAGAGAAGAATCATTTTCTCTCATTTACGTTTGTCCACCGAGATAGGAAATCAAAGCGACTCGCGGAGTGAGGCTTCAAGAGATATTGTCAGAATTTTCCAAAAATTTCTCAGAAGTTCTCGGCTGATCAAAGATCACATAATATTCCCCATACAACGTCTAAGATTTGGAAATCAGACGTCTAAAAGAGATCTTAAAGATGTCTCTCAGACGTTGGAGTATAAGTCGTCTCTAACACGTCTTTAAGACGTCTTCAACACCCAGACAACATAATGTCTAAAATCGGGATATAAGGCGTCTTAAAGATCATCTTTAAGATCTTTCAGACGATTTACGTATAAATGTCTTTAAGACTTCTTATGTCCCGATTTTAGACATTTTATGTTGTGTTATGGATCAGGCCTGTCGTATGTATGTATACGCGGATGTTTTGCATGGGTGTATTCGGGTGTAACGCTGTTCACGCGGTTATCTGTGCCAAGTAGTGCGCATATAGTCAAACGTGAACTAGCATATCGTGTCGTGGCATGATAACCAACCAGACAAATATCCAAAATCGAGCCATAAGATGACTTTAGGACGTTTTTAAGACATCTTTAAGACAATATCTTATAAACTTGTCTTAAGGATGTCTTAAAGATGTCTTAAAGACGTCTTATGACCCAATTTTGGACATTGTGCTCTCTGGGTACCCAAACAGCACAAACTGCTAAAAGATATTCTTAAAGACGTCCAGAAGACATCCAAAAGGAATAAGGATATCTTTTGAACATCTTTAAGATATTAGTAGATTGCATTTTGCATTATGCATAGTTCCAGTAAGAAACTCACATCTAACTCTACAACTGAAATATGAGCAAGATTGAATAATATCTAGTTAATTAGTTAAAAGTTAAGTTAAAAGGTAATAACTCTTAACTAAGTTTATTTAATTTCAAATGAGTTGAGTTTTAACTTAAATCAGTTACTTTAAAATGCAGTAACTTTATGTTATTAATTTTTATCTGGGTAAAAATAAAGAAATACATGGTGCACATAAGCCAACGGGATTGGAAGATGGTTTAAGGTGGGTTGAGCATGGCTTGTGTCGCCGTCATCGATTCAACATGGGAAACGGTTTTCACTGACATGTAACGTATTAGAGGGTAACTGAACGCCATCTCGCCCAGACGTTCCTCGTTGATGGTGATGTATCCCAAACCGATGTCGATAGTGCCCGAGACGACGTCGCCGAGAAGGTGGTTCCACATCTTGTTGGTCAATATACCGAGCTTTTCATACGGTACCAGCTCGATGCTGCAAACAATCGAGATTCTATTCTTAGTGTTCTTAGTGTGAATATTAATTTTAGACACCCGGAATTTATCTTCCTGGTGTTATTTTTCTAAAAAGAATTCGCTCATCAACATTACGACATACATATACATGTCATGTCACGATATCGTATACAATATATTTTGTTTTTCAGAAAAAAAGTAAATACACATATGTGTTGAAAATGTAGAAAGAGCTGTCATATTTTGGAAACAATGTGGGTATCCTCATTTATTTTATGTCGGGTATCCTCCATCTTATTATGATACAATAGCGAATAGGTTGTTTTGAAAAAGCAAAATCTCAAGTACTCGGAAAGTGAATAATTTTTCGTAATTTTTTATTTTCAGTACCTACCGATTGAATATTGCTTATTTTTTAAATATTTTTCCTGTCAGAAAATCCTGTAAATCCTCTGAATCTAGTATTAATTCAGTTTACTTTTACCTAGCGTTCACATAACTAGTGACGTAAATGGCCAAGTCCAAAAGCGGCGCGATATCGTTAGCCTCTGCCTCTATAACGTCTGTTTGTCCATCGTTGGTGCCGTTTAGCACGCCGAAGACGATTGGGAGGCCGTTGAAATCATCTCTCAGCTTCACGCTGACCGGCAGCTTGAGGGTGTGAGCTCCCGGGTTCCAAAATCCGAGGTACCGTGTGACAAGACTTGTGTTGTCGGAGTTGCGTATCTTGTAGGTGTGCACCATGTAGAAGGATACCGTGCGATTCTCCAAGATCACGTAGCTCAGATTGCTCGTAGCATTCTCGACGTTGCGTCGCTCTGGTGGGCCTTTGAACTCGAAGCGATTGCCGTAACGTCGAAACGACGAACACGTCCTGCGAAAGGGTCACTTAAAACGCTCCAAGTCGCCTCGGCTAACGTTGTTAGCAACAGTATTCGTAGTAAGCAAATATGCAATCTTGTAAAAATAAGGGAAACAACAAACAGGGAAAATAAGGGCAAGAAAAAAATTTGTAAAAACTTTTTATATTTTCGGTCATTTAAATAAAAAAATTTCCCCTTAATACAACCAAACTTTTCCTCTTAGTATAGAACTTTAAAAAAATTAAGGAAATGTTTTGATTTAGATTGTTTTAAGTATAAAAAAAACTACTATAAGGAATTGACTAGATCAGATTAAAGCAGAACTTCCTCTTGACGCGACAATGAATGAACCAAAACATGTTTTGGTTGTAAGAAGCAGAAGCTCCCGATTCTCATGAATTAAATTGTAATTAAAAATATTTTTATTCTAGGAACAACAAACCCCCCGAAAAAATTTAGTTGTCAGAACTGGGAGTTCTGTTTCCTTCAATCAAAAAATGCGTTTAGTTTGTAGATTATCGCGTTATTTCAACCAGGCTTTCTTCTCCACATAACGGCAAAATTCTGAGAAGTGTGTTGACTCAAATCAGTCTCCCTTATACAAGAAAATAGAAAATAGACAATAAAAAAGTTGTGTGTAATTCTTTTAATTTCCTTGCTATGCGGAAAATTGAGAAATAAGGAAGATTCGCTAGGAAAGACGAAGCATGTTCACGACAATTGATGACTCACTTGTCCCAGTATTTCTGTGCATATTTCCAAGCCGTTGCGTCATTCGGCAATGGCGAGGTGGCGACGACTACGTCACTGTCGATACCGATATTCAAGTCCCGCAGAATTGCGTCTATGGTGGAGTCAGTATCTTTGGTGGTCACCAAGAACCAGGAGATATAATAGTTGAATAACAGCTTCTGGGAAGCCTGTCGAGACACAATCGTTAGCCGATATAGCAATTATATTAACACGGATTGTCCTCCAATCAGTTGACTGAAGCTATTGCTTGCATTATCAATCATACGCCCTAAAGAAACTTATTAAATGGAAATATACGTTCATGGTTTACACCAAATTTGTCAGTAATTTTGCGTTTAAAAGGTTTAAAAAGTTAACAAACTGTAAATCGATTACGATATTTTAATTTCCGACCGTTCTAAAAAATAAAGTCATGTAAATAACATATAAGAATAATGCGATAACGAATAAAGTAGTCGGCTCGATAAGTTGATTAGAATATTTTGGTAGGAAAGATGTAGAGCAGAGATGCGATCTAAAGCAATTCGCCAGGATTATCAACGATTTAGGTTCGTGTTTTAAATCGCGAGCTCAGTCATTCAATAACGTTGATTTCTCCAGGGAATAGAATTAAGTGAGTCTTGAAGAATTTATTTCATCGATTATAAGTGTCATCGTTCGTGTCGACTAGCATTATTACGCACTTGGGAATTAAAATTCCGCATGATGATGTCCGCTTTGATAAACGTCAATGGAACCTTAATTTACATTTTAACTTTATTCAGAGAAGAAGACTAAAACTCAGGTTATTAAAGTATAATCAAACGTTGGTAGAAACGTGCACAAGAAATTGTTTAGCGTGTGACATAACACGTCTATGTTCGACACGATTTACGATGCTTACAAGATCGCAGATGTTTACGAAAGTAACAAAGTTTACCGTAGCAGTATTAGAATGTGATTTCTTGTTAACAATGAAAATAAATCTATTAAAATATCTCATATCAAGTTGATTCCAAGCTATTGGCTGTCTTATATAATGTGGTGTTATCAAGTTCTGAGTCATATAGCAGCGACGTAGCAATCGGGACCTTATAAACTCTTAAAAGCTATCATTAAATAAAATTACATTAAAGCTATCATGGGAGAAATTTCACTTTAGTATATATATTTTTATTTTAGAAATCAAAAACGTCAAACAAATGCAATTAATTAATAATTGGTGGGAGAATTGATCTGTTTTATGATAATGTTATCATTACCGATATAGTGTGTATAATAAATATCTATAAAATTAGTGTTGTCAGTGATTACGATTTTAATAATAATAGAACAAAATTCATGTGAAAAGAAATTTTACCCATGATAGCCTTTAAGGGTTAATATAATTAGGAGTTATTTAATCTATTATTATTGAAGGATTAATCAAATCAGGATCTCATTAATAATTAGGATTTGCTAACATCATCTGGTGCAAAATAAATGACCGGAATCAACCTGGGATCAAAATTATGGGGAGTATCAAGAGTAAATTTCTAGTCGGATTCCAGTTCCAATTATCGAGAAATCATACCATTTGGATAACATTGTCGGGCGATGTCAGATTAAGTTCGTCCAGCAGCACGATTGATCCGACACGGTGAGTCCAGACGGTGAGCGCGTCTGGTATATTCGGGTTCATAGCTGATTGTAACGACACACTGATACCCTTCTCGCTGAAGCATTCGATTAACGGCCGGGCGTAATTAAGTGCGCAATCTGTATTCATTGTATTATTATTGAGTCAGTCAGCAACTATATGACTCTCGATATACTCATGAGAGACCGTGCAAAAATTTTTCGCAAAGATATTTGCGAAAAAATATTTATGATATAGACACTTGTGAGAAGCTTCCGTGTTTCTTTCAGATTCTGTTTTATGTTCTGTCAATGCACTGTGCGAGTTTTGTTCAGCGAACCACCTTGCAAAATTCGCGCTATTCAGCTATTCAGGCGACGATACTCACTGAACGGACTGACGTTACCGAAGAGGACCACTTGGTTCCATAATCGCCATTCCGCGTATTCTAATATCAATTGTAGCGTCAATGGCGACGGTAGAATGCAGGTCTTCGTGGGCACGTATAACATCAATAATACCAACAGCATGAATCGCGTTTCACTACGTGTAATCGGCGACATCACACACTTCAATCTGAAAAGAAAATTATCGGAAACGTTATTAAATTTTATAAGAAACATTACGGAAAACATGTTTTTAAGAATGCAAACGTTTGAAATGTTGGTCCAGATAAATTTTACTTATATTTTTTATCATTGTTTTAAATATAAAAAACTACTATAAGGAATTGACTAGATCAGACTAAAGCAAAACTTCCTCTTGACGTGACAATGAACGAAACAAAACATGTTTTAGTTATAAGAAGCAGAAGCTTCCTATTTTCATGAATTAAATTGCAATTCAAAAATTTTATTCTAGGAACGACAAACCCCCCGAAAAAAATTTAGTTGTTAGAACTGGGAGTTTTCTTCAATAAAAAAATGCGTTTAGTTTGTTGGTTGTCACGTTATTTCAACCAGCCTTTCTTCTCCGTATAATGCCAAAATTCTGAGAAGCTATGCTGACTCAAATCGGTCTCCCCTATACAAGAAAATAAAAAATAGACAATAAAAAAGTTGTGTGTAATTCTCTTAATTTCCTCGCTATGCGGCAAATTAAGTTTAGGGTTTTAGAGTTAAAGAAATAATATCTTCTATCATACCTTTCAATTATATCTTTAATATTCTTGTAAAAAGATATCGGTTTTATATTTGATGTATCAAGCGCGACCCGAACGGAAATGATGGATAATTATTAATCAGTTTAAAACATTATCGTCAATTAATTAAGAAGAAATAATTTTAAAGAATATTTCTTTAAAGAATATTTCATTGGAAATTTATCACGATTATCAATAATGACATTTTTGATGCTGCTCGCGGCATTTGCTGCTTGCAAATGAAACAAAAAAAAAAATATAGCGATTCGTCATACACCAACCGTCTCATTGATATCACTGATATTATATTATTCCGATATTAAGATCGAATTATAGTGTACACTGGCTAATTCTCATCTTAGTGGCGTACAATCGTAAGAACGCGAGTTTCGCGTGCGACTACCAGGTAAAGTGTCGGCTTGTTCGTCTCATTAAATTCTTAATTCATCGCTCGTCTGACTTGTCGGCGTACAGACGTCGACAATGCGATGAACTTTCGATGAGGAGGAGAAGAATAGGCTGACGTTGACAGCCATAACGATGGAAAGAACGAAAATACCTGGCGGTCACGTTACTCACTGCTCGTCGATGATTTCTTGCAAACAGGTCTTCCCGATATAATATACGGATTGCTTCGTTCACGTTCCCGTTGATCCGATCCACCGGTTTCCGCTGCGTTTCCACGCGATCGACTACCGACAGTCTCAACATAGCAAGCTTTTCCAGCTCGTCATTGATGTCACCGAAGATATAGATCGGGATAGATCCTTGTCTGGAGGCAAATTAATCACGCGTGAATTGCGTAGGCACATATTGATGGTTAATATGATAGCCATGAAGTAGAAACGTGTGGAAACACAACGACTCCAAATTGAGTCCGGCGGGAGTTGGCTATACAATTCCCTTCCTCATAAAAAATAGACTATTTCCATGTACTAATTAAATTGCGTAACTTGTAAAGAAACCTCATCTTCTTTTTCTTCCTCTTTTTCTTGTTATTGTTATATGTATGTAAATATTTTTTAATTTTAATTCTATAACTTTAAACATTAAATAGTTACGTGAATTCTAAACCACTCAACGATTCAGAGTGAAAGAATGTGCTCACTGTATGTGAGTTAAAAATCATTCACTTAAAATGACTCAATTGTCACTCGACTTTTCAAGTGGAACTCCACTCGGAGAAATTGTCAAAGCAACATCAATCATCCACAGCGCTTATGCGATCCAAATACAAATTTGACAAAATGACGATTTTTCTGAATGCCTTCACTGTGCAAGTGTGTCGTCGTATACAAAATTACATCCATGTACATCCATTAAGTCATGCACACGAGACATTAATGACGATGCAATGTGCTGACGGTGCGGCCTATGGAAGAGCGCACCCGGAAAGAAAATGCTAATGCAGTCGTCGTGATTCGGACGTGTCGTGAATATCGGACGAAATTCCTCGCAGTAGTTCTTCTCCCATCAGACAGAATCGTGTTGAAGCCAATGTTATCGTTGTATGTTGACATCAAATTAATTATTCGGCCAGCCGATAATTGTTTAGCACGTCGATCGATCGCTAAGAAACTAATTTGACAAGTAGGTATTATACAGAGTGTCCCAGAACAACCTTCAAAGCTCTCGTGAAGGTATAGTACGGATTGAAGTGAATATAAAAGTCCCATATCGTTTTGCGATATTCGCAATAATTATCGAGATAATAAAGAAGATTCGTGAATGATTACGCGAGAGATATGGTAGATAAACTGTAGTGGCAACATCTCTGCTATTGTGTGCTTGTACATTAGGTCCAACTAAACAAAAAAAGTCTTCCTAATACTTTATAATTTTTTAGTTATTAATTACATTAGTTACATTAATAACATTAATATATTATCATAAGTGATCATCCGCCAATCTCTCTCTCTCTCTCTCTTTAAATTAATAATTAAGAATCTACAAAGAAAAGTTTAACACACTTCCTACGAAAGTCACATATCATATAAGCCTGACAGTATTCTAACTTCTCTTTTTGTGTCTACATAAACAAATAAAGGCTGTTTTATGTAATTACATAAAAGTAAAATCAATGTGAAACATGAAGGAAGTATCTCAAATAAGCCGTGGTAATGAATTTGTTATGACAATAGAAAAAGTATTGAATCAATATTCATAATAAACGCGTGTCTAATTAATTTCAATTTTAATTTGATTTTGAAAGCCGCGAATATATGCTATTCCATCATACAAGTTGTATGAAATTGAATTCCTTCGATTTTCGATTCAACGAAGAAGGCGAGCGAACATGACACCCAACATTTGGAATTCGAAGACCGAGATATGCGACGAAGAAGATCTGCGAAAGAAGAATCACTCCCGAGTCATTTCACCGACCGTAAAAAATAAAAAAGGCACGCGGAGTGGATACAAGACTTGCACGAAAATTGAAGAGTGGTTTGGCTTTAAGACCAAGCTCAAATGGAAGAATATCGCGCTACTAATTTTCCTTCATATAGGCTCACTCTACAGTTTTTACACCGTAGACATTCTCGGAAACATCACGACAGTCGTCTGGAGTGAGTATCTTTTAAAAGTTTCAGCGACATTCAATTCTTCATTAATTCAATTCTTCGCAAAAGCGCTGATGCTGTCAATATAATTCCTATATTTTTAAAGTGTGTCTGACAATGATACACTCGTCCTGTGCAGATAGAACTCATCAAACTGAATATCAAATTCCTCTACTATTTCGAAAACAATTAAGTAGAATTTTGAGTTACTAATTAAAGGAGATTAACGAATCATGACGCACGATACGATGGATGAGCTGTGATAGCAATGTCTACCGTCGTATGCTTGTACATTTGATCTAACTGAGCAAATAAACCCTCTACCATCTTGCAAATGACTACGTAGATCTTTAATTATTAATTATTAAGGAGATAGATACATTATTGTCCGCGATAATGCAAAAGGTTGTGTATCTTGCCTCTTTCTGTGTGATTTTTAAAAACATAAACGTCCTAGAAATCTCAATTAAAATTGTATCACACGTTCACGAAGGGTACCGGAGAGTTACTTATGGCAAATGGCACGAACCGACAGCGACTGCTGATTACAAGCCGATCGATTGAACTTACGCGATTGAAAAGAGACACATGAGAAGGGCTGGTTGACAACAAATAAGTCCGGGGCTTTCGTTTGTGCGATTCCTGTTACGTTACCGACGTCACGTCAATCATACAGCGACAGCTCTGCTATGTGTCCATAAAATAATTAAGTCTAATACAAGGAACACTTAACACTGGCATAAGAATTCGTCTAGAAATAACAATTCTAAAAGCACGGAAGTGATGTTAGTTTAAAACTAACAAAAGGAGGTGTGCTATTTCTGCGAAGTCTTTTATTTTTTATATTTAACATCCATACGTCAAAGATGGAGGCAAAAAGAAACTCAAACAATTATTTTCCTCGTATGTGTTTTAAGTATCCTCCATGTTTTTCTAAATCTTTTTATTTTCCAGTAATATTTATGATTGCACTATTCTATAATTCTTCTTTAATCTTTTTCATTTATTGCTTGTTATTATAGTAAAAAAAAGAATTATCCCAAATAATTTATGTTATCTTAGACTTATTTGCCTATGTTGATATCTCCAATTCATTATTTGATGACAGCATTCTGTGATATGATCGATTGTTATTATGTTGTATAGCGATTATGAAACACACATTTATATAAATACATACAATATATACACACGCGTGCTTACACACAAACGGATTATTAATTATCATGCGAGATCTTTATAAATAACAATATTTAATACCAATATTTTATTGATTAAATTTGTTTGAAGTGATTTTCCTAGGTGCTATACAAGCGATTGGTATAACTGCTGGTGTTCATCGTCTTTGGTCACATCACGCTTACAAAGCCAAATTACCGCTTCGAGCTCTGCTTCTCATTTTCTACACCGTGGCTG